TTGTCCCTTATCATTACTATAGTATTTATCTAAACCTTAGAACTTTGCCACCCTTGTAACACCATACCTATAATGATAGTCAATCAAATACATCAAATCAAAATGTTCCAATCAATGACATTAATGCCTAATTCATTTCACAACCCGTGGTACACTGATCGCAACAAACTTCTTTAGAAACCTTAAGTAAACTTCTGGTACACTGAAAACCTAATTCAGGGTAGTTTAACACCTTAATCATGTATTCATTTGATCATTTTTTGTATAAAGAGTATACATTGACATTTCAAATGAAATCTAACAAAAAGTTCCTTCTTTACATCTTATCAACTTCAGGAATTTAAGGTGGATCACATCATTTTAGTGACAAATTATCTCCTATATCTCACAGAACTCACAACAAAACAGATTGTTTTTTAACCATATGTTGGACATCTGTCAAACAATAAGTTTCAACTTGTGTAGTTTACAATTAAATTCGATCACAACTACAATTACACAAGAAAACTGCCGCCTGGTTAGCTCGTGAGCATGAGCACCAGACTACTGTGCGGGAGGTCAGGGTTCAAGACCTAGACCAGACCCAAACTCAGGGTCTTAAAATAACTGAGGAGAATGTGCTGCCTTTGCTATGACATCTGCAAGCACTTATACATTCTAGTTTTCTCAGATAAGGACAATAAGCCGTAGGCCCTGTGTCCTGCATCTTCTTGGTAATGGTTAGTGGGGGACGTGAAAGAACCCACACACTTATCATAAAGAGTAGGGAAAGTAGTTCCTGGTGTTGTGGTCTGCCCTAGTGTTAATAGGTAGCTTATTTTTAAGGAGTCTTGTATTCTGTTTTAAGCCTACCTCAGATTTGTTAAATCTGAAAGTTGATTAAAGTAAAGTGAAAGCAATTACCATTGATAGTCATAACACTTACAAAAAAATTTGCATTTTACATACTAGAACCGCTAATCATAAATTTTTGTGAAATTTTAATGCTCATTTTATATGTCATTTACTCCTTCTGATGTGCTCCTTTTGTTAATGACTTCTTATCCCACAGATTGCCAGATCAAATCTTGCTAAGGTATCTACAGTGGCAGTGGCAAATGAAGCTGAAGACGACTAAAGTGGTAACATTCTGCTTCATTATCTTCTTAGTATACTCTTCTTTACCATTATGTTCTGAGCTTCATATATCCATATAACTGATACCTTGATCTTTTGTCTCCTCAATACATTTCATGGCTTACTTCTGTGTGACAACTGTGATGATCCTAAAATCCAACAGTCACATATTGTAAAAAAAATCTATCAAAATGCTCCCTATTATGTTAATAGCATAACTTGTGCAAAAATTTGCAACCTGATACAGCCTAAACATGACCTAACAAGGGCAAAAAAAGAGCTACATAACTCTGAGAACTGTTGATAAGTCAACAATGCATTTGATTTCACACCAATAACAAATTGTTAGTCATGAGAACCCATGTTTTTTAAATTAAAATGTTATCTTGTTAATCAATATTACCTCTCAAAATTGGCTGTCACTTTGAAGGAAATAACATATTAGCCTAACCAAGTGTGCCTCAAGCTCACATCTAGAGAAAAAGCAAACAATTGATTCATGAAATCATCACATGTTGCATGACTCAGTGTTAAGTTAGGACAGGAATTGTTGACAATTTGAACACATCACAACAAATAATATGGGGAACAAAATTTCATCCATTTAAAAGACTAAGTCAAAGCTGCTGCTGTAATTTCAATCATTGTCCATGTACAGGCAATTTGCAACCTGAAAATCCTACCAATTGGCATTTTTCTCAGCCAAAGTTATTACTAAAATTACTAACAGTAAAAATTTGTATTTATGTTAAAAAGTTTTTGAGTACCCACAATTTACACTAAAAACAATGGCAGGAACACCAGTTTCAACACAAAATATAATTCATAAATTTTTAAATAATAACCAAGAATACAAGCTCTGTGCTAGTTAACCCTCTGACCCCAAAGAGTGACTGGCATCTAATTTCTCCTAACACTGTCATCCCTAAATCACACAGAAACGTCATGACAATAACGGAAATGATCACCAACTAAATAAGCTCTCCTTAATCACTTGATTACTTTCTCTTTCAGCAACAAGTGTTGGCCCATGCCATAATATCCACAAGATTTCATAATTTTTCCTTTATTGCATTGTGTTGTTGTGTTTTTGATCTAAAGCAAACAAATGTTGGCCCATGGCGTAATATCCACAAGATTTCATATTTTTTCCATTTTTGCGTTGATTTCTTCTGTTCATGTGGGTTTGAGTTAAAGCAGACAACGAACCATGAATAAAGAATTTAACTTTGACAAAGTTATTTGAGAATCTTTGGACATATTAATATGATATTATCAAAGAATAGAAGGTTCATCTTGGCCGGAAACTATGGTCTTTTTCTGTACGAAATGATTTCAAGTTGTCAACACAAATAACTCTACAACCCTTTGTGCTGTGATTAATACATACATCCCGATGTGACCAAAACAACACACCTAATGACAAAACTACTACCAAACTTTACCAACCTTAACTGAGCAAAAATGCCTTTTTCCCTATGCGATGAACAATTGTTTTGAAAATCATGATTCCAGTGTTCCATTGTTTAGTATCCTGTTCGCCAGCACTCTTGAAACCAACTCCCAAATGGAAATTCATCAACTCGACCCTCCTTTTCTTTCATCTATAGCCAATTCTACTGTCTACAAACGATTCGCCACGCAACAACAAACATAGTCAAAACTTTGACGCCATCATTTACTCCGTCATAATTTCGGCCATTTGCTGCAACAAACCGACTACGCGTTGAGGTAGATCTCCCTTAGAAACAACCTCGTTACTAAGAGACCAGTGTCAACCAATATTCCCCCAACGACAAACCGGTCTAACACTACCAATTGTCTCGTCAGGCGGCCCTTTTTGGCCAATATACTTCCATAGGAATTACTTTTAGCGTCTTATACCCTCTCCTTGATAAAATCGAATCATTTCAACACAAATCATTCATGTAACACGACGAATAGAGCGTGTAAATTTACTCGCTGAAGGTACCTTTCAGAAAAGTACGTCGTTAAAGTTTGTAAAGTGCGTCAAGCTTTCGAGCTAACCGAACAGCACGGTGAAATAAGCGATTTTACTATCGCGCTTTAAATGAGATTTATCGCGCGATAAAAAAAAATTGTGACATGTATGGGCCACCTTAAGCCACCGTACGATCACGCACGACCCAACAAGTTTCCCATTTATCGCGCGATAAAATTCAATCTAAAAAGTAGATAGCATTTCCTCTATGGGCCACCGTATAAATGAAATTCATCGCGCGATAAAATTGAACTTATGAAGTGGATAGGATGTCCTCTGTAAACCACTTTATGATAGTTGCCGTGGACAAGACGACAAAGACTGCAACCGTTGAGGAGGTAAGTTTTGAGGTCGTTTTATTTTCGTCAAAAGATCATTGAGCACTACTTTGCAATACTTCTACAACATATAGCTTTGTGAATCAGTACAGTAAGCCTTGATTTCGCTAAATCTTGCGACACACCTTCAGAGATAGCTACAAGTGAAACAAGTGTGAATTATGTGAGCTTTCTTATTATATTTCTGTTTTGTTAATTTCTAGACGTCACTTTTGCATCGCCAACCCTGTTAAGAAAGAACTTTCCAGCTATCGCACCCATGCTCGTCTTGTCCACCGAAACAACGGGCGTGACAGCGGATCACGTGCGACTTAACAAGGTTCCCACTATCACATGATAATTATTTTTTATTTATCGCGCGATAATTTCCATTCATTTTTCCCAGAGGAACGAATCTTACAATCTGATTGGTTCTCACGGGCACGGTAACGCTTCCGTGAATCGCGGAACACATCCCTACCTTCGCTGCCATTTTTCATTAATTTATCTCATTTTTCCAGCTGGGCAGTATTTTTAAGTAAAGACGTCGATCACTACCTCGACCGATAAATAACTTATTAATCCCCTCTTTTCTCTCTCTCATATCAAAATGTTGACAGTAAATATTGCTTTCGAAGGATCATTTGTAGTGGTAACTGCACAACAAAAACTGAAAATTTTCAAGAAGGAAAAGCCGCATTTAATCCCCTTGTGTCTTGTTGGAGTATCTAATTCGAATTTAGTTTGCATCCATTAGAATTTTGTTCTTCAGTCTCATGGAAGTAGTGTTGTTCAATAGATTGCATAGAGTATATGCAGTTTGGTTTCAGATTTCAGATTTCAGATTTTGCTTTTTTCAACAAGTGTACGTTTTTCAACTAAGACATTGGCATACTTGGCATACATGGCATACGAAGCACACAAGGCTTTCATGGCTTTCAAAGCATATAAGGCTTCAAGCGCTCGCGACTCAATCCGTTCCAAAAATACCGCTCAACAACATCTTTTAGTGTGGATTGGCCGCGAACAATACGACTTGTGTATGCGTCTGTAAGTATTTTGGGCGTTTACACCATAAAGCTCCGGGTAATCGTAACCCAAAAACGTATAACCTCCATAGCCAAAATAACAACTCCAGAACAAATACAAATTGGCTGACAAAAGAGTTTTATTAGCAAAACTCTCGTGGTTCGTCATGTTACCCGGCCCTGTCCATGCATGACAACGTCAATCATCATCAAGATAAAACACGTGATCAGCATGTGAACACCTTCACCCTCATTGGATCACAGTTAGTTGTTATTGTGTTGAGGGCCTAATGACCACTGGATACTATTGCGCAATTTTCCCATTTCGTGGCGGAGGAAAAAAAAAAGGCGAAGCAGAGGTATCTCAGTAATGAACTAACCGGTCCATTAAGAGAAAGTTCTGTAGTCCAGTCCGATTTTAAACTTACGGAAAGAGTAACTATGGCGACCTGGTCAGCTTGCTTTCTCTGCCTAGTACCCAGACTCTGTGAGAGTTTCCTTTTGACTTCTTGGTTGCATGGCGTTTTGCACGACAACATGAATTTGGGTGCAATTTTGTTTGAAAAGACGAGGCAAGCTCCATCGCCGAGCAAAGACTTTCATCAGCTTCTAGTAACAGAGAATCAAGTGATTCTAAGAACATGGCGGATCTCAATAAGAAAAGACCAACGATACATTCCACCAAGCCAGCGAAAAGTACCAATCGAAGAATTTGACGATGACTCCTTACTTCAGACAGACATCAACCGTATTTTTGGTGAAGACACGCTCCGTCTTGTACACAGCATAGTATGTAAAGACTGGTTAGCCCGTCTTCCTCAAAATGTCCTCATTCATTTGTTGTCATTCCTCGATCTTGTCGACATTGCAAGGCTAGGATCAGTATGCAGGTCTCTTCGGAAAGTTTGCTCAAGCGACGAGTTATGGGAGAAGATTTTCCTATCCCATTGTGACACCATCAACGACGAAACTCGATCCTTAGCAAAGGAAGTCGGTTGGAGGAAAGTGTTCTTTACTAACAAACTGCAGCTTCAGGTTCAAATGAGACGACGTAAAGAAAGAAATAGCGCTGAAATGAAAAGAAAGATAACTCCAGCTGAAGAGCAGATCCCACTAACATTTGTCACTCAGTCAAATGGCAACTACGATCACTATTAATCAACTATTAACTGGTGTCCATTGAGGTTTTTTTGTGTTAGCCATTTTCTGTGAAGGTACTTGATTTATAACCAAGTTAGTTCTAAGTTATTAGTAATAAGTTAATTGGTTTTTCAAAACATGCTCGTAGCTAAGAGTTATTTGTTGCGTTGTAAATTATATGGATGGATAACTTTTGTCTGCAGAGACACCAGAGGCATGCTGAAATTCTTTAAGGGACCCGTGTAGCATACTTTAACAAACTGGTCAGCTTTGAAATTCAATTTCAGAAGTAAAGAAGGTCACAATGCTGGTTTGACATGGATAATTTTGTTTATATGTATACAGTAATTTGAGTTTTATTTTACTACAAAAAAAAACAAAAACAAAAACCAAACCTCATGATATCTACCTGTTACTGTCTATGATCCAAAGGTTCAGGTGTTGATCAATTATAATGAGTATTAAAAGTGAAGTTCATATGGATGGACTTAGATACTTTGTTGTGTGTTTACAATACTTTGAGTTTTATTTCATTAAAAAAAAAAAACAAAATTGAAACTTAACTTACATTGAATTTTTTTCTTTTGTCACTGTAGTTGTTTGGCATTTTTACATCCATTGAACTTTGTAGTTGAATAGTAAGCATGCAGATGAACTGACAGACTGAAATCAGTGTTTATGGTTTTCTGAGTCTCACAGTAACCAATATTCATATACTTGAATGTATTATCTTAGTAAAGTTAAGAGTAACTTTATCAAATTTTGATATTAACTTAATACCACTGTTTTACTTTGTTTAGAAAAGTTGGTTGTTAAAATGCTTTTAACCAATAAATATTATGGGTACATAGACAGTGTGTAATAACATATCTTAAAGGACTCACCATATACTGGTAATATCTAATTTTTATTCCTTTGTGTGAGGAGAGAAAATATCAGTAAGGTATCCTGATGACAAATTGGAATTTGATTTCCAAGTGCCTTGTTGAACCCAGAATTGCTTCTTGAAAAACAATGGATATTATTCAAAGTTGTGGTGGTGTAATTTCAAAAATGCTCATACTTAGCTGTCCCCCATCTCTTAGTTACTATTTAGCTCTCTTTAAGTCTTGTTTTGCAAATTAATTTCTCAGTCCTCAACAGAACTGTTCCACTTCAGTAACTATCATCCTTTGTTATAATGATTAAAAAATAATAATAAACTGGGCAAATTAACAACAGGCTGCGATAAAACGGAAGTTGAAAATGACAAACTTAATTTCTTAACATTATAGGAGACTTGCAGAACAACTGTAAATCAAAAGTATGGAGTTGAAAAAAGCAAAAGACAAAAACACATGACTAGACAAAAGTTGCTGCAAATTTTGTTTTTATTTTTTTTCCACTTTTGTTGTAAATGTTAATAATTGCTATTTAGATGTTTGGTAAAAACTAAGAGTGTCTTCAACCTCTGTCTACCAAACCAGCCCACTAAAAAAGAGTAAGTAATGGTAACTTGAAATAAACAACCACACTGCAGTACTCAATATCAATTTACTTTGTTTTACACTCCTACATGTTTAATCAACTCAGTATAACTAAAAGCTACTTGTCAAAAGAAACACTAACCAACAATAAAATATCAACCATGAATATTTTTTAAAATTTGTTTTCAAATCATCACAAACCAACTCACTCCACACTCCAATCAATGAATACCACATCACTGTTGATGATAACAACGTGCTTGCTCACAGTACAATTTTTGATTGTGTACCACCAAAATGAATATTAAAGTTATCACAAGGCTTATCAGAATGGAGGAAAACATCTCATTTGCTAGGATTGTAGAGTGTAATTTCCAGTTGGCCAATACCAGATGCATAGAGTGATAAAAGGAAAGAAAAACAATCCTGGAATAATTGAAAGTGAGCCCTTCACTCAGAAAATTACATTACCACTAACCTACATGTAATACTTTAAAAAAATAACATAGCTTCCTTGTTTGATTTCCACAGTATAAATAGAGAAAAAAATTTTAAAATTTAAATAATCCTTGTACAGTTAAGACATATCCTATAAACTTTAAGACAAAAACTTTCAATCTTTTGTTGTAAATCTACATAAAATTGTGTATGCTTAAAAACACTTTTCCACTCTGAAATGTTTAGTAAATACACCATCAAGCTTAAAAAATGGTCTTCACTCCTGTTATGTCAGCTGACAGATGTGTTTGGCCAGAATGTCAAAGGATTTGTGCCACTGCCACTCTGAGGTGTGTGTGGTAACTCCTTGATATCCACAACTTCACAAGACATCACACTACAGCTTATCTAACAACAAATCACAATAACAATAATTAATCAAACTCCAAGAACTTATGGGGGTGTTTTGAAGGAAAATGGCTTTTATTAGAGATAGAGACTTATAAGAGAGGCAGCCTGGGCATGTTAATTGGATATAGTGCATTCCTGAGCTGTTGTTAATAAATAATAACATTGGCCTTGAATAATTACTTTATGATAGATCATTATTACTGCTAACCATATTCTTGGAACTGTTTCTGCGTGACAGTTGAGTACTCTTGGATTTCCCTTCCTCTTCTTTCTCAACTGTGCTAACATGAATATCCTCTGCCGCTGGGGGCCTATTGAAGGACAACATTGTAAAAATAAATAACTACATATTAAATAACTTTGGTGAAGAATTCTTACAGGTCAAATTCTATGAAAGCACACCACTATAGTACAAGGACACAACTGAGGGGCCCCACAGGTGTCCCCATAAGGAACCACTGTAAAATTCATACCTTGTTGAAGATATTTCGGAAGGTTGAATTTCATCTCTAGCCACTGCTTCGCCATTTTTTTCTGGATAATCAAAAGAAAATAAGCTAAGTAACACATTTAAATATTGTTATTATTAGTGCATGTAAAATTTAAATACGATCATGATGTACAATAAAAATTCTTCAGAGTTTAAAAAAGAAACAAAAATTTATTAAAGTGAATGCAAAAAATTGGTGAGAGAAGAGAGAGAGAGAGAGCACGACTGTTAAGAAATGACAAATGTCAGTCGAGTGGCTGGGCTAGGTGGCAATTATCAAAAAAAAAAAAATATGCAGAAGAAATAGTACACTACCTACTTAAACATACAAGCACAAAGAAACAACAAAAAAATGGTAGGGGTTTGATACTTATCTACAGATTTTTTCACAAGCATATCAATGTTCAAATCACAGTTGAAAATATCAAATTGTATGAGAGGATTGTTGACACAAGTTCAACTCATAGATTTAAGATCTTCCATAAAATTTTTGATTTTTGAACAGTTGAAAAGAACATTGAATTCTCTGTTGTTAACCCCATTGATATACTGTTGGTCATATCAATTTGCTTTGTTAATACAAATTTACTTTTGAAAATCTGTTACAAGTACCTGGTAGTCTAATAGAATAAAAGATCCATGGAGATAATATGACATATTAATTACCTTTTTTCCTTCCATTTTTCCTCCTTGGACGAACATTCTTTTTTTTCTTCTCTTCATCACTCTGGCTACTGTGGCCATTCCTTAATGCCACACCTGGTTTGCTTCTGTGAAAACTAATGAACTGCTTGTGGACATCAATAGTGCTGAGAAGATAAACAAATTTTTTATAATTTTTAGAACTAAGGAGTAAATCTCTTTGGCCTGGATAATTTACTGATGCAATTAGATTCAGTTAAAAATTTCACCAAGCACTCGAACAATTGTTGTAGGTTACTAGAGAGAATTCCGGATTTCTCCTATTTCTCAGAATATTTTCATTTATTGTGTGACCTTTTTCCAGGTCTTAATAATTAGTTTAAAAATGTTGAACAAAACTCTGGTCTCAAAACAACCCTTAATATTGATAGACAATCATAAGGCACTCTCACAAAGCATCTGAACAGAAATGATCTCAATAGGTTCCTAATATTGATGATAATCAATGAAAGTTCCACTTAATTAACAGATTCAGATTGCTTTTACCTCATTTTAATCTCAACAGGAGATGATAAAGATTTACTGGACAATGATGTAGGCTGGACATGAACTTGGGGCTGATGACGTAAATTGTGCACCAGCCTCAGAGTTGGACCCTGTTTTGATACAAATTAAACATAAACACAAATGCAAAAGAAGTAATTCAAGTGAGAGAAATGGTGGATAAATTTGGATCAAGGATGCTGGCTGACCACTTTCATCTTACTGCAGCCCCAGGGTGTGAAATTGCGCCTAATACAGGCGCTAGTGTGACTAAATTTTTCACTTTGGCGACCAAATCCTGAAAATCGGTTGCCAAATTGGCGACTAGAATGTTTCATCATAACCTTACCTAGAGATATAGTGAATTAAAAAGATTTGCAAAGGTAAATCCACAGCAAACTTCCTCATCAAGTTTGTTTCCAAAACGCAGCACATGCATCTCGATTGATAACTAGACGCCATCTTGGATTTAGGTGAGTTTGAATGTTGCATATCATCAATTCTGGTGTCCACTTTGTAGCTAGTTAAAGATCTTTTCCCTAACTTAATTTCTAGAACGGTGACAGCGTAAAAAATAGGTTTTGTTTGTCTTTGAAAATGGCGACCAACTTTTTTTGAATTGGCTACCGCTTTGAAGAATTTAGGACCCAAGTTCAGAAAAAAAAATTAATTTCACGCCCTGAACCCTCAACAATACTATTTATAGAAATCTGTGCTTCATCAGTGACAGATAGGCTTTCACAAACTATTAATTACATTTTACCATATGAACTGTTTCTAAATAAAGCATAAATATGTAAAACAATCAAAGTGAATGCCTCAGCTAGCTTACTCACTCATCATGCTGGACCACAACCTCAGTGAAACACAGTCATCTATCTCAGATATACTTTGTTTTGTTAACACTGTATCTATTGAGTTGCTCATTGCAGGCCCTTGATTCTTATAGGCAGAAACTTTCCTAGAGTCCCCAAGTAAAAAGTTACAAGATCTTTTCAGCATATAACATGAGATTAGTTGCTGTCTGGATAACTTACCGTTTTGGGAAGTTCCAAAGAAACCCTTGGTTGTTCTTTTGCTTTGAACACCTTAAAGTAAAGCACACAATATTTGTTTGTATACAAAAAGCCAATAATATTATTCATTTAACACTGTGTTTAGATGTGAGCCAGGAAATTGTAACTGGTTGTAGTGCATAAATTTGAGGCTCACAGATAAATCTCCTAAAATCATATGAAAAGACTGAATGGCCTCTCTGAAGTTCTGTCTGCACAAAGTCCTATAATTGACAGCTAAACAACATTTCTAAGGGGAACTTACAAACACATGTCAAGCAAGAACTCTTACTATTCGGGAGGAACTTTCAAAAAGAAAAGGAATGTCAAATCTTATAGCTAAATGTAGTCCATGCCCCAAAAGAAAATGTTTGTGTTTTGTTTTTCTTTGAAAGTTTATCAGTTGACCTTCAAGTTGATAATATGTTGGCATTCCAACATATCTAATGTAAATTATTGCATAACATAAAAGTCACATAATGGAAAAAAAAAAAACAAAACACAACAAAGTTGGCTCACTGTTGCTCTCAAAGGTCCTGGCCCAGATAACTGATCTCTTCTGTTGGCTCCTGACAGAGTCCCAGGTGATGAAGAGCATGTATCATCATGATGGTTCTTTCCACTCTTTCCACTCTGGGCCCCTGTTCCTTGCAAGGATGTCTTTTGGGTACTTGCCAGGTGATATGGCCGCCTCACAGTATCAGTAGCTGGCTTTTTACCTAAAAATTGAGGAAAATCAGTTGATACAAACCCTTTCCATATGTGTCATTAATCAGGTGTGAGGATGAGATACCTGAATAATGGCCACTTTCTTTTTTTCTTCAGGGAACTAAGACAAAGTTGAGAGCCATAAAAACAAAGGAAACCAGGCTTATACTGAACCATCTTCAACAAACAGGTTTGGTCAAGTAAGGTATAGTCAAACAGAACATGGGATCCGTTTCATCTAGCCCCTTACAAAAGGAACATGGGCATTGTTAACAATATCAAAGTTTTATTTCACTACAAAGGAATAAATGGTTAATTTTTAAATGTGTACCAGTTTCCTTGTTAACATTTGTTCCATTCTGTGATGGATGATCTGTTGTTCTGTGCCCTCCACTAGCTGCGTTATCAGAAGACATATCACTGGATGAACTTGCCAATACAGATAATTTCTGACGTGTACTTGCTGTTGCTCCTGCCACCATACTGAAAAGTGTTCAGATTAAGTCTGTTGAGGAACTGCTGCAGTCCTCTCTACATATATAGGTTTCCAATGGGGTCTGACAAAGTTGTACCATCTAACAGAATGATTACCAGCCACACTGCACCAAATTTACTTAATTGTTGGCTAGGTAATAACTAATAACTGCTTTTTTTTTTTTCTTTCAGTTTTTGTTACCTGATTTCTCTTCAAACTTACAGTCAAAAAGTTGGAATAGTCCACTTGTTATAAGGGAAGCTCTTTGAGCATGCAAGATGAAGCAAATCCTCATGTTCTGATTGGCTACGCTTATTCCATTCCCAGGGAGAGAGAAATACAGCAGTTGTATGTCTTGAAGGAAGTCAGCACAAGTAACACCATGAAAAAAGTGAAGAAAGATTATTTGCTGTAATCGTTTAGCCAATTAATAAATTCTTCCACAACCAAGCATGTTTGATCAAGTTTACTGGATATGGCCTTACCCTAATTTGCTTTTTCATCATCTTTTGAGGAAACAGGTTTGGTTAATAATAGAATTATGACATAAACCTAACAAAAACTTGAGTATCAGTGGTTGAGCGAGATAAGGAGGAAAAAAACACTAACTTAGAGGATACACACATGAAATATCACAGCACTTTGTATACCTTGAAGTTTTAGTAATAACTCGAGAGAGTTTCTTGGGTACTGAGGGTGCATTCTTGGAACTCTTGACAAACCGCCTGACCCAATTCTTGACTCCTTCTAAAGATGTAAACTCACTGAGAGGAAGTCGTGTCCAGGGGTTGGTATTGTTCATATCAAGTACAGCCACTGCCATTGCTCGCCCCACCTGTCAACAACAAAAAACGGCAAAAATAAACCAAAATAAAAAGTTTGCTCATAGGCCAAGTGGCTCACACCACTATAACCTATCCAGTTTTCCTCTGCATTTAGCCACTTGGGATAGCATTGCTAAGGGTGTTCATGATATCCAAGTGCACAACAGATCAACCCCACCTTAGGTGTGGCACATCCAAGAACACAACACAAGGACCCCAGCATGGTTTGAACATGGAGTTCAAAGTGCTGACCACTGACATATCACATCTCAGAACAATGTATGTGGTCTTATCAACTTCTGATAAACATAATGAACAACAAATCAATCTTAAGAAGTAAAGCACATTTGCTTGACAATGTAACCTCATTTTACCTCTTCATAAATCTCTGGTGTATACTTGGGTGGGAAGCCAGGCAAAGGAGGTGGAGTAGCACACCCATTATCGCAAGTGGCAGGTGGCAAGCAATTGATTGTGCGCCCACAGTTGTAGTTACACTCTAGTGTATAACTGATAGAGAAATCATATTGATATCAAACATTGCCAAATAGTGATAAAATTAATGTATCTTGCTTGATGGCAAAACATATCATAATGTAGGTATATATTTTATGATATTATATGTTACAACATCCCAAGCTGGAGGAAAAAGCTCAAAGATTATATTTACTAAACAGGTATGCACCTGTTTAGTTACAGAGGACTCTAGTATAAATTCAAGCTAATCAAAAGTTCACTGCAGCTCAATTGATAAAACACTGGATTGCAAAATCAAAGGTTTGAGGTTCCAAACATCTCAAATAAATAAGGTTTTTTTTTTGACAACCTTACCCATTATTAATATTTGTCTTTTATGCTAATTGCGTAGTAATTTGACACCTATTCTATCAGAAAATACATCAAAAGGAATCAGTCAGGATCATATCAATCAGTATGAATTGTGTGTGTGAGTGCTAAAGAAATCTACAATTTGAGCATTACCAGTACATGCTCACAAAGATGTGTTCAGAATAGTAAGTGTTTTATCATTATCAGAAGTCTATTAAAATTAAAATGTTTCTACTGTACATCTCCTTGCCAACCTGTGAATTATCCCAGTGGCTTTATAGATGGCAACCCTCCCACTTCCTTCTTTGGACATGCCATCTCGCTTGTCCTTGCTGTACATGTTCTTTTCAGTAAAGTTACAAGCCGCAAAGTCAAAGTTTGTTGAATTCAAAGAGATGAGTTTTGGGAATAAAATAGAGCTGACATAATTGTCTTCATTCTCCAGGTAATTTGCATAGACAAAGCATCCACGCTTTGAAGCATGGCCATGCAGATCAACATAGTATGCAACCCCACTGCTTTGCTCAGATGAAGTCTGTGAAGAGCAGTAGGTGCAATTTGCAGGTTCTTTCTTGTTCAACACCGTTTTGAACTGAGGCTGGTCTAGAGTTCTTGTATTTAACTGCTTTTCTGAATGGCAGTCACTTGACATGCTGCTTGTACTTTCATTTGAAAGCTGATTAGAAACAACAGCGTCCATTTGAAGTGCATCATTTGAGGCACCAGTCTGAACATCAGGTGACATTTTCAATGCTAGAGAGTCTAAATTTGATGAGAGTGTTTCCTTGTTCTTGTTATTGTTGGCATCTTTGTCTATCATTCCATTGCCCTCCACACTTATGAAATCCATTTTTACAGACTCAGGTTCTGGCAACTCTGGCTTTAACTCAGAAGGAACTGACTGTAAATCTAAAATATCTTTGGTTGTGAAGAATTCAGAGCCAGTTTCAACAGATGTAGTGTTAAGGTTTACAGTGACTTTTTTTGCCTTCTCTGTATCACATACACAAGCATTATGGTGGTCAGAATCTTGGTGCAAGTTTCCTATAGTGTGGTGATACAAAATGATACTTTTGGCTGCAAAGATTGAAGGATGAAAGAGAGGATCAGGATCCATATACACTCGATTCAAGTTCACACCTCGCTGATCAGTGCGGTAATGGCCACGTTTGACACCATCTGGATTCAACATTGGTATCAACTTAAACACATATTGGTCCCGTAATGCTGCAGCTCTGGGATCATCTTGGCGTAAAATAAAGTCTAGGAATCCATTGAATACAAAACTTGATGGAGTTTCCCCTGGATGTACCCTGGCACTCAGGAAAAACACCTGGAAGAGTTATAGGAAAGAGTTGAAATTCATCACATCCTATGGGAACATTTAACACATTATGGTGAACAAGTATTAGTTTTCCTTGACAAGTGCAGTTGTCTAAAAAACTTGCTATTGTAAATGCCTCTTAACCCTTTAACACTGAAGAGTGACTGGCTTCTAATTTCTTCTTGCAATATCACCCCTGAATCAAACATTGAGGTCATGAGAATCAAGGCAATGATCACCTACTGAAAAAGCTCTTGATTTTTAAACAAATTCTCCTTGTCAGCACCACAGGAAATGTATAGAAAGCAGTATGGAGAATGTGCACCCTGATGTTAGAGTGTAAAGGGTTAAGAGTAAACAAGCTTACATGACATGCAATGCAACTCAGTGCTTTTGAAGCTTTACTTAGATTTAAAAGCATGGCAGACTACCATGATTACTTTAATCTTTTTTTTCTACACTAGATAAAAATGATTCCTACCTTCTTCCCTTCAAACTTGTGAGGCCTAGGATTAGTTTTGTCTGGAAAAAGACTTGGCAGAGATTCTTCCCTCTCCTCCATCATGCCCTTTGCAGAAGTTATTGTTAGAAGGTCTACTCTTAAGCTGTCCAGTGTGTAACACAAAAGTTCCCGATAGAAATAGATAGAGTCTTTTGGTTCAGAGGGGGTCATTTGCTGACATATGGTAAAGCTTCTGTCTAAATCATCAAGCTTTGCTTGGCAATCTGAGTATGAGTATGGATAGCAGAAAGCAAAGTAGTGAACTCCACTGCGCTGATCAGGAAAGCGATAAGTGAATGACAGTCTAAACTGGCCATCAACAGTCTAAAGAAAAAGGACAGAGACAACAGTTTATGAATACAGTTTTCACTCATTTTGATTATTTTAAAATTGCGAAATAAAATTTCCGCCCAAACACTAGTGGGATATTTTCAAAAGCTACCACCTACTATTGAACCTAGGAGTTGAAGTTTGGGATACTTCACTTTCATAAGTTAGCTTCCAGCAAACCTTACCAATAATTACAAACAAGTGCTTTTTTTCTATTTGCTTCATGACTTAATTTGGAAATACAGTAGTAATTTCTTACTTTATAACACAACCTGCACAGTGAAAACTACAAAAATAAAACAAACCACACCTAACGTGACTAAATGTTCTAACATCCACTTCACCTCAACAATAAATACTAATTAATTTTATTCAAGTTTACTGATTAATTTAATTAAATAGGAAAGAATATAAAGCAATGTTTGGATTTTTCTCCTAAACGCTTATAGAACGCCTCACCTCGTATTTCGGTTTATCTCGTATTCTCTCCCATTTGTTCCTAGATGGGACAACTTTCACCAGCGGAGTCATGCCTTGACCGTACAACTTTCCCTGTCGATTTAAATTCAAGATATTTATCCGTAAAAGTTTTCCAGGTTGACCTCCTTTGATGCCGAAATAAAACCATGTTCGATTTTGATTTTCAAACTCGGTGCCAGCACAGTCGGGAGCCGTCCAAACATTGTAATCAAAGTCAGGATTTATCACTACAGCTCCATCACAATCCTCTGGACTGGAAGAAGCGTCTTCAGTTTTTACTCTTTCAACGCGCGCTAAATTTCCCGAGTCAAAGTTAGAAATAAAAGTAAAAGGTCCTACTTTCTCTTCCATAACCTCTCATGTCCCATAACCGGACAATCCATGCTGAAAATATAACATTGTTTTATAAACACATTTCTTCAGGCGCTATCATTCCGCCATTTTTAGTGATGTTGTCGAGTCGTTTCCAACTGCCCGCCGTTACCTCGCAACCATGTCTAGTGCTTAGTCCATCGCCATTACTTCGGCGGTCTTTCCAAAGAGGAGCGCGAGCAAAGTCATTGTGATAACACCCTCTTTTGTTTTGTTTATTTATTCATTTATCACAAAATTTTAACTATAATTTGCAACAATTAAAAGCAAAATGACTAATGTAGCGAGGAAACCTTAGAATAATGGAGCATATTTTAATTTCCGCTTCGTCTCCGTTTCTAATAATTTTTTTTTCTCAGATAAATAACGCAACCACCTGCACCTTCACAGATTCATAGACGCTACAAGCTCTAACATGAAACAACTTGATTTCCGTGCTTTCGCAACCAGACGAAGCTAAATCTGTAAATTCTTTGTTCTTGACATCTATAATTTTTTTTCTTTAATGCCGAGAGGGTTACCTTAATAAAAAAAAAATTAAAATTCATGCAAGGGAAATTGGAATGTAATTTCAAATCTCTTTCCATAATGTGGCTACATAATATCTAATTGTTATACCGTTTTAATTTCGCTATTTATTTTTAAAACGTGAGCGTGTTTGATGGTTTGAAAGCTCCTTCATAATTTTTCATAATTATTTTTACCATTAAGAGAGCATTAAAAGTAATGGCTCTTATGGTTACTAGGCCACTGATAGCGTGGTCATTCGAGGAAAACCAACGTAAATTTTTCGGGCGCAGTGGCTAAATATTCTGTCGGGAAGGAAGGTTCCCCAGAAGTAAAACTTGTGCCAAGGGGTTTCTTGCAGATTAACTTATTACAAAAACAGCTAGTCTTTGAACAATTGACTCCAGAGTGTTCAAGTTGTCAATAAAGACAAATAATTCAATATCATTTACCATCACCTTCAAAACTGCATCCTTATGACCACATTGGCAGTAAATAATATAACTAACAACAACTTCATTCAAATTAGTTTTGTGATCACGATCCTAAGAAAACTAAAAAATCTCGACCAGAGCCCTATGACAAAAGATACTGACCAAAAATTTTGCGGCTTTAGGAATAATTAATACACAGTACATCAACTGTGCGCTGCTATGCGCATGTGCATACTATCACTTTAGGCGGCACCACAGATGGTCGCGTGCTGTTTATCTGCTTTACGGATCCAACCATTAACATAGGTATCTTAAAGAATGAAGTGACTTTTCGATAAAAGTTCTCGTCAATTTACCCAAGAACAGGCCACTACCACCAGTTAAAGGAGTTTGATTAAGTTGTCCTTTAATCAGTCAATGTCTTCAATGCTTTTCCATGAAGTACCACCATGAAGTGAGTCAGGAAAGGTCCTACTCCGAAAGCTCCAACTAAGAAAGTTGTATCTCGGGGTGCTTGACCTTTCACCATCTTAATGAAGCCTTGTTAGATTGAGCTGTGTCCAATTCCGTGGAAATCCTCTCCTGGAATAACTGTTTCTCTTTTAAGTCCTTTCAGCTTCGCTGGCGAGAGCTCTTTGTTTTCTCTGTGGAGGAGAAAAAGTTAAAATTTGAGAAATAAAACTCGCTGAAGTATAACTTTCCTCCAACCATTGTAACATCCTTAATCAGTCTCCACTTTCCAAAGGCTAACATAACAGTTTTTTGGGCACGAGGACTTGTCAAAAAAGAAAAAGCTGTAAGATTTCCCCTGCTACAGTTCTGCGGAAATCAACTGATGGGTGAGTTCAAGAGAACAGGGAGAAACCCTCAGAGCAAGGACGGTAACAAATCACTAAATGGACCCTCATTTAATGCCAGATTCGAATGCTTAACCCTAACCAAAGCTACATCTCTATCTTAAAAAGCCCCTACTGGTCAACCAGGCCTTTTCCTGATTTCAAAATGAAGGAAAAAGCCTTTGAAAGCACAGCTTTTTGAAGAAGAGTATTGAAGGAGGGAGCACGAGGATTCAATTAAGACATTAAAAGAAATTAGGACTTTACTCAACGAAGTTTGATTTCAGAGAAGAGCATCATTTTCTCCGAGAAAAATAAATGGAGTTCAAAAAAATGCCATGAAATACGGAAAGGAACCCAACAGACACTCACCCAGTTTGTATTCTCCTCGCTGGTGATCAAGTCAATTATTGCCCGCAGCAGAGCGCTTTCTCTGTTACCCGTCCCAGTCCCCACGCTTAGCTTCGTATCCGGCTTAGCGATTTTCTGTCTAAGCAGTTTGTCGAGTTCGACTCGTAACTCCTGCCAAGGTAAAACGAGAAAATGTCGACTCGTTATCTGGCAAATAGTAATACTACAAAATTGAAAACATTTTCGAAAAATTTGTCATCCCTGAAATGAATGTTGTTATTGAACTGTCTTTGATTTCAAGACAAACATCCTCAGTGTGCAGTATTTCAAGAAGAAGTTAATTTCAAATTAATTCACATTTCTTATGTAGCTAGTCCTTCTAAAAACAAAAACGGCCTAGAAACATAGGGAAAAGCGATGAGTAATTGCAGATTCAACTTAGGGATTTTGTACCGGCGCTAATCTGTCTGGCATTCAACCCATCTTGTAGAAATAACATTCTTTACCAATTTTTCGTTAAATTTCGAATGCAATGCAGATTGATTGGTCAAGATAACTAGCGCTACCTACTACACCAATCAAATGGAAAAAAAGTACAACCAAACGTGACTAGATCACCCATGTTTTCCCGTGCAACTTATTTGGTTTTAAATCTGAATTTTCATTTTTTTCAGATATTTCCCTTTGTCCTCACAGGCCCTTGTGATCACTTTAGTTTAGTTTAACGACAAGCAATCGAAAAGCGATGCATACTCAGGATTTCATTACATAGGAGCACGTCACCAAGTGGTAAGAAAACGAATCACTTTAGGAAAAATAAAACTAACCTTGACTAAATTTGCAATTCTGTTTGGAGACTTGAATTTTATGAAATCGTCGATTGCGACTGTTTCGTAGCCCTCTTCTACAAACACAGAAATCTCGCCGCCAAAGAAGAGAAGGGGGAAGGGTGCTATCATAGTGCTGTCGTACAGGAATAGCTAGAGATGAACAAAAATGCACCGATTAAACAAAACATACATCGAGAATCCTGACCGTGCATGAGATACTAAGGTAGGAATAAAATTAAATAAAATCCGGAGAGTGCGCGAGATACTGGCATAGCAATCGAATGAAAGACAATCCTTACAGAGCGCGACATACTGAGGTAGCAATCCAATGCAGGTGAATCCTAGGGGTGCGCGAAAAACAAACGCAACAAGCAAATGAACTAGAATCCTAAGAGTGGGCGGTAAACTAAAGTAATAGGCAAAGAAATGAGAATTCTCGTGGTGCGCAAGATACTAACGAAACATTGAATGGAAGAGAATCCTATAGATGCGCGAGATACTAACACAAAAATAAATTGAGTTAGAATCATGGGGTTTGGCGAGACATTAATGTAACAATCAAATGAATTAGAATCTTGAGAGTTGCACGAGAATCAATGAACACGATATACTACTTGAATGCAACAATCAAATGAAAGAGAATCTTAAGAGTGTGCGAGATACTAACGTAACAATAGAAAAGAAGAGAAGAATTAGAATGCGCGAGACGCTAATGTAACAATAAAATAAAAGAGAATCTTGAGAGAGCGCGCGATACTAACGTAACAATCGAAGGAAAGATAATTTTAAGAGCGCGTAAGATACTAACGTAGCAATCCAAAAGAAGACAATCACAGGAGCGCGCGAGACACTAACATAATCAAATAAAGAGAATCTTGAAAGAGCGCGCGATACTAGCGTAATAATCGAAAGAAAGAGATCTTGAAAGTGCGGGAGATTCTTACGTAGTAATCATATAAATTACGATCTTGAGGGTGTGCGAGAAATAAGCGCAACAATCAAAAGAATGACAATTGTGAGAGTGCAGAGATGCTTACATAACAATCGAAAGAAAATCTTGAGAGTGCACGAGATGATAACGTAACATTTGAAAGAAAGAGAAATCTTAAGAGTGCGCGAGAGTATAGAGTAAAAATCGAAGCAATGAAAATTGTGACTGCGCGAGATGCTAATGTAATAATGAAAGAGAATCTTGAGAGTGCGTGAGATGCTTACGTAAGAATGAAGTAAAAAAATCTTGAGAGTAAATGAGAGACTAAAGTAATAATCGAATGAAAGAAAATCCAGACAGTGCGCGAAATATTAACGTAACAATCATAGGAAAGAGAATCGTGTAACAATCAAAATGAAAAAGTAAACGATTAGAAAAGTTATAAGTGCGCGTGTATTATTGACCTCTTGTTGGAATTTGAGAGAAACACTATGTGCGCGAGATACCAAAGTAACAATCAATTGAAACGAGAATCAGTGCGCGATTTAGGGATGGAACGACTGTGAAAAAGTACTTGTATTCTTTACGTGTGGCGGAAAGCAAGACAAACTAACCCAATCACGCGACTCAATATCGTACAAAGACTTTGCCTTCTAACTAGCCATAGTCATCATAGAATGGCTCATGTGATCAATTTGACTCAACTTTTACAACAGTCAGTTGAAAAAACTTTCTATGGTGAAAAAAGGGCAAAATACTAAGGCCTCCTTTTACTTACCGAGGTAGACTTCATCTTTTCGTGATAAATCAGCCAGTTATCTTCATAAACTCTGACCTCTGCGTTCACTGATTTCGGATGCAAATGCACAGTACCATCTTGATGAGTTCGAAGCTTTGGAGGCCTGAAACATAATATGAACTTTTCTCTCTTTCATTCCATAAAAACTTATGCGCACTTCTTTTTTGCCTTTCACTGAAACGTGAAAACAAAGAAGGCGAAGATGAAAGTATTTACAAAAAAAGGGTCTTTACCTTGAAAATTTATGATGGTGGTTAATGCTGGCAACATTTGGATATAAACCGGCGCAAAGTATGGCTTTAACCAGTTTTAAATTGTCTGCAAAAGAACTGGCAATTTTGTTAGTAACAGACTGGAATTAGAAATGGAAAATCGAGTGTTACTTGGATAAATCTTGACACGGGAAACATTTCGATGCAGCAGTTTAATTTTCATTCAAGACCAGCCGTAAGATTCGCTCCGACGAAGATAGTTGGCTTGAAATTCCCTCAAAACATGTTCAGTGTCACGGTAAGAAGAAAGACAATGCTCACCTGAATTGTAATTAGCGGAAGAAGCCTTCGGGTTGGATGACTCCAGGAAACCAATGTCATAAAGTAATCCAGAGAACTGTTGTTTCATATCTTTAATCATCTGAAACACGGTTCACGAAATAGAAAGGTAAGTAACATAACTGTCATTGGAAAAATCAAGAATGTATTGTAAATCAGATACAATTAATGAATAAAAGTTCACATTAACACAAGTGCCCCGTTTTTGGGTTGAGTGTTGATTCCTACCCCTTGACAGCGAAAAATTAAATTGTTATTACAGAACTAACATCAATAATTTTTCGAAGATTAAACAGAAAGCAAAATGATTTGCCAAAACAATCAGATCCTTCAGAGCACTTGAATTTCGTACGCCCACAACCGAAGTTATCACAACAGCCAATCAGAAAACGGACAACTATCACTGGGAATCACTGAGACCTGGAGGTACAAAAAAGGTAAACTGTTTGAAACGCGGGAAAACGTTAGTGACTAGACGCCACCGATTTTAATGTTGCATTTGACCAACTGGGAGGTTGGCGCGAGTTTCTACAATAATCACAAAGCGAAGAGATAAATGAAACCAAATTCATCTCGGATTACTTCACTCTACTATCTTTAAAAATAGATTTACTCACCCTCATCGTGTTCACCGATAGGAAGTTCCTCCAACAGTAATCTCGCTCAATCCCTTTACGGACAGACGTCTCCCAGCCCTTAAATAAACGAACACTACAATAAATTTAAAATGCAAACTCTAGTTGCTCTGAGTGGAAGATTCGCGGTAAAACCGTTCTCCTAAAAATATACTGTTGATTACATGGCCTCTAATTTGCGGTCTGGTATAATCTTGTTTCCTCTTGGGTTTCATTGCCTCTTCTCTCTTTTTCAATCCAACGAAACTAATGTATTGTTGCTTCCTTCAAAATGAAGGTCGTTTTGAAAAGCGCAAAAAATGACTCTACCTGTGTTTGAATGTACCTGTAAACATTTACCTGAAAGGCGTTCAACAGGGCGAGATGGTCACTACGAGTATCACCAGCAAACCTCAAGCGGGCTTGCTCGGCTTCTTTTTGTTTTCCCTGAAAATACATTAAAAAAGTACTTACAAGGCTACGACAGAAGTTGAAAATTGAAGTCAGAGTCCTGTCATAAGCAGAGGCCACAGAAAAATTCCTGAGTCGTCGAAGAGTATTCCAGCCCCAGATCTTCGATTTTTTATGCAATGCTCTATCAACTGAGCTTCTGAGAACTCTTTAGTAAGCCAGGCAAAGTATTAGACTCGTGATATGACAAGCCTCCCGCATACTGACAGGAATAACAATGTCTAAAGCGCTCTGGCGACGTTATAACAAAGATGGAAAACTTTTCTTCCGTTCGTCGAGGAATAAGAATGTTACAAAAGGACCATTTAGCTTGAAAAATGACAATGATAATAAATAAATAAAAATACTCAAAGGCCCCGAAAACAGTTAATGAATTAGATGAGTGTTCCTACCAAAGGAAACACAAAAGGATCCTTAAATCCCAAAACAGATGCCACAGTTAGAACTGGATCCAAACACGAGAATATTGCACCAAATAAAATGATCTTGCCCACTCTAGGATTTACTGGTAAAGCGGCCAAATGATGACCAAGGGGAGTTAAGTCTTCATTTGCGTCCAGCGCTTTCTATAAGAGAACAAAAAAAAACAAAACAACTGTTAAATGAAAATTTGTTTCACTTGATTAAAAGGAATCGAGACAGACGGTTTGTAAAACTTCTTCGGACATAAAAGACTCACAAGTTGTTGAAGACTCTCTAAAGCATTGATGACTGCTTGTTCCTCTGGAGGTTGCAATGCTTTGGACAGAAAAGATCGGATCATACCCAGTTTAAGAATCTACCAAAAAGAAATGGAATACCTCAATTTTTAATTTTAAAAGTCAATCCGTGCAAAAAGACATAGCAATGGTACTAAAGACCCTATCTGAAGCAGTCGTGCATTGCACTCCGAGCCATAGCAAGTTCGTTGTATTGCGTTCTTGGGTATTATCACATTGCCTCACTTGGTGTTTTCCCTTATTTTAAGCACGACAGGTCAAAAAAATTTTCAAACCAATAGAGTCACCTGTTAAATTTTCAATAATTCCGATTCCAAGAAATTTTAGGCGGTCGTTAGATGTACTACAGGCGGTAAATTTTACCGGTTACCGCCTGAAGAGGAGGACACTGACTCACTCCTCCCACGAGTATAAATGGGTACAAATAAACTGCCCGGGGAAACCTGATGAAACGCTGGGGCGGCGGTTAACCTGTTATTGCCTAGCATCACATCCAAAGGAAGAAGCAACAAGCCTATCTTACAAACACCAGGATTAGCTTCGGAAGGATGAACTGCCAGACTCACACTCAGACTTAAAGTTATCTGTCCACTAGAATGGTACAAAATGATACTTCATACGTTCTAGAATAAAGAGCAACTATACCTTAATCTGCAGGCACAATTCCTCAAGAGGTGTCCGAAGCATCTCTGGCAGCTGATAGTCGTCAAGGGACTGGGCACGAAGTTGTGTGAACAAATGAAAGCAGTATCCAGGCTGTACTCTGTTGACATATATCAGTCAAGGAACTTATTTATATATGGTATTTTTTGGTCGGTTTTTCTCATTTTTATGAAAGGAATGCCTTTCTCAAAAAACTCTTTGACAGAACGCAACAGCAAATACACGTTGAAAGCTTTGTTTCAACTAAAGAATTAAAATTTCTGTAACACCGAAAGCAAACGTTGTATAAATTGATAATACCTTGTTTGTATTTCTTCCGAACATTGACATTTGGTCTGTGTTTAAAGACCTATTTCTAAGTATTTACATACAACAATAAGAATATATGGAAAAAAATATTGGACCTCGAAAACAAAAAGGGTGTCATTTTAAACCCCTTCCTCTCAATAACAGCCATGTCTCTACAGGAGCCATTTTCCGCTTTCCCCAACATGGCCATAGCTGGGAGGATCCTTTTGAGGTCGTTACTTTGGAGGGTCTTTACTACGGGAATTTTGAAGAATTTTTTTCTGGTTAATGCTAATACCTTCCAGCTCGACCGCGTCTTTGTCTCGAAGAAGCTTTACTGATCCATACAGGCTGTAAACAGGCAATATTGTGGTACACATCATATGTCTGACGAAATAGAAATAAAAACTCCTATCAGTTGTAAAAATGCATAAATCAGTGCGCCTATTGTCGCCACAGTCATAACTGTCACATTTTCTGTTAGTTCGGCTCACTCCCGCCTCGATCGAGACAAATGAGTGGTAAGTTAAGCAAAGTAACCTCGCCGATCTTATATACTACAAGTTTTCTTGATATTTGGACAAAGAAAAAATCCCAACACCCGAAGAGGAATCAAAACTACAGGTTTGGTTGCTCCACCACTGAGCTACCGAATAATAAACCATCAGTCATTTAAAGTTGCTAAACACAACAGCTACGTACATTACCTTTTCTTTCACCTTGCCAGCATCCACAACAAACACCACATCATCAATAGTGATACTACAAATGGAACAACAGCCCAGGTGAAAATCATTCCACTAAAATCCATACGTTCTAATTTTAATTTGATGGTTAGAGACGAACAAAAATTCAAAGACTGAAATGACAAAAACAACTGAGACCAGGACAAGATTGACACAGATCATTATGGGGGCGCATCCACGAATTTGGCGGGGGGTGAGTGGAAGGGAGGGACCGGGGGAGGTCCAAAATTACTTCTCGACCGACCTACTCATGCCTCCACCCCTCCCCTTCCCTGAAAAAAAAGTCAGCCAGTTAAGTAACAATAAGCCATCTTGTTGCTGCAGGAATTTTGGTGTTAGACACGTTATAGAAACCCCACCGGTATGGTCAGGGTAATGGCCCTGATCCCCAAACCTTCCCCTTGGATCCGCCACTGTATCCCAACCAGCATTAAGGAGACACGCGGTGGTACCCCTCGACCATGATACGAAAGCAGCTGTGATACTGCCAACCAAGTTCTTGTTAATACCTTGTTTCAGCAATGTTAGTAGCAATTACGATCTTCCTGACACCTTCAGGTGGGCGGTCAAATACCTAATGAAAGGAACACTGACAGATCAGTGATGGAGCAAAGAGGGAAACCAGGGTTTACTTCTAAAATAACCTAAACAGGGCGTCCACTGGAGCACCTCTTGACTGAGCATCGTAATATGGAAACCAAACTAGGCACCTTATTACACCAAGTGGCCGATCAGAAAATGAGGAAATATCACATGGAGCCAGTGAAAAGTCAACGAAAGACACAGAAAACAGCTTAAGGCGCGGGAAACGCGAGTTACAGGTCATAATTAGTTTTAAATCTATATCTGATAGGTTTAGAGGACGGTGGAAGTTTTCCCAACCATTCACTGATCGCAAATCAAGACTTAAACATGCCAAAAAAATCCTAATCCACCGCGGCATTCAATCACCGTAAAACCTTCCAGCTAACATTTATAAAACACAACTTCTCCCAACTGATCCTATACACTGTCAAGAAGAGGCACGACTAGGAAGTGAGCATGTCTGCCTGATCTTGAGCCTATTGCGTCAAGCAAATAAGGGCAAGTCAGTTCTTATCATTTGTCTTACCTCTCGTTGGTTTGTTGACGGCATCATAGAATGTAAAGGAATGATGCGGAATTTATCTGCAAATGATCAAGAAAAAAGATTTATAGACATATATGAGTGTTACTATGCACAAACAAGAAAAACCTAGTTCTCTTACAAAAGGAAAACCAGTAACATCAAACACCGATCAAAGAAAATAGACTGAAACGAACTATAGTAAGTGAATCTCTACTTTACCTGAATTAAAAAGCGTTTGAGTTTTTAACTTGTCGTGAAGTTTACTAATATCATCCCAGCCTGGTAGAAAAACTAGTATTGCTCCCTCCTAAAAACAGAAATAATCGAATTCATTTGACTTAAATTGTTATTTAAAATTGTTGCCAAAAACAACGAGTTAATTGACACTGAAGTTCAATTTCGGTCTTTGTTGGAGGAGTAATGTCAGAGTATTTTGAGTAATTTTTTGCTCAGACAGGAAAAACTCAAGTGAGAGTAGAAAAACAAAAGGGAACCAGGATGACAAAGAATGGTGAATATTTGAACGGATCACGTATAACGAACTTAAAAACTTGCGTCACTATTTTTTCCCGTGTTTTTCCGGCTTACGGTCTACAATGGCCAAGCTTGCTTGTTCATTTCTGAATATGTTCTGTACGCATGCGTTGAAAAAGGAAAAATCCCTTGGACAGGTCGTAAAACTCTGTAGGCGACGTTGTTGTAAAAACTATTCCGCTCCAACCTCAGCAACTTTCCGGGTGCAACAACACTTGAAAAAGTAGTTTATTTCGTTCATTTGGTGGAACTCGCTGAATCTAACATCCTTTGAACATACCTCCATTCGAAGTGAGATGTGAGTTATCAGTCGGACAAGAAGTTCCAAGTCGATTCTTTCCAAATCCATATTTCGAAGAGTTGTAATTGTTTTAGAAGAAAATCTGCAGCGAAACCAATAATTCACAATCACCTTCCTTATCAAAGTAATTTAACTGGATGATTTCCACTGTTATTAGGAACAAGTAAGCACTGGTAAAATTTTCAATACCAAAAAGAAACTTACGAAGGTTCCTTTAACCAAAAGTTGTTAACGATGAGGAAGTGCACTTTTAAAGTTGTTTTGAGATTCAAAAATATTGTCTTATTGCTGATATTGTGTCCAATGATCCATCAAATATTTTGCCCGCACGTGATTGGTCAAAATGCATCATGTGACCGAATATTCCCCACCTAAGAGGGGGGAGAGAAAAGGAATCCGAGGCGATATTATTCACGAATTGAAAGTATTGTTTCAGGAGAATTCTTACGGGAAACCCTACAAAAAAACCTTAAAACGCACAGAAAACTTAGCAATTACCTTCCTGTTAGGGAATTGAGATATTGCTGCCACTCTATCTGTTTTTCGTCCTCCTGACTGTCAGTCAGCCATGCATTAGTTTTCTCTAACCGTCTGTCTTTTGCCTCACTTTTACCCCTCCTGTATTTTTTCCATTTTGGTTCTGGTCTGTCTCCTCTACCAGAAACACCAGCTTTTTCTGTAATTTCATATCTGTGAATACACCAACACCCATGATCTGATTAGCAATTCTTCCATCTTGCTTCTTAGCTTAATATGCTTTTTAACTATTTCAGCGAACATGGTACTGTATTAAGGTTTGTCTCATAACCTCTTTGCTGGATAATAAATTGAGATTGTGAAGATATATTAAACTTTAATCACACCTAGGAATAAGGCAGTTGCCAAGTCATGCAGTCTCACATGAAGTTGTTTTAAGTAGACTAAGGCTCTTGCAAAATGTGCACATAAAGCTGATATTTGGCAAATCTTCTGTCAGTAAAAAAATGGATCTAAAATGCACAGAAATCTAATAAATTACTTTATTACATCATTGGCCATGGCTAAAACATTTGATAGTGTAGTCCAATTGTCAAGGTTAGTTTAGTCCTGAGAAGGACTATTGTCTCTTGTGGTGACTGATATTTTGGCAACCTGAGCAGAAGTCATCATCAGAGTCAAGAGATAAAACATGATATGATGCACATGCATGCAGAATTTATTAATAAACTTATATTTGGCCTGCCAAGTCACCAAAAGATCTCAGATCACTCTGATTCCTTACAGTATGCTTAAGCTGACCATTTTCTAAACTAACTGTTGCGGCAAACGAACATCAAGGCTCGATGAAATACCAAGAAAATCGTGACCGGAGAAAAATGCCAACCAAATCCAGGGGATATATTACAGGGACATAACTTTAATCAATCTCGTAAACTGTAAACGAATTAAAAAAGGGACTTATATAATAGATTGTATTCAATTAAACACGTGGCGACTTAACAGCGTAAATGAATCTAACATAATAAAGGAACTAATAAATGAACCAAATGCTACGGCAAACACAAAATATATATACAAATAAAGACGGAAGAGCTTGCTCGAAACGAGATAAACAACAAATCAAGCGAAAACAACTTACATATCAGTCCCTATACGCCGATGGCTTGAAATCACACTTTATAAATTAACTTTAGATGAACACCGAACATGAACAGGCGATTAATGAAAGCGGGAGAGAAAAACCATTTAAAGGAATCAAATGGCACAAAGGCCAACTGTAACGCAAATGTCACGCAAGTTTGAAAGTCACGCATTTACACTAACCTTCCTAATTATGGTAGTGTGTTCAAAGACTAACCTTGCAGGACTTTAATGAAATAAAGAAAAAAATGTTCTTTCTTATACCAATAATCCTCACCTGGTTTTTTCAATTATTTCCTCAAGATAAACCTCCTGAACAGGATAGGTGAATCCAGGAATATGAGCCATTTTGCAATTATCTTGAAGTGGAACAAAATAGAATTAGTACCTTGCATGGAAATGAAAACCTTACTTACGGCTGTTTCCAGTCAATTTTTTCCCCTTCAGATGACAAATAACAATGTGTGTTTTGATTTACTGTCATCCTAGGATATGAATGTCTCCATAAATTTCATATGAACCAACCATTCTTCCATTTGCCTTCTGCCAAAGTCAGTGGTTCTAGCTCAATTTTATTGTAAGAGCATCCCATTGGCAAAGTCACACTTGAAGTCCCAAATATTTGCCTCAACAATCCTTTTCTTCATTTCACTCTTTCTTCAATCACAATAATTAAGACTGAATTTACTCTACTGAGCTTCTTACCAAAATAAGCAGAGAACATCTCTGAATTCAAAGTTGCACTCATGAGGATCAATTTTAAATCTGGCCTATGTGAAATAAAAAAATAAATAAGAAATTTAATTGTAGGGGGAGAAGCCTTAACAGGAATATGAAACATCAAAAAGATCATGGATAAGATACAAAGTAATCAATAATCAATCAAAATCAAGAACAAGTCAAAATATGTTTTAGCAGCAGAGCCACTACAATGAGTTAACAACTACAATTGCCAAAACGTAAATCCTAACATTACCTTTTTGGTAAAAGATCTTTTATAATAATGATCAGGAAATCTGATAAAATATCCCTTTCATGAATCTCATCAAGAATGATATGACTGCAACCAAGAAGCAATCTACAAAGGAACAATAAAAAGTAATGAATGAGCTTGTTTTTAATTTATGGTTAGTACAAACTGCAAAAATCTTATGTTGGACAATGCAGAGATTGACCCTGCACTGAGTCTGGTGCAACAATGCCACAGGCAATCACTCTCTTCTATATCTGCTACATTGAATGCAGCATTCGATGATGTCAGTCACCAACAACTACAACTCCCTGTTAATAACATGATTTCTCTTACAATTTGGTGTTAATAAGCACAAGTAAGAGCCCCTTGGGCAAGTGCAAGTTGTAATCTTTGAAAAATTCAGAAGTGCTTATTACACCAAATTGTAAGAGAAATTATGTTATTACTTGTTAATAATGTACATGGAAAAACATCACAGAAAGTCAAGACAGACAATTTGCGTGCTCTTTGTCATTTGCACTTGTGTTACAACTTTGCTCTTGTGTTATATGAGAATGCACTCCTTTTCAGCCAATCAGAAGCACTTAATTTTTTCATGTACATTGTTACAGTAATAATTTCTGACTCACGGATCAGACACTAGCCATCTAAGCAGCACTCCTGTTGTACAATAGAGGATAGAACCTTGCTCTCGTGGAAGCTTGCTGGAAGAAAAAAAAAAAGGGGAAATGAGTTTATCATTTGGTGATTTTGTCTTAAAACTGCCAGCAGACAACAGACATTGCAATATTGTTTAACACCTCATTACCTTTCCAATCTTATCTGGTAACCAACACTTCCATTTTCACCACAATTTTCATCTCTTTCTGATGCAACTCTTTCTGCCACCTTGCATAGGATAAATAAAAACAATTCATTGTTGATCAGATTTAATGATCACTAAATAATAATTATACATCACTAATGGTTAAAGTAAGATAATAAGTAATACCCTTGGTACATTAATACTAAGCTAAGTCAACCTTAAGTCTGCATGGCTTCCTCTTATTGGGAAGGAATAATTAATATTTTGACAAAGCAAGGATGGCTCAGCAGGAAGATTTGTTTGCTTATCTTTCCTCCAACTTGGCTGGACTTGATTTCTCAAATGCAAGCATTACATGTGGATGGAGGTTGTTGATGGATTTAGTTGCCCCAAAGGATTCTCTTCAGCTTTTCTTCACCCATGTCATGATGGAGCAATGACTTTTAAATACTCAGAAAAAAAAGTTACTTTGATTAAAATCATGGCTTACAGAGATAGCACTTATTCTCCTGGGCTGAGTACAAATAACTCGGCATTTTGACCCATGACCTTGTTCAATAGCATCATCCAAGATGAACTGAGCAACCTAAACAAGAATCACATGAAATAAGGTCGCCGTAGGATGGCTATTTAATAATGTTAACCTAAAATTTTATCAGTTAACAACATATTGGTCCAATAAACAATCTCTTTAATTTCTTTGTTTAAGGTTACTGTCAACAAAATTTGGTCAAAATTTTCAAAATTCGTTTTTTTTTGCTCTTTAGTTAGAAAGTAGTTTAGTTTAATTTGCTGGGGAAAAAATCGTAAAAAGATTGCAAGGAACAGCTGAAAGAATTTTTGGGGAAACCTGTAATGAAGGGCAAAATGTGTCATAATGGGAAAGGCCTTCAGCAGAGTATTGACCATTGCTGGGGGCTTTCATCCTGGATCTTGATTTGCATATTTTGTTTATACCATGTTTTGCAAAATCACCTTTCCTGTGAATTTCAAAGGAGTTCTTTGTTATGAGACTTGCCAGGGGGTTCAATATTGTGTTTCATGGGTTGGTGACATGCTACATCAATGCAGTTAGGGTGCCAAAGCTGTGAATTAGGTACCAAAGCTAAGAACTTTTTTGGAGGCTAAAAAATGATTTCTTTCATAACATCCTGGAATATGACAACAACCAAACTATTTTTGATTGTCCAACTTCAAAACAGATTTTCTCAGGAACCAATGGAAATATTGAATAAGCCTCACAGGCTTTGCTAGCCTATTGTGTGCTGAGTGATACTGTCCAGTTTGTTTCTTGGTTTGCAGTAAAGTGGAGGCGGGTAATTCAGTAAAGCAAAAACTGACAGTTTCAAGGTATTTAAGGGCTCACAAGTACCTACTAAAACAAAAACTGTGGACAATTTTGTTATTTTGATTCATAATCTATATTTTATAAGCTTTACAGTATATAGTTTTCTATGGTTTCTTTAAAAGTAGCATGCATCGGACGATTTCTCTGCAAGGCATCCCATTTTGTTAACAGTACCCTTAATGCTAAAGTATTGGCCTTGTTGTATTACAAGTCACTCCTGACAGTCAGGATCCAAAGTCTGGAAAGAAACTAGGACATTCCTTTTAAAGACAATTTAGCTGGCATTAGAAATTCTTTCTAACTCATCAGCCAAGACCCATTTGTGATGAAAGTATCAAAAATGAAAGTGATATTGAGTTTCGATATACAAGTGCAGGCTAAAATATTGCAGCAGCTGAAGTCCACTGAGAGATTGAATCTCTGAAACCACTAAACTATGGCTTGTGGTTTTTCAGTTTTTATATATCAGTGGGAACACCCACTGTAAAATTGTAGTTGATTTATTAAACAAACACTGTGATACCTGGGTTGTTTTTCCACATCCAGTCTCTCCACTGATAACAATAACTTGCTCTGAGCTTATGAGTTGAAGTAATTCCTGCAATTAAGGACATTTCAAATTTTATCACTGCCATAATAATTCTAATTTGTGATTAATTAAGAGATATTTTTGTAGAGTAATGAAATGCACCAACCTCTTTCTGCTTGTAAGCTGGCAAACTTTTACGAAATTCCTATAAGAAATAAAAATTTAAAAAAAGAAATATCAAGAGCAACATCAGACTTGTTATCACAAAGTCTCAAATCTAAAACAAAGATTTTTTTAAGTCATCTTCTGTACTAAAAGTTTTCCATCAGTTTTACCTTTAAATGATATCACGATGCTGATTAGTACAAGGTAATTTAGTCTATAGGAGGTTTTGATTATACTGATGATATCAATACAGACCTGCATGGCCTTATATCTTGCACTTTCTGACAAGAACCTTCTTTGTTGTTCTTCTTTCAATTGATGATCTAACGTGGAATCTTGCTGCAAATTCCTGCCCATATTAAAATGGTGCTTGAAAGCTACTGGACTCTTTTTCTTGTTCTCACCAGACATGCTCACCTGGTCTGGATAGAATATTTCAAAGTTCACTCAAATAAGTGCTTCTAAAACTTTGAATATAATGTAGAATATTTCATGTCATTGAGAACAAATACTGAGAAAAATATTAAAAACATATCACATATCTGCATGTAAGAAATTTCATAAGGTGATCAAATTGTTCCTTATATTGTTTTGGGGCCAATACTTTGTCAATCAAAACTACAATTAAAGAGCAAAAGATAGTTTATGTAATTGAAAATAATGTACAGTATCAATCTATTTATGATCAAAATGCCAGATCCATAACAGTTTCTTTTATTTATAATCTGACAATTAGTCTAACAGAAATGCAAATGCTAATAGCACTCTGCACAAGCATGCAAAAACAGATGTTTCATTTAGAAAACATTGCAAGACTAAAACTAGGATTTGAAAACCAAAGAACTCCTTCATTACACACATCTGGATGAGTGAGATTCAACTGTAGCCATTTTATATATCTGCAAACCTTCATCCCTGCGATCAGACTCATCATGCAGATGTTGTTCACAGTACTGCTCTCCTTTAGGACCATCATACCAATCTGTCCCAGCTGATGCTCCTTCCTCTGCTCTGTCATCATTGGTTCTTTCACTTTGTCTGATTTCTCCTAGCAGCTGACTTATTCTCATTTCATGTTGACTGTCCATTGTAACAAATGCACGCTGAATAACAAAAAACATGATGATAAGCATATGTTTTGCTAAGAATAAATATTATAATGAGGAGATGGAAAAATCCACATATAAATTGGTTGAATCAAAGGACTATAGCACTACCAAACAGACAGAGTAAGACAAATACAGTCTGTCAGACAGACCAAACTACTGATTGACTGATCAAAAGGTCAGTCCAGACCAAAAGGTAGGACTGACAGAAAGACACACTCACTCTATGGGCACATAAAACCAAGAGAAAAATACACTTAGATTCAAATCCCAAGATTAAACCTGTTTAAGTTCCCTGTTTTGTTTTCCTTTATCTCTGTACCACAAGCCAATCTGTTTTCCTGTCAAACCAGAAGGGCGATGTCCACCTCTACCCCTTTTACCACGGCCACCTGAAAATTCAAATTTATCAGTAACAACAATTCCTTCAAATGATTTGCATGGTATAAAAAGCCCAAAAAGTGTTGACTTGAAAAGAAAAAAAACACCACTTACTAGGAGGTGTTCAGTATAGATTACAGGTATATCTAAGATCTTCCATATGAGTTCTACAAAAATCCTTGGAGCATGCTTATGGAAAATCTGAGTTTCTAAAGATGATAACTTGTAATGATCTGGATACATCTAAGATACATCTTCCTAGACTAATTCAAAATCCATTATCCTCTGGCATTGTTGTTGTAACAAGGCTTTCTTGACTGGTAAACAGCGGGGATATAATGCCATTACAAAACAGTGAGAGAGTCTTTTTTGTTTTTTTTGCTTTAAATATAGCTATATGTTTGTTGTGATAATGCTGTTAACTCTACATTATCACACTGAAAAAACAATGAACAATTGACCTCCAGACCATGGACCATCCCAATGGAATACCCAAAAGGACTGCCCTAAAATGGACTACACATACAAAATCCTACTTTGAATGAGTTCTATTGAAAGCATTACAGTAAACTATTCATACACTTACATTGGATGCTCCTCCTTTATTTTCTTTTGTCAATACCATAGATTTCTCGAATAAAAACCGCTTTTTGAGTTACAGGTAACCATAACTGGAGATATCAGCCTCAAAACTTGGGGTAAATTTTTTCCTGTTCAAGGTGACCTTAAGTTATCTTCAAACATTACAATCATATGTTGTTTAAACCAGTCATTTGCCAAATTTGTTTCAGTAAATGTTAAAAGGAAAAGAAGATCTTTTTATACATTTTAAGTGAGTTTGAGAAATCTCCATGATAGGATTAATTTGCAGACCAAGAAGGTTTAACAGTTAATAACTGCAACTTCTTTTAAAATATCCATTGCATGGTTATGACCATATATCTATTTAACACCTCATGTCAAATTTTATACTAGTATCCAAATTGACCACTTATGTCAAAAATTGGACATTAGTGTCTTAAATCTGACACTAGTATCCAAAATCGAACATAAAATAGGACACTAGTGTCTAAATCAGACAACAGTGTCAAAAAATAGACACTAGTGTCCAAAATTATATACTAGTGTCTTAAACCAGACACCACTGTCTAAAATTGGACACTACTGCATAAAATCAGACACTGGTGTCTAGAATCAGACACTTGTGTCTAAATTTGGACATTATTGTCTAAAGTTGGACATTATTGTCTAAAGTTGGATACCAGTGTCTAAAATCAGACACAGTATCTTAAATCAGACACTGGCATCTAAAACCGGACACTAGAGTCTAAACAGAATTGGTCCATTTTGGTGTATCCCATTAGGTAGTCCATCGGGATACTTCATAGACTGGGGGTCAATGTTTTTTTCATTCCCCACATTACTGTCATAAATATGAGGAAAAAGTGAGTCTATTTGCTCGAACAGTCTACGGTATGTGTGTGTTGTTAGTATGAACGTGGCTAATGCTGCTACGTCTGCGCGTCACTATCATAATGCTGTGTCGTAGGATTATTTTATTACACCTGCATGATCATGCTACAAATATAATGCCACAATGGTCCTCTTCTGTTCATTTGTTGAGATAAAACCCCTAAAAACCTGTTCGAGTGCCTCTGCGACTTTCAGCTGACTTGTCAGCTCTTTGAACCTTCAGACCTACCTCCCTTGTGCATTTTTGAGTCAACTTCAGTTATTATAAGCCTGACCAATTGGTTTCTTGGTAAATGAAGTCTTGCTGCCTTCAGTAAAAGCCTCATGGAGGCCTGTAAAGCGTTACTTAAAGTGACTTTGCGGCTTCCTTTTACGCCGTCTCTTCCGCCATCTTTGATCACTGCTCACCCCAGGTCCTTTTCAGGACTTTCAAATTGCGCATATAGCCTGGAAATTAAGGAAGGTGGAAAGTAAAGTGTGTAAAACTACATGAAACGTCCTCAAAAACATAACCAGATTTAACGTAGTTTCGTAACAATTTCCGGCGTAACATGTAGTAGATTTGAAGAAATTTTTTATTACATTTTTAAATCTTTATGTATGGTAATATTATCAAATATGACAGATCTACCACCTGAGACAACTAATAGTGAGTCTGAAGCAGTTTCAAGTCAGCCCAATTCACCTGTTTTTGTTGGCAACAAACACGAGTTTGTGGAAAAACAGAAGGTAAAATGCAATGTGAATGGGCGAGACATTGTTGTGTTTCACCACAACCAACGCTTCTATGCGATGGACCAACATTGTTACCGTAAGTATTAATGCATGCGCAGTACTTAATGCATATGGCTTACATGATACCAGGACAAAAAGATGGAATCCGATTCTTTTTTTGGCCAATGATCAGTGGGCTATCCATTTTCACATTCTTGGCAATCATTTTTAATTCTTCGTTTCATGGGATTTAATTTAAACCACCAATTTCATGGACTTGATGGAATCATTTCAATTGCTCTTTGAATTCAACAATTCCCATTTACTAGGCACTTGCATAGTTTCATGTAAGTGGTAACATATAGAAATATGCAGAAAAGAAGACAGAAAGATCGTCGAATGAAGAAAAGTTACCCCCTAATCCCCTAATTAGTTACCCCTAATTGGAATAGGTTTGTCGAATAGAGTTCTTCTCAACAAAGGAGGGAAATATTTCTGCACTTAGATATTTTTGCTGAAAGGGTGAAGAGTGAAGAGTTGGAGATTCTGATCTTTACCTTCAGAGGAAATCAGGAATAAGTAAGAATTCCTCACAAAATTTGATAGTAAACTTTCCAACAGGGTATCCTTACATGAGCTGCAAAACTGCCAGCTATATGGACTGGTTCTGACCAGCCCTTCACATTGATTCTTCTTCATACTGAGTTGTTAAAATTTATAACTGGTACTATTTGTTCAAGATGCTGGTGGCCCTTTGGATAAGGGAGACATTGAGGTGAGGTTATTGTATTTGCCCGCTGTTATTTGGAAAACCTTTTGAAACTACTTAATTTATTATCATGTGTTTCCTTAAGAAAAATCGATCTTAAATTGATAGGCTAGGTTCTAAATGAGATGGAAGATCAATTTTAAGGCAATCAAGTGTCTTTTCTATGCCATTGGCAAGCACTCTATTTTACAACTAATCAGAAATGGCACTTTCCATTGCCCAGTTGTGTAAAAACTTAAGCTTAGAGTTGCCATTATTTGCTACAAACTTTACACCCCAGAAAGCAGAAATCGTAACTAAATAAACTAACTCAGATAAATCCTTAACTGGAAAGATAGAGGCTCATTTCATTACTTGTACAAAGCAAAAATGTTAACTCTTGTTTTAAAAAAAAAAATCATTCTTTTTATGCAATTTAGGACATTGGAGGCAGATGGTGCATCATTTGTCCATATCACAAACAAAAGATAACACTTGAGACAGGAGAAGGACTTCATTACTCAATTGATCCCTACAATTTGAAGAAGCCACCTGAGTTGTGCTCCAAGGGAGTGGTACAAAGAGTGCATCATGTTCAAGTTATTGGCAACAAACTTTATGTTACCCTCTCAGATTCAAAAGAATACCTGCCATCTGATTATTTTTATTCAAAAAGAGTTGTAAAAAGTAACTGAATGTACACAATATAAATGTCAAAACACAGGAATGCTCTTCAAAATAAAAATATTCACACTTTTAAGGGTGCTAGTAGGTTGCAGTGGATGTAATTGAAAAATTTAACTCATACTTCTCAAAAACATTGAATTGTACAAAAAAATCTTTTTTTATTCCATCACTCTTCTCAGTAGCCCTCATCAAATATTTTTGTACAAGAGCTAGCAAAAGCAAGAACAGTGCCTCCCTGATAAATTTCTGTAGAAAAACAAATTAAGAGAGAAACAAAGGGTTCATTTGCTTTCTTTATTTTATTTGTCTTTTCTCTTCCTTGCATAAGTTACCATTACACACAGGTCTTTGTGAACTTTGTTCTAACCAGCATACAAAGCAATCTAGTGAACAACTGAACATATCATGTAACACCAAGCTTGTGAAGGTCATATTTAATGTGCAGTGCACCTTTGCAGGATTCCACCCAACCTCTGCCTTTAATTTCTCCAGAGTACAGTCAGACTTTTCTTTTTCCACAGAACTTCGATGAAACTCTCACTAAATTTGATTGCAACTTCAGTCACAAACAGCCTGTTAGGCAATTGATGCACTATCGTTGCTCGCATTATGCAGTGTTTCCAGGTAAATTTCAGGTCAGCTGTCATCATTTGCACCAATAGCATCATCATCTTGCTCATCATCCTGCAACATTTCATTAAAAAAGTAGCAATTTCCAAAGAAAAACCTTAAGTAACAATAAATAAATTTTTTTCTTGACTTCATACCCCTAAAGTAAAACTTGCATGTGCTGCAATTTTCTTCAAATTTTCCCCTTTTGGGCTTATCCTGGGGGGGGGGGTTTCAATTAAAAAGATATATAGTTGGTCACCCACGCTTATGAGAGGCAGAGGCAACTTACGAGTATATGTTTACAGCAGAAACAACAACCATTCATGGTGAGATAAATTAAAATTGGAGGGTTTGCTAAGATGGTGATACATAAATTCTACATGAAAGTACAAATTTTTATTGACCTTCATTTCACGAACATCCAAATCTTCCCCATACTGTATTGCATTATCAATCTGAATAAGCACATTCATGATAGAATCTTCGTCACAGAGGTTTAGAGGCACAAATGACACCATACTGTAATCATCAATCTGAAAATTTACAAACAAAAAGTTAAGATCATTTCTGGATCTGCATAGCCAGCTTCTCTGTCTCTCTGACTTGGCTATATTTTAAACCATTGCTGTTTGCCAAATTTTCCACAACTCCAAAAAATGTAGGCAACCTTTGTTGAAGACATTGTTTCAATTTTATTCAGCATGTTTCAAAGAATAAAGTTTTTGAGTGTGAGACAAAGAAAAAATTCCAAGTCTCCACAAGGAATTGAACATCAGACCTTCTGATTTGGCAATCCCATGCTCTACCACTGAGCCACAAGGTAATTGTGACCACAGAGACTATGGTAGTGAGGCTTATTACTGTTCATTCCTCTACTATAAAGACTGAGAAAGGCTTGTAAGATAATCCATTTCTTAATCATGATCAAATTGTTTCAAGCTGTTGAAGAGAGTTCTGGATCTTCTAATGCCAGAAAATAAACTCAGTGTGAGTGATAACATTATGTTCAACATCTCTGTATGCTTACCAGTTGTGCCAGTGCTTTATTAAGCTTCTTAAACCTCTTGTTTGAGCTTGATTCAAGGTCTCCTACAAGGTCTTGTGGATCTGGGTCCAAAAATCTGACCAAAAAAAAAACATTTTGTGTTATGATCAGTTTAAATTATGATCTGAGCCAAGGAATAATTTTAAGTAGAGCCTTCAGCTCCCACAGTTCTTTACAATCTGTTGAACATGAACTGGAGTATCTCAGACAATATTTAGATTCTCAAAATTGGTGTGCAATTGTATGACTCCTTATTCCTTCCAGAGCTACAGTCATATAACTTGTCAGCTGTATTGTACATTTTTAGTCATGCACTGAGCAGCCTTGTAAATTTATTGGCACAAAATAAACTTTTTACACATGAAAAGATTTCATGTAATGACAATCAATATACATTGTACAACCCACAATTAAGGAAATCAATAACAGGTAAGTTTGACCTCTAGGTTTCTGAGCTGTGCAGATATTCTCATTTCATGTGTGATTAAATTATAATTTAAATACTATTTTCTTTTAAACAAAATATTATTTTCCAAAGAATCCATCAACTCACCTATCAACTTGTTTCATTTGCTTCTTGCTGAGCAAATCCATCTTACTCATAACATTAATGTGAGGAATCTCCAATTGAATCATTGCTGACAGTGCAGTAAGAATTCCAGCAAAGAACTTGCTACAATCCACCAGAAACTGAGAATCAATCAGGAAAACACCACACACTCTGAAATCCCATTGGTTTAATGTCTGGACCAATTGTCTCATCACAGGCATGTGAGTGTAAAGTTCTATTTGGCCTGTAGTATAAAAGTTTAAGTTTATTGTCAATAAACAAATTGTATTCTTAGACTTTAAAGCCACCTGCCTTTTCATGTCTAACTTAAATTGCTTATTTTGATAAGCTTATATCAAAAATAATTATGAGATATCTAGGAGAGGTGGGGTTCTCGTCAATCTTGTGCTCTGATTCACTTTACAAAGTTGGCAAAACAGGCCTTTCTTGTCCACTAGCAAATGTAAACTTCGTTCTGATAAAAAATGAACTGAAGCTGCCTTATGTGCTCTGTAACTTCTGGACAACATTTTCCTTACAAGAACAAATTTTCTTTTACAAGCAGGCACTATGCACACCTGGACAATCAAACAGGACATAATCATCATCAACATCTCCCAGTTTTTCTTCTAACCAATCAAAATTCTGTACCAAGTACCTAGATGGAGGAAAAAATTAGAGAATCACATGGTTCACAATTACTATGTTTGTGCCTCTGAAAAATTTGCTGGCACTAAGACATAATACTCTTAAATTTTGAGAATCCTCTTTGAGTTTGTGGGAATAATTGTTAATCAAAAACAGGTAAATAAAGGGCTAACTATACATTTGCTAGGATCAAAAGTATACATAAATCCTAAAATTGCAATCATTCCTTACTCCATACAGAAAACAAGTCCTCCATTTGGCCCAAGTCGCAAATCATCAGCTTCCATAACATCCTCTAACTCAACTAGCTCCCGTACATCTGTAAAACACAAACATAAACTGCACCTTAAAAACAAAGAGTCAAGAATAGTTTGATACTTTTCAGCTCTTTCTTTACAACTTTAAACTTCAATTAAACTTTACACTGCAAAAACATAAATTGTCCTGCCCAAAAACACATCTGCAAAGTGACCATGGCAAAAGCTTGAACTCAAACCCTCTAATAAAGTATCCAAGTCACTAAACATTTGCCTACTATACCTCCTAATTATCAGAGATTTCACACACTGACATATAAAACCAGCTTTTTCAGTTAACATGATCCTCTGGATAAATAAGTGCTATCCAATACCTAATACTACATCCAGCCTTTTAAAAGCCTGTGACTTGTATTTTGTTTGATCAGGAGCAGCTTAAAACTACAGGAAAACATTTAAAGGCATCAGCCCAAAATTTATATGGCCCTGCATTCTCTCAAAAGTCTTCAGTGGAAAATATTATTCTGAAAACTATTTAGCTGTTTCTATTTGAAAGAACGTCTTATGATTATTAATATAAGATAAGCATCGCTGTTTGATATTGTATGGTTTTATTACCTGCAAGAACAGGATAGTCAAAGTGCTCAGCAGCAGGATCAAGATTGACCACATGAACTGTACGTTGTACGTTTTCACAATGTTGGAGTATTGCAGAACAGTAAGTGGACTACAAAGCAAAAAAAGATACATAAATAAAGCTAAGTCACCAATCATCAGCCAGTCCGCTTTCCTCTAAATCCTGAGTTGCACTTGTAAGTTTGAAAAAGCTGAGTTTCGACATTCATCTCAATTGTTGTCATTGTCTTTATCACTTGGTATTTTTCAGTTACTGGAGCACAAGACTGATCGAACCCTTCCAATTTTCTTTGTTGTGAAAAATCGTAAATGCCTACCTTTCCGCTTCCAGCGGGTCCCATGACAAGCTGTGCATATCTCATGCTTTACAACATAAAATTATCTGAGCTGCTCCATATGCAAGATAAACATCAAGTCAAGAAGTCTCCCAACCTACGTTCCTCCATGTTGTCAACTTCCACATGTTCTCAGTATGTACTTCGTGTACACCAACGATAGTGTCTATGTAATTTGAGATCTTCTTTCCGGTCATATGCCAACCTCAATTCCTTCTGGCAGAGAATCGAATAAAAAGCAACGAAGGATTTGTTTACCCTCTCTTGATAAAAAGATGTTCACTGAAAATTTTGCAAAATTTTGCCATTGCAGCTATTTCTCTGCAACTCTTTCACACGTAACTCAAACCTGCCCTTCACCTTTGATGATCATACCATCATTTTAAGTATTCCAAAGATGGAAATATGATTTATACCATTTATATTTGTTCTTTACGCAAGTTTTTATAGATGAAACCGTGGTTTTCTTTCTCGACTGACCATTTATTATTTTACACCACCTAGTAGATCAGAGAGTGTGCAACCAAGAAAAATCACTACCACAAAAACTATGCGATGAGTTGATAACATTTGTGAAATTGATTAAAATCCAAATATCCACATCTACTCCAGTTGTAAAGATGATTTATTTCATCAAAATCAGGATAATTAATTGTGCTCCAGTTAAACTTTCATTTTACACCATACATTAAGGTTAAAATAATTTTTTGTTACCAAGTCAGAAAATTTTAATTCCAACTTGTAGTAGATATTGAATAGCAAAACACAAAGCTTATCAACAAAACTGGGTCAATCTTTAATTCAAAAATCGAAAACACTTAAGGCTACATGAGAGTTTGAGTGACTGAGCGACAGTGCAATATACAAACAACTTGAACATATCACACACTGGCTACCATCTCTAAACAGAAAACTCAGCTAATGGCAGTGCTGTGTACAATCATACTTAGATATGTTTAATCTCCCATCAATCACAACACAAAAACCTTAGCCATTTACATCTCTAGGCTAGCTCTGAAAGTCAACTGTTTCTCTCTCATGAATTTGATAAAAAACCCATATCGAGATGACTAAGGAGAGTTAAGGGTTACGTCAAAGTCCTTGATACAAAAGATTGTGGCTTTTAGGAGGAAGAACAAGTCACCAATGAAGAACATTTTGACCCTTAACCCTTCAACCCTGAGAGTGACAAGCATCTAATTTCTCCCAACATTATAACCCCTATATCACACAGTAAGGTCATGAGAATAAAGGAAATGATCACCAATTAAATATTCTCTTGATTGATAAACAAATTCTCTTTGTCAGCATGTTAGAAATTGTATAGAAAACAGTATGGAGAATATGCATACTGATGTTAGAGTGTAAAGGGTTAAGGTCTGATCACATGAACACTCCATTGAAACGTGGCACCTTCTGGTACACCAAAATTTGCCACAGCCATCATAGTTATAGAACCATGCGACTCAACTTTCTTGGTACAATCACTTTGTCTAAATTGCAAACCAAACCTCAAAGTTAAAACTCTCTCTACGGCAATGAAGGACCAGAGAGGCGATATATTCCTTGTACACTTTACACAGAGGAGACAAAGCAAACCACTATATAACACTAAGTACCAAGAAAGAGTGTACTTGAAATTTGATTTCCGTGTGGGGTTTTACCCCTCTTACCCATATATGGGGTTTTACCCCTCTTACCCATATATAGGCAAATGTTGACAGCAATGTCAAGTTTGATTTCAGACAGCTTTGGTTTTCCTTTACATCCACTGCATAATCCCTTTGATATTAAGGAAAGCACCAATCAAAATATTTTTGCACTTGAGAGTCTATCAAAAGGTAACTAAAAAGAGAACCAACAACCTATATTAGTTTCTTTCACTTGAAATTTCTGGAGAAGAAAACATTGTATACAGCAGTGACAAGAAATCACCTAATTCCCTCATAGATCATACATGCAAAATTATCCATGGATGGGAAATATCAGTTTGCACCTAATCCAGAAAAGATATGAATATTTTTTCAAATGAGAGCCAGAGATATTACCAATGAATACATTTGGTTGATAAGAGATAAAAGTTAGCCAGCAGACTATTACAAACATAAAAGACTACTACTAATATCTGTTACTACAGAAAAGCATCTTTAGCAATGGATATACAAATTACATGCCAAAAGCTAGATTTTGACATAATTGTGTCTCTAGAATTAACAGTCAAGTATTTATAACAAGGGGTCACTCTGAGGGTCTCTTTTCAGCATATTTCTTGGTATAATCTTCAGCATTCTTCATGAACTTTTTCTTATCCTTCGTATACTCCTCTGCTAGATCTCCACGGAGAGGATGCTCTGGTTCAGGTGAGTGAACAAGTGCCACAAGAGCTTGAATAACTGGAAAAAGAAATTGACAGAGTATATATTACACAGCCAAGGTTTCAACCCTTTCAGTCCCAAATGCCATTAACATGTAAATTTGTCTCGCTAGTTTATTAAATCATCCAGAAATCAGACAATTAGACTAGACAAACTCATCACTTATTATGTTGATACATATACAAAACCAATTTCTTGTCACTGACTCACATCCAAATGCATAAAGCAGAGTGAGAATTCAAGCTCAGATCATGGAGATAAAAAGGATAAATTGGCAGATACATAAGTGTGTGCAACTTGCACACCCTATAATGTTCATAATCACTGATTTCTAGCCCCAAATTTGGCACAAGATTATCACCACAAATTGAGAATTCTTACAATTCACTGACTTTTTTGTTAGTACTAATTTTCACCACAAGGTAGTTCCAAGTTGTACACGTTGCAGTTTAAAAAAATGGTTGTTTGCCTATAAATAAAGAAAACTGTCTAAATTTTACATCCACCCTGTACAAACCTTGATCTGTCTTTGTTGCTGGCTTCCAGTTTTCTGGGCTGATGATTGGCAAACATACTTGACCCTTTTCATCAATGTTGGGATGATAAATCTTCGTCTTAAATGTAATCTGAAAAAAGGGTAAATTGTAAGTAGGTAATACTACAAACAGTTTTTTTTGCATAAAATTCATTCTTATCAGCTGCTTCTAATATTCAGTAAAATTATAGGCAGAACCAAGAAAAATATTATCAAAGTGGCAACCTTCTTGCCAAATTAACATGCCAAAAGTTTTTCTACTTATCCTGACAATCAAAAGAATAGTAGGGTAGAACACTAAATGAAAATAGACCAATCCATCACTTCAAATAGTTTCTCTGACAGGTTTTAAGAACCCATTTAAATTCCCGCATAGAAAGAGATGCTGAGAGACATCACTGAAGATCATTGGTTCAGACATCTTGAATTGAAGTCCAGTCAATCAACCATTAGGGTGCACTAACTACCATACATATAAAAACTGACCAATAAGATGTATTGCATCGTTTTTCATCCATTATTTTCACTTTAGCAATCTATTAATATTTTTCTCACCTTTGGAGGCTTAAAAGGATATTCTGCAGGAAAATTAATCTCAATCCTAAAAGCTCCCTTGTTGTAGGGTGGCTGATCCTGTAAAGGAACAGCAGGAGCTTTATATATATCAATGTGTAAATTATCTACAATATTTGTTGATATTTTTTGGAGAATTTGGTTCACTGCAGAGTAGCTTTTGAAATAAAATCCTTGGTAACAGATTTTAATCAACAAGAGAAATATGTGAGAACACTAACCAGATTGGTGTGTGTACACAACAAAGTATATTCAAGTCATTTAATCAAGTGAAATCATATAACAAAAGAAAAATCTATATCCCCATAAACTTTACAAAGTTTTCTGCGATATTGCCAACAAAGGAGGGGAAATTCTGGAAAAGAGAGCTTATATCATTATTCAAAATACCTCATAATAATTCCAAGTTGTAATTAAAGCTCATAAAAGGCACCGTTCGCATAATCCTACACCCATAAATTGAATAATAGATGTAACAGAGTTTACCTGAATAAAAATTTTTAACAACAGTTAAGGAAAGAACGAGATTTTATGTTATGCAGACGCAGCAACAAGTTTTAAGACTTATTTCAAAGGTAAGTTATCGCAAAATCTTCCATGAAAGGTGAAACCAGATTAATTTGTAGAACGATAACGGAAGTTAAATCGAAACAAAACCTTTCCGAGCCACATTATGTATAAATTAAAATAAAGCAAGTTTCAGAGAGATTAAGATACCTACCGGTATGATTAACCCTTGCCAGTATAGAATATTGCACTCGTCTACCGTAATATTACGAAATATTTTCTGACTAGAACCTCTGATTTCTGAGAGTTCCTGTAAAGCAGAGAACACCCCTGTCAATGCCGACATTTTGGCCAATTGCAAATTATTCTGTCTCAGTGATGTAATAAAAACAGCACCAAATGGTATTCAGGTCAGTGAATTACATTCTCATCATTGCAAACTAGAAAACTAATGCTTAACAAATACGTATTTAAGACCACGATTATCAAACCAAAAACTAAACTGATCTAGACAGCTGGAGTTTAAAACGGAGACAAATGTCATAGGGATCCAAATCATTTTCACTCAACAAGACCGGAACAAGATTTCCGCAACATTTTGCTCAAATTTTTCGCAGGTTTCCATTTCTCTGTCCACTAATCTTTTACTGAAACATTAATTAAAAAATCTATATCCAAATTGACAGAATTCACTGATATTATCAGAAGCATTCCACTTTTAAAGATAGCCTACCTTTCCCAATCTGCGTGTAGCCGCCATGCTCGAAGGAACTTCTCACAGGTTTAATAACCAGTCTCTGCGCAGCCACTATTACCCACGATTCCATGCGTAATGAAAGCAATCATTTTTCGGGTGGGGTTTTGGGCGCGGCCTCGTCCAAGCTACGTACACGTTCTTTTTTAACTCGTGCAAACGATTTTTTATGGGGACTCCGATAAGCAAATGACTCACTCGCTCTCTAAGATGTAGACCCTGTGCCAAATTCGCCCAAGCAGGAAACCATATTGGAGCAATAACCGCGCATAAAAACGATAGAAAGGCTTTGTTTACAGTTAATACAGAGAATCGTTGCAATAGATATCACCTACTAATGGGCTCCTGCACCTACCAAATGAACAAAAATTTATCGAGTTCAGGCACAAACCTAAGTCGTGTGAATCGCTCCGGTTGTTTATGATCTGATGTAAAACTGCGGAGTTGGATGATTACCATAACTGTGGATCTTTCCGTGATTTTGCGGAGGCTTGGCTGGGCTTTTGAGATAAGGGCAACCTTGCATTGCTGCAAGACTAATAATTACAAGTTCACGACCATTTTTCATCCCAAATTAAGTACCTTACGCACCAGTTGGCCATAGGAATTCTTTAATTTTAATTACACCACTATTTTACTTTTCTTTTACCTCAATTAATACTTTTCACAAAAAATGAGGAAAATAAAGACGATCTAACTGACTCATACCCTTGAAAATTAATCATAAAACTTGTTACTGCATCTGCATAACATAAAATCTCGTTCTTGCCATAACTTTTGTTTAAAATGTTTATTCAGGTTAACTCTGTTTCATATATAATTTATGGGTACAGGATTCTGCTAACGGTACCTTCTATAAGCTTTCATTACAACTTGGAATTGTAATGAGGTATTTGGAATAATGACATAAATTCTTTTTTTTTTTTAAATTTCCCTTCTTTTGTTACAATATATACGTTCTTAGTATGTTTCTAAAATTTTGGTTGATCTCAGCCTGAACGTTCTTGAAAAACACAGGCATTCCACGCATGCAAGAGTCATTTTTATGGGGTGATACGAAATGGGACACTAAGTAACTGATGTTTGCATTTACTTTCAAAAGATTCCGATGAAAATGTCGTTCAATGGAGAACAAAAATAACCTTTCAATTTATCTGAAAGGAACAGCAGCCCGCAGAGATGCCTCAGGAAGAAATTTAGCAAATGTACCAAATGAATCCCTCTTGAATTACAACTCTCGAATGTGTTTTATTTCTCAGTTAGTACAAAAGTGGCCATCGATCAAGAGAAAGGAAAATCTCAAATACATAATTATTGCAAGGAAGGAATAAGGTTTGCGACTTGAACGAAACTTTCCATATCCATTACACGATACAAATGCCTGTCAGTAGACGAAGCAAGGCCAAGAATTTCTTGCATGCCGAAAGAAAAACCCCCAACAGCCACCACGAATATCTCAACTCCATCACCTTTTAAATTGAAGGCCTTGAATAATGTAAGTTCTTTCCCCATGTTAGATAAGCCATCCGTGACTAGGAGAACATTTTTGGGACCTGCTGGGTCAAAGCCAGATCTGCATATAAAAAACAAAGAGATATACTAAGTTATTTAAGCAATTTCTGAAAATAAAGCAAATTTTCAGAAAGCAACTGGTATTATTCCTCGCCATCTGATTTAATTTACAGGGACAGCGCAGCAAGTTTTTGAGTGGGGGGGAGGGCCATTTTTGGCTCCGTTATTTTTGTTAAATTATTTTTTGTTTAATTTATTTTTATTTTCGCAAAAAGAGTTGGGGGGGGGGAGATAAAGCCCCCAAGTCCCTCCCTCTGCGCGGTCCCTTTTTTAAATAGCAAATGAGATCAAGCCACAAAAGTGTAAGTCAGTTCTTCCGACAGAGCGTCCAGTCAGAGCATCTCATTGAATTTAAGATGTTTGTCATTAATCAGTATTAATTAGTATTACTTCTCCAATCTAGAGTTGGAGAATCGCGTATCTCAGAGACCCTTCCCCGCCACCCCGGCTATGCTCTCGTGATCTGATAATGGGCTGATCGCATTTTTCTTGGCATGAAGGGTCATGAGCCACTTCCTTTGAAAAGGATCAGCTAAGTCATTGCAACGTGTAGGTTGTCAGTTTTCCCTGACAATTCATTAGTACCCTATAAAATGCTAGGTGGTTGAAGGCAATATGTGACTTTCGAATGCCATACCATGGCAAACAACAACTGGACGAGGCTTAGACCAAGAACTCTTGATTGTAAGTTCAGTCTGGTTCAGTGCAACCGCAGTTTCCACGTACGCGACATATACTTACAATGCACTTCCAAAGAGCTTGTCTTTGCACACCTGCAAAGCCTCCTGGGTATTAGTAAGGCCAGCCTTTCGCTTCACAGTCGGCAGTAGAGCTATTGTTTCGTTCTCAGAGATGAATTTTGGCGTAAGCACAGTGGCGTCCGTAGCAAAATTCACCACAGCGTAAAGTGTATCAGGTCTCGCCTTTTCAGTCAGGTAAACCAATGCTCTAAGCCCTTTCTGGAAGTTTTCTTCTCGGATCGAGTTGGAGGAATCGATGACGTATATGACATTATTGATGGTATTATTTGGCAAAGTTTCTTCACCAATTTGTCGTTTGGATCGTCTGGTGATCAGGCTGTCATCGCGGCGAAGGAAATATCTCATGATTTTCTCCGCTGTAACGTTTGAGGCTGGGATCTTCAGGTTTTCTGTTGGGAAGCAAATGGGTTAGACGACGAGATCAAATCCAAAAGTACAAAGCAATTAAACAGCGTGGTCCTATCATTTCAAGCTCTGGATTTTCTAACTCTTTGTTGTCCCAAACTTTGCGTAAAAAGATTTACTATTCTCATCAATGATCGGTCTAGCAATTCGAGGAAAAGGATGTCACGCAACGACGGGAGAAGCGTCCTCGCGTGATATCTGAGAAAACGGCTGTGAAGGAAACTAGCAATAAATCAATCAACAGCGGATATTACCTAGCCTCACGCCACGTAAAAACTGTTTGGGAAACATCTGGCTATAAACGCTTCCATCAGGGTTCATGCATTAACCTATAGCACAATGGTGCCTTTAGTAAACTATGACTAACAAGGAAATCTTTAAGATGAAGTGTATCTTTGCTTGTTACTCGACAGAAACATAGGAGAATTGTCGGAAATATAAAATCTGATATTTAACTCGCGATAAATTCTTCCATTCCGTTTCTAAACGATACCTCCCACAGGTAGGAATCACAGCTTAGCAGGAATTGCTTGGACCAAGTCAAAATTTTGTTCAGTGGTTTTAAGTCAGGAAATTCATGTCAAAGGACCGAGAGTAAAAATTGTCCCTACTCAAATGGATGCTATGAGTTACTGGATGGACAAATTCATTTAGACACTGAGCCATTATAGCTGGGTCACATCCAGACGCAATTTGCACCCTTTATATTTGCAACACTAAAACGGTAAGATTGGCTAAGCGTGATCGGTTTACCTTTAAATTTTTCTAGTCCCATTTCTAAACCCGAATCTAGGCAATTATGCCTTACCTTTCACAAAGGGGCATACCTAAACGGAAATACAGAGGAAGATAACTGTGACTCTAACCCCGAATCGATGACAATTCTTTCTCCTTACCTGCGTCGATTGCGTTTGAAAGATATCTATTTGAGTGTCTTCGACGAGCAAACACAAAACTAGTTGGTCCAACGAAAAGCACAAAAGCAAACAGAACTTTATAACGCATTGCGAAGTGGTTCACTGGCACCAGTTCCATGGGTAATGCGTACCTCTGTACCTCGTAATCCACGTTAAATACCGAGGTCCCTACAGATGTTCCCTATGTTTTCCTTAAAAATAGATAAAAAAACATCATGCTCATGTAACACAACCTGATCATGTTACGCTTATTCAGACGATTGCCAAAAACAAAATTAGAATTTTCTTATTTTTAGAATTTTGTACGAATTGATCTGATAACAAATTGACCCTATACAAACTCTTTGAGGTCTTAAAGTACATATGACTGGACGTTTCAATTTTCTTTAGCGATGGCCCGGAAGAGTGTAACAGTACGTGCATCCATGGACATGTATTCAACAGTCGACTAAAACTCAACCTGATCATCTGGTAATGCCAGTGGATGTGATTCATCACGCATTAAGGTACCTTCATTGAAGTATTCTTTTTCACCAGGAGATGATAAACACATTGACTTGCTGTGTGGTCGGTTCAAGGTTCATTTCTGACAAGTACCTTCTTACTTAAGCTAAAAGGTGAAAATGTTATTGTAAAGAATTGATATGCCGCTAAGATTCAAACTGTACATTGTTCCTGCCTTCAAATTTTATTCAGGACTTCTCTATCTCTTCTTTCGTGTTTTGGACAAAGAAAAAACCATATTCAATTGAGTGTCGAAGGTTAGTACCTCTTTTTAAGCCAATCAGATTTTCCCTTAAAATGCAAAGCTAAAACTTATCGCGACTTGATCATTCGCGTTTTCCCCATGCCTCAGGCAGTTTGCTCGTAATTGCTTTGTGACCGCGAATTCTATCTTCTTTTGTTGATCATATCTCGCCTCGCTTCGATAAGCTGATCCCGCGGTGAGTTCGTCTTGGAACTAAGGGATATAACTGAAACGAAAGAGGTTAGTGACTCAGCGAAAGTCATAATCACAGTCACGTGAGGGGATCCGCTATCATTTCGAGTGTTATCAGTCTGGTTCGTGTAAACTGATTGGTCAATTCAAGTTCATATGCTCACGCAGCAAAGTATGACAGTTAACTGTCAGTTTTTAAATGAAGGTTTTTTTTTAATTCACTTCAGACTTAAATATTCATACTTAACACTTAATTTATTACATTCGAAAAACTACAAACAAATAAATATATTTATGAATATAAAGAAAATGAACAGCCTTAAAAGAACTAAACTCGAGTCTTATTACAATTCAGAATAGGAATTATGACGGTGAAATTATTATAACCAAGGCCGCATCTATATGGTATCGGGTACCCGAGACAACCCTCCCCCCTGAGACAACATTACGGAGCCTTTATGGGAAATTTCACCTCTGTTGACTTTCGCTCGGCCTGGTTACATATTCGACAAAATGGTGGAAGACAGGGAAAAAATAGCTGTAAACATCCCGGTCATAGCGTGTGCACGCACTTTATGTTTGAGTTGTCTCGTCTTAGGTGTGTGAGACAAGGTGTTTTCATGAGAAAAAGTTGTTCCGCCTTCCAGGGTTACTCTACCTACAGAGGTGAGACAACTCGCCCCCTTCCCCTCCTCCCCTCCCCCCACCCCAGTTGTCTTGCCTACCCGGGACGAGTTCATAACCCCATTGAAAACGGTCGGCTAGATCTTTTTAAGAAATAGGTGAAACGTTAGCACGCCCAGGGTAATTCAGGGGGAGATTTGTCTCGGGTATCCGAGACCATGTAAATGGGGCCTAACAACTTTACATGTAAAGATAAGTAGGAATGGTGTGACATCTGAGCACAGATAAAACTGGTCAGAATTTCTAGTTACATTCACCCATAGGTGCCAAACAGCAGTCTCAGTTACAAGTTTTTCTTCTTTATCTCTAAGAGATTAACACTTTATGTACTGTGAAAAAGCATCTTGAGTTCCCTTTTGATGATTTGGCGAATTTCTTTCATTTTCAAACCAAACACAACGGGATTTAATGATGAATTTAGCATCATTAAAACGGTGGAAAATTGAATGGTTCCTTGAAGTACAACATTTGGGCCAGAAATAAGCAACACAGTCAAAATGATCAAGTACGGCAAGTTACAAAAAAGAAACACTACAAACACATACAATACTTTGACAGCCAAATTTACGTTTCGTGCCGAGTTTGTAGTGTTGGACAAATGATGTGCAGTCACTTGCGCTTGACTTTGGATAATCGCTTGATGCCGGCGAGCCACGGAGTAAACCTTGAAGTTAACGATACAGAGTGAAAGTATACCAACATAACAAAACACAAGAAGCACTATCTCTCCTACGCGAATTTCAATGAAGACTACTACAAACACATTCGATAGCGAAAATACCCATGCGCCGGCGACAACTGCAATGATTCGTTTTGGTGTAACAAGCTGGTTATATCGAAGATGCAAAGTTATTGATAGGAAGCGATCAATACCGATTAGAGTTACTACCTGGAAGGATACAGAGACCAAAACAGTGGAAATAACGAAAAACGCCATCAGTACTTCTTGAACATGTTTACACTCGTGACTTTGTCGAATTCGTGCGACAACTGCGATGTACAATGGATGAGTGAAGAAGCCACTGCTTAGATCAGTCACAGCCAGGCTTTGCATCAGAATTTTTGCTGTAGTTGGAATTGATGAAGCTTTTTGTAGGGCGAAAATTATGGCTGCATTTCCAAAGATTGCGGTGAAAGTTAGTAAACCGTTCAGAATGCACATGGCGATGTAAACCGAGTCAACGTGTTCAGCTTTGGCATAAAACTTGAACAGGACTTCCTCACAAAGATCGAGTGTTACTCCCATTTGAAATGAAGCAACATTACCTATGACTTATGCAAGTTGTACGCAAGAATAGTACAAAGCTTTCCACACAATAAAGTTTTGTTTAATATGGAAAACAGGTGCGGTTGTTGTTAACTATCAGCCCAATTAAATTCAAGAAAGTTTTAGCTAATTTCGCGTTTTCTCCCCAGGCAAAGTCTCTCTTTAATTCTTGGTTTGCGCAGCTGATAGCGAGTTTTGTTCCAAAAGGTTTTACAATATCATTGCTGAAACAAATTAAGTTTATATAAATTATCCACACTGTTTATCTTACAAAAGATGAACGCAGTTTTAAGGTCAGTCGTTTGTAATTATTTTCGGTAAACAAGACGTTTTGGCGTCAGTTAATTGGCGTTCAGCTTGCCTTTAGTCAAATTATAATTTCTAATTGTTTTCGATTTGAAGGGACGGTGCTAAAATTAATTTCGAAGAAAATTAATGAGCAGGAAAAGAAACAAAATGTCGTATTAGGCGACAACAAAATTTTACCGGCGACGTTTGAACACGAATCTAAGTCGCTAGCACAGCTTAAATTGAATAGCGTTCAGAAAATCCCCTCAATAAATGTAAGACCCAAACATGATTACCGATTGGAATAGTTCGGAACACACGGCCTTTAATGTGAATTTTCCATGTCAAATTTTCCGCCAGCTTTGTTTCCAAGGAAAACAGCTGTTTGTCAAATCCTTAAATAGAATTGGAATAAACTTACAGAGTCTACACGGGAGTTTATTAAAAGACGGATGAAAAAAAATTTCCTTACTGACCGAGTGTAAAGAGCGCGCTACGAAATATTGGCCAAAGGACCTATCAGACCTCAGCCTCGGACTCTTATGTTTCATTCTAAGACCCTCCAGCTTGATTCTTGGGAGGTTCAAATAAATGTTCTTACTTTAATACTAAGGTTGTTTGTCAATCTTTATTCAATTTACATATTCACCATTTTCCAATAATGATAACAAAGAAAAATGCAAAGTTCAGAAAGAAAAGACGAAATAGTGGAATAGGAATTGTTTAGCATGCATGTTAACTTGATTACGTTGTGATCTGAGCCTGGCAATTTGTATCAATCAAGTCTATGATTAAGACCTATGTTGAAATTGGTGTTTTTAGTTAATGAAATATTCGAACTTGGACTTATTGGAAAATCGCAATGTTCTTGACACATAACTCAGCCCAACGATTGGAAATCTTGATCCAATTCCTACAAAAAAACATCATGCAAACGACACGATTCTAAAAACATATTGGCTTTGAAATGATCAGAGTTTTCCAAGCGTGTAGATACTAGGAAATCCCTAAACCTCGACATTTGGAAAAACAGACAGCATGTCATATTTTACCGATGAGATCAAAGCAAAGAAAACTTTGCTAAAGAAATGGCTTGGATTCATTTAATTAATTTGAAAATTCATATTTCTCTCTCTCTCCATTTTACAAATCAATAATTTACTCTTCGACTGTGGATAAGAGACTTCGCAGTAAATTCATTTAGCTTCTTTGAAAGCACTCTACATTAATTGTAACAAATTTTGACGATGGTAATCAGTCATACATGCCAGTCGCAGGCTCGTTTTCCGTCCCTCTCAAGTATTCTTGCAAATTGAACATCGCCTTAATATCGTCAATTAATGAATTGGTCGATTGTAAATTGTCAGATAACTTAAAGTCACAAGATGTTAATGAGAGTCCAAACCTTTTTTTCCACGACGAGCTGTCCCTAAAATGTCTTTGCGAAAAAAAATACAAAGAGCTGAAGAGCTTCATATTGGTCATAACTAATAGAACTTCAGAAATTGAGAGCCGTAAATTTTTGATCATGGCAACTAAAGAGTTGATTTTTGAATCACCTATTTCTGTGTTTAGGTAAAACAATATTTTTGAGGACATCTGTTTACAGCGTTGCTTCGCTGCAATAGCGTTGGTGGTTCAAATCCGCCGCAACGCGGTGAAATATTTGTGCTATATGTAGCGCCAGAGAAAATTTTTATTGTGTTGTTTGACGTTCCCAGCTTTCACAACAACAATGAAAAAAATCAAAGAAAAACAAAAGCAAAAACCAAATTTTAACAACAAAAAGGACTTGTTCTGAAAGAAAGTTATGTCAGTTGAAGTTAATTTATCCCTCTTTTGAGAAGGGACATTTTTGCTCAGGAGACACTTTCTATAGTCCTAAGGTGTTCCTTTAATGGAGGCTTCTCTGTATCATGACTTTATTCCTCTTTCACTTTACATTACAATAGGGACATCCTTGGTTTTCCCAATAATTGCACGTGGATATTCCGCTAACGACATCAGGTTTCTCCTCTGGACATGTTGCTCGTCTCATTATTTTGGCGATCTGTTAATGGAGGGAATTGGGGAGCATATTGGTCGACACCAATCAAAAAGGATGATATCAAGGCAAAATGTTTTGAACATGCTATTTACATACTGTTACACTCCTGATTAGCAATTGTAACATAACAATGCACGACATTGTCCACAGGCTTTCCTCGGTTCTCAAAATTGTGTTGGGTCAAGAGGAAACAATGATTTCCCATTATTTTCTCTTAGTTGGGTCGAATACACTTCAGACCCTTCCTTCCCCCCCCCCTTCCCTCGAAAAAGGTCTGGTTCAGTCCGAAATTACCTTTAGGCCCTGTAGTTAAAGAGCATCATCACACTATCTCATTGGATCTATATTTTATGCTTACCTTTGGAACAAACAGTACGAGGAGAGTAAATGTGGAGATGAAGTTCAGTGTTGTAGCAATCAGCGCGTATCTGGCTTGGATATGAGCCTCTCCGACAACATAGTACAGAGGAACGTTTATCAGACTCATGATCACGACATTATACACGCTCATACCGATGTATTTGGAGTCATTCAGTGATGGGAAACTGACGTGTCTTGTCTCCCAAGCCAGAAAAAGCCCCAAAGCCAGTAACAAAGTTTTCCATATCACCCAGAGACTCAACCATAAATTCTCATTACCAGAAGTGCATATTAGGACTTGTCTCTGTGTGATCACGTTACCATCTGGGGATATTTCCTAGTCATTAAAGTGAAACTCTGTCAGGAAAACTAGTTTAAGAAGCCTCGCTGGACATATTTATTGTCAGTCGACTGATAGTCAGACGATACTCGATCGCTAGTCGACCGACAGTCGACAGTCGACAGTCGACAGTCGACAGCCGATTGTCGGCAGATGTAGCAGTCGACCGTCACACGGCCATCGGTTCATAAGCGACTCATTTCCACTCAATCAATTGCCGATAGTATGTCGATGGTTTATTGCAGGGTCGAGTGTCATGAAATATTGGGAAAGTGACATCAGAAGGGAACTCAGTCGTTGTTCACCAACGAAAGACACAGAGAGTTCTGTGTATTTCCTCTGGTGGTTAGATAGTGGGGAGGGGTTCCTAACGAGTCATGTCACTTTCCTTTGGGGGGAAAAAGTTATAATTTAGAAAAAGACAGAAAGCAAAACTTGAAGGATCTGCATCATAGACTTGAAGAATGCATAAACTTTTTAAAGCAATTAGTTGAAGTGCAGGCATCTGCCTTTTCTGTTTTCGAAACACCACGAATCTTTAAGAGGCTTTTTGTTCAACCTAGAAACTGCAAAACTGTTTATTTTGAAATTTCAGCACAGTCCTCCTCCAGTAAATGATTCATTTATTTATATATCATGTTTGTTTAGCGCCCGTTAAGACTTCCTACCTTACTTAAATGTTTCAGACTTCCGGCAACAGGATCTGATAGCTCCCATGCTGTTAGATACACAACGTCTAAACATACTAGTCCACAAACAATACCGAATAAGTGACGATCACGCAGGAAGTTCAACTGTGAACACAATAAACAAATGAATTAAACTTATCAATATATTGTCCAAAAAGAACGTCTTGATAGAAAGTAGTTGAGAAATTCTGGGAGAAAGCAACCCAAGTCAGGAAGATTTCATAAGTTACGGCCTCAGACTGTTATTAAGTGTTATTTTAGGGTCGTGTTACACCACCTATTTGTCGACTGCTGACTACTATGATCGTTATATTCCGGTTGCAGGAACAAAATGGCAGGAAATTGCAGTAAAATGGTAAAATAAATTGAAATCAGGTTTTGAAATATTCTGGCAATGAAAGCCCAAATGGATGGAAGATAGACGACAGATTGTTTCGATTGATTGAGGTAAGAGTTCTGTTTTGATTGACGTTTTCTTAACTGAAGTAATCTACTTCCTGGTAACTTGAGCTCTTTGATGGGAAACGACTGACCTCTTTGTCAAGATGCTTGTTGGTGAAAATTTTGTAAACCCTCCATGTTTTGACGAACATTGTGCCAAATGCCAGGCTAAATGTAAGAGAAAAAATCCACCATCTTGTCTGGAAGAGAAAAGAAATCCAAATCCAACGTGTATTAGCTTTTCTTTCTTTGCAGATTTTCCATCAAGCTAAACAAGCAGAACGAGAAATGGACAAATGAGTGGGGAGGGGGGTGGGTGGGGAGAGATGTCCCTCCAACTACATACCTTACAGATCACAGTTTGTGTGTCGAGTGACTCGACAAACGTCTCAGCCCCAAACAAAAACACACAGCAATATGCCAGCATGCAGCCGATCACGATCATGTTATTGAGCCTTGGAGATGATTGTCTGATGATACTAAAGAGTAAAACAGTGCGATTAAAGGACTGAGTCACTGGGATTAAAGAATTACATTATCCGGTATTAGGTAATTAATCAGTTGGTCAGAATAGCTAATTTTAAGGTTTCCTTGTTTATTTCTGTGCTAATTCAGTTACCGTCACCTGTAATGTCTGTGGTGGCAATTGACGTAAAGAAATCCAAGAGATGACATTAAGCCCAGCATAGCCACACAACTCAACACATAAAACAAACTGCGACTAGTCTTTACTAGCGGCTCATTCACAAGATCCTTATCTCTTGGTGGGTTACCATCTGAAAATAACAAAAGTTATTGGTATTCGCGTGAAAGTGAGCCTACCACCGAGCAGTTTATTTTACAGAGCCAGCAGTTTGCTCACATCGGTATCATACAGGGTGAGGGTTGTCTTGATCGTGATCCTGGACCAAAATTAAAAGGAAAAAAACAAATGAAACGAAAAAAATTGTCTCATTTGCGGCGTTGGCGCGGCAATTCTTTCTTTGTAAATTCATAGACGCCATCTTGAACACTCAATTCTTTGGAAGGGTGTGGAGAGAGACAAACCCTCTACGAAGGGGGTGGCACACAGACTAGAAGAAGGGGTGGAACAATGATTTCCTTTCCTACCCCACCCTTCCCGTCTGCTGTTTACCAAAATCAAACAGGCTAACTAGGTAACAATTAGGATATAACGGCAAAAAGCATTTAAAAAAAAAGACGTTTGAAATAAAGGTTATCATTTACCTGGCCATATAAACTTCTGTCCAGGTATCATGGTGAGCTCTCCATTACTCAGGTCGTGTTTTTCCGGGTCAAAGTGACCAACTCTCACTTCTTTGTCACCTGCGAAAAAATTCTTGAATTTACTACGTTATTTTTGTCAAAAAGTCGATATGAAATTTAATTGCATTTTCATTTGATTACAGATCGAAATTTCTATATAAAGATGTTTACGATATTTTGAGTTTAAAGTTTGTCATGAGATTCCTCTGATAGCGTTTCTGGTAGTTTTTACACGTCATCAGTTTAAGAAACGATGCACTGTTGAAAACGATTACATCATACATCGGTGCCACAGGAGATAAGATCAGGAGTACCTGGATTTTTTTTTTAATTCCTCCACTCACACCTTTATAACCTTGAGGATTATTCGAAATTTTAATTCTCCTTATAGTCAGTGTTTCGTTTGCTATTATCACCTTCGTGCCGGTTATCACTCTCATCGTTATTACTGTACATGTGTTACCTTGAAACTGTTCGATCCATATTTTATTGAGTCTTTCTTGGTTTCTGTTGAAGTTTATAACTCCCTAAATGAAAACGATCCAAGAAAAACAAACACAAGTAGATAAATAAGAAAAACATTTACGCGAAAAGCACGATCTTCTAACGTCTGCCTTTCGGCGCTTGAACAATAAATGAAAAGTATTTATTCCTGATTTTCAGATATCTATTCGATCTATTTTGGGGTAGAGTGAAAATAACTGCTTTTTTCTTTCAAAGAACAAATTCTTCATCATGATCGTGATTGTTACCGTTATGCCGGTTTTCTGTGTCGTGTGCGTGATGGAAATCGTGAGCATCATCTTTATCGTTATCGTGATATTATATGATGATTTTAACTTTCATTGTGAATGATTGTAATGGTAATGGTAACGCTACCATATTCTTCAACAATCCTGATCGTGACTATCATCATTGTTGTCATTACTTTTTCATTGGTGATGCACTAATGGTTTATCTTCTTCGACTTTTTTTATTTCCAAAAATATGTCAACTATGAAAGCAAGCGTTAGCTGAAAACTCTGATGATATTTCAGACAACCGGACTCACAGTTATCCCATAGGTCGAGATGTTAAGAAGCGTTCTCGACAGAAGTTGCGCAAACTCGGCATCTTCATACGAGAAGTTATCGACAGACTTGTTGTTTTTGTTCAGGTGCGTCATCGTCTTATTCAGTGCCAAGGCTAGTACCCAGGCTGCGTCATATCCTAGCGGAGCATACCCATTGGCGGAGTATGGATAGTGTTTAAGCTCTGTAGTGTACATGTCCATAAACTCCTCTGCGGTCTAAAAAGACAGTGCAAGAAGGGAAGAGAACTATGACTTCTATGAGACTTGTTTAAAGATACCTCATAATGAGCCTGAGCCATTTAACCCAGAGTCCAATGCACTCATTATAGAGCCACTCCTTCTCTCACCATCCTACGATGGGCTGAACTAGAACCCAAATCCTTCACTACGCCTCTCATTTCCAGTACAAAGCAAAGAGATTTGCTTTCGAAATTAAGGAATTCGTGTTCCGCGCTATCAATATCTTCGCAGCTAAATGACTCCTAAAAAGAGATGAACAATGTCCCCCTTCCCATAAAGCTTAGGTGGAACTTTCTCAGAGGGTCCCAATAGGGTGATAAATTTTACAGCTAACGGTGAAAATTTTGGCCAATTAATATTTCCAGTTAACAGTTAATATCTTTCTATTGTTCACACCAGAATTTTTTTTAAGCTTAACTTTTTTAGCGACTAACGGTTAAATTTGTCAATTTTTACGCCTAACGGCTAACTCTTTTGGCTTTTTACGGCTCTCGGTTAACCCAATTGAGACCCTCTTCTAAGTGTGCGTGGCAGACGCTCGATGAAAAAGCGGAACGTGAGTGATTTAGACTGACATGTCCGAGGGAAAAGTCCTCTCTTCACTTCTGGTCTCTCCTGTGCTTCTTACTCGTGGTTACATCGGTTGTTCGCATTTGGGGCTAAAGGCATCCTTACCAGTCCACTTAGTGTGTGATTTGTTGCAGCGTCCATAACCAAGTCCTCCACAGCCAGGAAATTTGCTGCCGCGGTTCGAATGTCCTCAGCTGAGCAGCCTGGCACATCTGCGACTCGCCACCAGTCCTTCGTGTACCAACCGGGTAAGAGCCATTGCACGTGAGGACCATACAGTTTGTGACGGTAGGCCTGTTGAAAATTATTAGGAAGCGTGATTTATCATTGGTCCTTTTAGTGTAGCCTAATGCTTTCCAAATAGAACGCATTGTGATTGTGTATCGTGAAACTATCACAAAGAAATCGCAACAGCCGATCACTCAGAAAAAACAAAAATATAATGAAATAATATTGAGGAAATGCGAGGGTAAAATAATTAAATTGGATGCTAAATCAAACGTAGAGAGCAGCAAAGGAAACAATTTGAAACCACGATTCGTTTTGAAACTCCATCAGCTATAACTGTAGAACTGATGTTGGATGTGCAGTTAACCTTTTGACCCCTCAGGTTGACTAGATAATTTAATGTCTCCCTACACTATCTTGACCCCCGAATCACTCAAGGTCACGAGAATGAAGAAATGATCACCAACTGAAGAAGCTCTCGTTTATTTTATAAAATCTCCTTGTCAGCCTCTTGGGAAATGTATAGAGAACAGTACTAAGAATATATATACTGATCAGTTGGGGTGTAATGGGTGGTATCGTGTCAGTACGTTTTGAGAAGCTGTATAAGAATCAGGATGTGGTGAAACTTTTTTGCTTACCGCACACATGATGAGCCTTGATTTATCTGCGTACATCATACTAATGATTATACGAGCTTTCCTTTCCTGTAACAGAAAAGTTTATTACATAGGTCAGTTTCATTGAATTTGTAAAGTGATTTCTTTTTTATTTTCTACCAATGTCGATCGCATGATTTTTCGGTTCAGGCTAGACCTGAAAAGTTTTGAGTTCGCGACAGTGAATGACTTTTTCGATAACCTCGGCGGGTGCGGAAGTCATCATTAGAACCAAGTGAAGAGTTGTTTGTCAGTCGCTTGCAATGAGTATAGTTAGTGAAAAGTGACCGGTCATTGGTTTTGCCTTGATGATAGTAGCTATTATAACCGTGAAATGTTGTTCACTTTCGATTCATTGCTAACTGTTGGCTGTCGGGTTAACAACTAGAAAGCTCAGTCAATAGCATGTTTGCGAGTCAATGATTGTGATTGTTGAATGTGATTTTCTAGTCACTCGATTGTGGTCAGTCAGGCTGTTATGGAAGTTAGTGCCAGTCTCTCTAATGTAAGAAGCGTGGCAGTCGGAGAAGGTTGATTAAATAATGTCTCAGTGTAGTCATCAGTCTGTGGTATTCGTGGATCGTCCGGTTCACAATCCCGAGATACTTGTGAAATGTCAAAAGCGAGACTAGTACCTCTTAGGCTGACGATTGATCGATCAACCGATAGCCTTCAGTCATATAACAGTCTTTGATTGGCCTCACTATTCTTACCTTTAGATCTGATATGACATTATCTGGGTCCTCGACAAAGCTGTTTGTAGAAATCACAGAGATGCCTTGTGTTTTCAGTATTGTCTGAAGATCCTCATGAGCCTATCAAGTAACAAGTGGACACAATCAAAACTATTACGATATGGTTGTTATCATCTTAACATATATCAATTTGCTTTATGGAAAACGTAACCAACGGTCTGTCTAATAACTAGCCTGCCAAATTTAATTTTGAGTTTGATCTCTTTCGAATCAGCAGCTTAACCCTTATCAGCCCCTGTCTTAACGAGAATCTTGGAAGGTGAATCTGCCATAATGGCATCATTGACTGAGGGTGAGGTCAAGAGGGCTGCAGTCGTCTGTCTTTTATGAACCAGGAGGGAGTCTTGATATCCAGAGAACAACAAATGAATTAGCGAGCTTCGTCGTGGCCCATTATGCTTTTAGTTTCTTATGTTATTGTAAAACCTCACAATTTTATTATAAGAAATAATCTTGCTCAGAATATACTGGGCTAACAAGATATGCCAATTTTTCTCTCACAGTATTCCTGTCTGAACACGGGACTTGCCCCGTCTTGCCTGATGGGCGCGTCCGAGAAACCTCCTAATACGCGCGCATTGGCTATCATAAATCTGTAGTGTGTATATATATCATACGTCATTGAAGAGATCCTCATCTTGTTTGACAATAGCAATCCGCTTCCAACCAAATCTGCGCAGCAGTGAGACAACAGCCTTGTTAAGAATCGTTTCCGGGGCATTGATTCGGAAGAAAAGTGGATACCGGGTTTTCTCCGAAAGGCGCGGTGACCCAGCACTGAAACCAATCTAAAATGAAAGAGATAGTGATGCCATCAGAATCCCCTGCAAGGAAAGTCGTGAGACGGACCATTGATAAATAGTGTAAATTCGGAAAAGTAAACAGAAATAACTAGGTTAAGGAAAAAAAAAAGGGATAAGGAACACAAGAGAATTGAGCGGACTTCTCTTTGAGATAGAAATGTATTATATTGGTTTGCGTTTGAACGCTTTCCTGGAAAACTAGATCCTTTTCAGCAATTGTCATCAGGAATGATTTTCATTTGGCCACAATGAAAATGTGAAAATTTCCTAAATGGCTCATGGGCTATAAAGAAGTTTTTTCCTTCGGTATTGTATGTCATTGTTATAAAATCCACAAAATGATCATTCGAAAGGATCGTTCACCAGTCGCTCGAGACATACAACATTGCTAACCTGGATCAAGTTCCAAAATGAAAATCCACAAAATGATCATGAACATCCGGGACCTATTAGGGCCATTTTTGTCGGTGGTCTTCGCAACTGCTCGATCAGCGCTTTGATAGCGTAAGAATCTGAACACTGAAAGAAGGAAAACCTTTGAAGACGGTTTTATTCCGATTGCTTCAGGGAAGACAACCCTGAACTCATCACAACAAAGATTTCAATTGATTATATAAGTCTATTATGAAACCAGTATGAGTTCACATGGGTAAAACGGAAGATGTGAAAATCATCCCTGATTGTCACGGTGATATTTAAAGTCAATGCCTGCAATACGTCTTCTCAGGGGGGATCAGTCCGGGTAGGCTTTTGTAATCAAGAATGAAAAATTTTTAACACGCTCGCGCTTGCAGGATTATTAGTCAAAACAAAACAAATCATCCCTTCAAATTGTGCTAAAATTTTATTCTCAAAGGAGAGGTGACAAAAAAGCTCTTCAAAATAATGAAGAAATATTTAAAAATCCACTGCAACGAAAATAAGAGAGACTTGAGGCATGAAGCGGTTCGGGGAAAGGTGGAGGTTTTAGAGTTAAGTGTCTTTGAGCGATTGTGCCTTTGGCCAAAAAAGTAAAACTACTGTTTTAATTTGTTAAATTTTGAACCCAAAACAGGACATCTATACGACTCTGTTCGCTGAGTATTGCATGAGATTACCTTAGTATCCCTCCAGTGTATTAGAAGTGTATGGTTTGGTAGAATGTCACTTCTGTTATTAATCTGCCTGACAGCCAGATTAATGGCTGGTTGTATGCCTGCACTGTTCCAACCCTTGTTTGTAGTATTCACCTCAATAAAGCCTCCAATATGCAATATAGACTTCTTACAGAGCACTCCTTTCACCATTACACATACCAAGACCTTAAGAACCAACTCCATGGCTCAATCATTGGTAAAAGATTCTAAAATACGATTTACGTCTCATTTCTTTATACAGCTCTGTTCACTCTTCTGATTAGGATTCTAATAATGTTTAGTTTTTGTTGATCTAGGACTAACTGCAGCTGCTCGAGGTTGTCTTAAATGCCGCTAAGCCGGTTGGCTTATAATGATTATTATGATCTTTAAATTCATCACAGAAGGGCAAATAACAGTCAGAGTATTATTGTTTGGCTAGATTCGCTACACGTCTAACACGTGTCTCAAAATCTCGTGCAAGCAGCTTATGTTTTTTTTTTCTTTCAAGTTCGTTCGCTCGTTCGAAGAATTAGAGCTTTTTAAAGCAAAAACTAGCCCGGATAGCTTTGCTGAAAGCTGCTTCAAGTCAAATATCGTTATGAAATACGAAATAAATTCATTGTCCTACTGCACCTCAAATCGATTTTGCCGGCTTGGGCCAGGGGCTTATCGAAGGCGCATGCTTTACCATGGAGCAATTAAGGAGATTTTTTGCAGCTGTTATGCCAACAAACCTCCCATTTTTCGAAACGGAAAACTACTAGTTTACACTGAGAACAGCAATCGTCTGTTCTGTATAAATTACATAACTGCGTAAGGTTTGTAAGCCAATAATTTTTAGAGTAAAGAATCATGGATTTCAAATGGCAGAATGAATTTGTTAGAATTATCTAAACTGGGTTCCAACGTGTGAGAGAGGAACTTACTCAATTAATACAAAATAAACACCGCCGTTCATCCACCTGCTCGTGAAACACAAGCTCAGGAAACCTTAAAGTACACAAACGATATGCGGTTAACTTGTGCAATTACAAGTCCACAAGCTTTAGGGCCTTAATGGTTTTCATTTAGTCTCCTCGTCATTTCTGTTTTTTTTTTGTCTCAACCAATTGCTGTAAACTGTTGTAATTTTATATGTAATGACGAATAAAAAAAAATTAAACAAATAAAAACATTAAAACAAAAAGTACAATATCTCTGCCTTCGGGTGCAAATTCTTTCTTGGGAAATGTTAATCATTTTCTTCGTAATTCCGTCTTACGACAAATAAAGTGATTTCCTACTACTCCACTGGGAATTTTAATCTGCACGTGATCGTCAGTATTCCTGGGGTTAATTTTGGTTCATACTGATAACATGGCTATTTACTGTTTGATCCAAATTCTTAGAGCCTTTTCATGCCACGTCGAATGGTTTAATTGAAAACCATTTGTATTAGTTATCGGTTTTCGGTCTACCACTTTACAACAAATATGTTTTAATTATTCATCAATCGCGGAAATTCTCCGACATGCTTCTCAAAGTGGTTGAATTTGGAAACGCTGGCTCTAAGGTTTTCGTTTGGGCGTGAAACATTTTGAAAATGGAACGTTTTACAAACGCTCACGTCACTGCTCTAGGCCTTTCTCTGCGAGACAATTACAACCTTTTAGTGCGCATGGTTAGGGTTGTATTGAAGCATTTCTGCCGCTGGTTATATAAGAAGTGGGGATTCTTTTTTTCCTTTTGGCATTAATAGCCTTGTGTTCCGCGGGCGTATTCTATGGATTCTTTTTTTTCACGCAGCAATATCATTTTTGGCACTGTTGTGATTGTCATTGGCGGTTCATATGACCTAGGTATCAGATATCTAGCCTATAGCTGTCGAATGTGGTCACGGGTGCCATGATACTGGGGAAACCGAAAGAGGTTACGTTATGAATTGCAGTTAGCTAATCAAGGCGGAAGTATTTCAAGGTGCGGTATCATCAACAAAACAGGATAATTTTCAAGATCAACTAAATTAGAGGAACTGAGACTACTACACTAAGTCGAGGTTAACTGGTAAACTCCACGGGAATGGTATGCAAAAAATGCAACTGTAGTGATTTTTGGACTGCTGTTCAAAAATCATGAAGTTGATCACACAAGTCAAAAATATTTCTTCAGTGGCTTCAGACTGATAAGAAATGTCGAACAAAACTTCATTTTTATTCCCCCTTTTTTCTCGACCAAGTTTTTTAGGCTCCGTTCAAAGATATTGATCTTACGCTTTAAATAATAAAAGCAATCCAGGGTTATTTTGACTTTTTTTTTCAGTAGGTTCCATGATTGGACTAGAAAACTCGCTCCACATTCTCAACCAATCAGCTGCGAAACCGAAACAAATAGCGACTTACGTAGCGCGTATTCCTGGGCTGAACTCCGATATTAGCATCGAGGCTCTAAATTGCAATAATGATACTGATGGCTTTCATTCAGTGATGAGGAATACTCCACTTCAGAATGGATCATATGCATAAGTCAGGCTAGAGGCAACTACCACCAGAACGAATCAATGTTTGTCTTACGTCATATGAGAGTATGAGGTAATAGTGTTCGGTAGAATTTATGAGACCGCATACATGAAATTAATTGGGTTTAAGTGGAAAAAGATCTGTTAGGATCAAGTTAGTTATTTGGTTCACTAGTCAGAGACACTTTCTTGGTCTGTTGCCTAATTAAAGTAAATGATACGGCTCAGTAGCCTACGTGTAGCCGTACCCTCCCCCTCATGGAACAACGGAAGGGAGCCTCTGGGTGTCTCCTCCTTCGCTGAAGAAATCTGGGAAGCTGAGGGTCCCTTGGAAGTTGAAAACTCTTGGGAAGCAGATAGGAGCATTGCGCGATGTGGTTACGTCATTCTAAATACAGCAATACTTTGTTTGTTTAGTTTCCCATGCCGCTTGAAAAATTTTCATAATGGACTTAGCTAATTGAAAACACTATAAAGGTCGTTAAAAGGACTCGCGCTTTCCTTTGTTGTTTTTACCAATATATGTTATAATTGGCAAAAGTTATTAAGTAAAGTCCTCTTCACTGGCCGACCATGTTGTTTTGAAAACATGGTTAAGAGAATCTGAACAATGATCAGTGACTCCCTATGGAGGTTCTTACAACTTAAGTAAGTGCTTATTTCAGATGTGAATTTCTCGTGAAGGGAAAATTTTTTTCAGATTTGAAATGAGTGGCTAAAAATAACTCGAATTCTGTACACGCACAGATACTTTGAGAGATTATTCCTATCCCTGTATTATTTGAATTGTTGTCTTTGCACAACACGCAACAGGTGAAGGCAATCATGTAGTCCATCGTCTCCAACTTTGAATGATTTTAAAAGTACGTTCAGGGGCATAAATTAAAGTTGGAGTAAAAAAAGATGTTTTTGAAAAATGACTGAAATTTTTAAGTTTTGAAGAACACATTACAAATACCGCTTTTGTAAACATTTCGATGAATGTTACCAAGACGGACGTAAACACTTGATTCTTTTTCTTCGATGTGTATTTTTGACCTTCAAAATGATTGTAGAATTCTGAGGGGCCTCATGAACTGGTCTTGTTATTTAATATTCGTGATTAACCTGGTGATTAATAGGCCTCTCGTTTATGACATTAAGGACTGAAGGAAACATCTTAAAATCGTGCACATTGTAATGATTGTTTTATTGCGCGCGCAAGCGGTCAACTGACCTGTTTGCTTTAAACTGCTAGTCATACTGCAAAAATTCCTCATGAGTGTTAAAAAAAATTAACGAAAAATATTTAGTTTTTGCGAGATGTTTGCCGCCCCAAATCGAAAGCATAATTTGCGGTTGCAAACCGGAAATCCTCTTCTTAAAAAGTCATAACAGAAAGCGGTTGTCAATGCGGGATTTCATAATCCTCCAAGCAGCTTTCATCTCCAACAGATGACACGCCAATCACTTGTGGAATGACCAATCACCGCTCGGCGGCATTTGCCAAGACACTGGCAGGCTTCCCAAGCCGTCTGAGAAACAGAAAGGATGCCTAAGTATTTCCTGTGGCCTTGCGGGCGGTAAAAAACCCGAATAGAACCCATGAAGATCATAGAATAAAAGTCTCGCTGCATCTGGGTTGAAGAGCGGCGAACATTATTTATCGCGCTCAAGCTCCAGCAGATGTACTTCAGAGAAGTGTTTCATTAGACCAGCAGGCAAATGCTATAGCAGGCCTGCAAAAGATTATTGTGCTGTCTAGCGATGATAAAATTAAGATAACAGCTCTTTCAAATAGGGTGAAGTGTTTGGCCTTAATACTGTAGTTCTTCAATCTAGGCAATGTTTGTTTATGTACGAAGCCAGCTTATAGATAGCAATCGACCTTGTGAACTCATGTGTTTTAAGCCTTTTACCGCGCGTCTTTTATATTGATTTTTCCGCCTTCTTGCGGATAGATCCAAGATTGAAGAGCGAAGTTAATTTTTTGTTTTCGTGACTGCGGAAGAAAACTTAAGTGTGAAATTAGTAGAAGTATAACATCTTTTTATCCTTTACTTTATCACAAAAGGTGTTATTGTATAATTGATTTTTTTGTATACAAGCGAAGTTTTGTTTCATCGCCTCGGGGCGAAATAGGCGGTACTCTATGGGATGAATAAATCTTTATTCTGGAAAAAGTCACTCATATAATCGCCCTTGAAAAAAAATACAGAAACAATTTGCGAGTATCTTTCCTAAGATAGCATTTCCCAGGAGATTTCCCTGAGAACATTGATCGTGCAATATAAACTCCCAAAATCGAAGGAAAACATACATCATCACGTCCCAATTTAGTTTGTTTGATGCTTTCAATTGTCTCCGAGTGTCACCAATTCACAGTAATTAAACTAATTAGGCCTGCTGCTCTTATCGCAGTGCCAGAAATTGACTGAGGGAGGTCATGATTGGTCAAAGTTAATTGCTTCAGCAAACTTCAAAGTAAGTGCCGCCGGATCCAACCCATAAGACGTTGCGGGCCGACCAGCTTCCCTCGTGAAAATTGATGAGGGAGTTTCTAGCTAGATGTGTTGGTTTGGTGTTCTCCTATTACAGTTTAGCATTTTCCACCTTCCTCTCACAGGTTGAACGGACTGTATATAGCATCCTTGGTACGGAAATGTGAGCTTTAGCTGGGTGGAGGTTTGATTCGTCCGATTACAAGCACCATGCGTGATAATGACGTGAATTTACGGACATTCTCTGTTGCAGGGTGCGAGGTCTCCGTAGCTTAGATCGACGTACGCCATGTAAGACGAGTCCTCTGGTTGAAGCGCGAGTTTTGATTGCAAGCGGTGAATGGTGAATTAAGGTAAGTTGAGCACTTCATTCGCAACGTAACTGTATAAAAGGATCGTCGATGCTATTTATTTTTATACGGTGTCGTTTGAGCCTTGACTTAAGAAACACGTGTGAAAAGACCTCGAGTGACACCTTCGAGCTAAAGGAGCGCGTTCATCCTGCAGAAAGGATAGCGTCGTACTTCAGCACGTTTGTGTGTTTTTAATCTTTCCTTTCGTAGAGATGCAGAGGTTTTGACAAAGATCCTTCGTTTGTGATAGGAGCTCTCTCTGGAGGGGAAGGAGGAAGCCCGTTGAATGCTTGAGTGAATTTCGATTGTAGATGACGTTTGCGTTTGCAAAGTGTTTGCGGCTAGCTATACGGGCTGAATTAAACCTGAATCAATATATTCACGCTGGCAACTGACCGGTTTATTTTAAATGCCATTCATTAGATTTGCGCGTAGATCTCAGTACCATAATCTAGGTATTTCCCCCCATTCAGATGAGTTTATGGCGTTTAATCGGAGCAATTTTAGTTAATTTCCTTTTGTGGTTGAGAGTGAGCATTGTAAACTTGCCTGAATGATAACTTACGGTCCATTCATACAACAACAATACACGTGTTTCATCATCAAGTCTGTTTTTACCAGTGAGATGCTGTTGTCTTAAAACTCTTTTGTTTATAGTCAGCATTAGTTAGCGAGAAAGATAGCGAAAAATTCAAAAGAACTTTTAATCAAAAGTTTCGAAACGGGGAACCGCATTTTTATTCGCGCGTTCAGGTTTGTGGTTTTTCATTTCGTTAGCCTCACAAACATCCAACACTTTTCGGCAAATTTGGCATTTTTTATGTAATTTTCTTCTATGTTTAATCAGATGTGTGTCTCCTTAGTTTGACGTCTCCTTTGCGACAAAAAGATGTTAGCGAAGATCGCGGGAAACCGACATAGCAATTTATTTTAAAATTTACACGAATCTCACGCATTCCGTATCCAGCCAGATCATATAGATGGATAGAATACCACTAAATTGCTGTTATCGAAAAGTACTGTGACAACTAAAGTTTAAACCCGTTTGGATCAATCTTCGAAAATAATTCGAATATTGTAGTTAAGCTTCACATCCTGTCTCAGACAAAGGTAATTGCCATGAAATTAGCAGAGGACTTTTTTATACAAAACCAGAACAATTATTCACGCCGTTCATATTGTTCTTAATTGAAAGGTTTCTTTTTTTTAAGCCTTAAAGAATTAAACCAAAGAGAACAAGAGAGACTCCACGATTATTTTCCGCAGCATGAGTTAATTATTTCGCTTTCTAGTTATTGTCTGTAGTTTCGTCGTGCCTAACATCAACAAAGTGGATTTCTCCTCAGAAGAAAACACACAAGTTTATTTTCATCTAGCGATGTTTATCTTTTGTATTACAGTTTCCCAAGAAAATCCCCGAGCGGTTTTGATATTCGCCTAAGCTCTTTAATTGCAACATTTTAATCCGCCCTATTTTTTTTGCAGCTCTCTTTGATATATTCTGCCGAATTTCGAATTGAAAGAGAGATCTCAACGGGCACCTTTCTTGTCGTTGACTTTTTGTCTTAAAAATTCGCTTTTACACGGTGATGCGGTCTTTCTCTCTTCCTTTTTTTGTATTAAAAAGCGAAATACAATATAGTTCTCTTAAAACGTATGTTTCTTTTTGGGAAAGCATTTGCATTACATTTGAGTCTGAAAATTTCAATGCTCAGTAAATTTTTTAAAAAATAAATTGTGTTGTTTCTTTCATTGTATGCAACAAGCTGCTAAAGGAACTTCAAATTTATATATGTGAGACGTTTTTTTTTTTTGACATTTTGACTTTAGGATGCATCTTGATTAGGCAAACATTAGTTTAAAAGAACAGATTTTGTGTATGCTGTCAAAGGGGTGTTTATAATTTTGTTTTTAATCAAGTTCTTGGGAAGTCATAAGATTTATTCACTGAACAGTCCTACAGAAAAAAAGTTTGCTCAGCCACAACACCTGACTTCTGAATAATATTTGTTTTCGCCTTTTGTCATCAAATGAATTAACTGTTGTGCCCTGGCCAAAATTTCTTTCATCATCCCAGGAGAAAAGTGTTTAATTTGTGTCATTATTGAGGAGATTTACTAGCAAGTGATAGAGAATTAGTTAAGAAAAAAGAGAACACATCAAGTACATTGAAGATTTTCCTTTTAATTTGATGAGAGAGCTTTCTTTATTGGGTATTTACTCACATTGGACAACTCAGCTGTTATTTAAATGATGGCAGTGTTTCTGTTGGTTTTTTGGCTTGCTTCATGTAAACAAGAAATGAAAAAAAAATATAAAACTATGTTAGCTTTGGTGCAGTCTTAAATTTGTTTTGTAGTTACAAACAAACAGATTTATTTTATCTTGTTTCTAAATTTTATAGTGAAACTAGGTGAAACTCTGTAGCTCTGTCGATTTGTAGTGTATGGTTCAGTATTACGTGATTAGCATATGAGTGCAGTCTTTCCTGTTACAATTAATCATTGTTTAAGGCGAGTTAGATTAAATGCACTGTACCTTTAAAATCAATATAGGAAACAAAGTTTAGTAACATTGAATTATTGACAACTTACATATGACTAATATTACCTGAAAACCTTTTTGCAAAGTTAAAATTAATTACTAAATTTGTGATGTTATTTCAGAATGTTTTCCAAATGAATCACCATCTCAGTGTTGATTTGTTTCAAGAAAGCTTGATTTTCCATGTTCACCCCAATAGGCTTTCATATGGTTTTAGTTATATTTAAAAATTTTAGTTGTCACTAGATTCTGATTTTGTTTCTGACAAAAATGCATCAAATCAGGGTTAAGGAGATTGACATTTCATGTTGAGAAAGATGTAAGCCTGAAAACAAGTCTTAGTACCAGATAGCTTACATTTGAACAACCTCCTCTGCTGAAAGAAAATAAGTATCAATTGAAGTATCATACATGCTCTATTGAGCTCCTTGGGAGGTTACTTATTTAGAGAGTGGTCAGCTGTTCAGAGGGCTCTTTTAAAAGAGAGAGAGGAATGATCTTTTTGAGAAAAAAGATCATTGAAATAAGTTTTTTGAAACTGGAATGCTACATTTCCCAAACCAACAACATCATCTCAATGAAATAATTTGCAGAGCATCATCATGGCATTTTAATTTTCCTCTTGTTTTTATTATGTATATTTTGTTGAGGGAAAGGGAAAAGTTAAGGACAGGTAGAGAGGTTAATGGTGAGTCTTTTGATGAACTATCTCAAAACTCTAAATGGGAAAATAAAACCATTTAAGTGGTAAATTTCCCATAGAAGAAAGGCTTAACCAGTCCAATTTTTAAAATAATACTTGAATGGCACTAACATGAAGCAGTTGATCTCTATCATAACACAGATGTCAATGTATCTGACAACAATAAGAAAAGTACTTTTCAGAATCTTTAGACAGACAGTAAATTTTGAAAAGAGCATTAAATCCTTGAGAAAGGAACAAGTGTTTAATCTGCTCAGACATTGCTTGATGTGTTGCCTAGCTGTACTACTAAAGAAGGATAACAATAATAGTTCTTGTAAAGCATTCAATGTTTGTGATCTTTGAGCAGTTACAGAATTGTTTAATGTGAGTTAATTTTCAGAGGTACAGTTAGCATTAAACATTAGCAACTGATTATAGGCATTCATAAGTTGTTTTGTGGGTTAGATCTATTTCACATGGACTTTATATATAGCAAACTTCTCCCACAAAGTTAAATGATAAAAAAGAACCTGTATTCAATGCACACATGACAATGGAAGTGAAAGTGGACACCAAACTTAAAAGCTTTTGTAATGTGAAACCTATGTTCTGGGAATGGCACAATGAGAACTCTCAGTTTCATTTTTAGCCAAGTACAGTTTAACAGTCCTTGTACTCAGAAGACATCAAGGAGAGTTCAACAGGTGTCACTGAATATGATTATTTTAAAGTTACCATAATTATCATTTTGTTGAAAGGTTAATGTAATGATTGTGACTTGCATGTCTGGTTGATATTAGTTATAATTAACCCAGTTTTATTCCTTCAAGTTAACTGCAGAGGAGAAGTAGCTGAAAGGCCAAATGTTTCTTTGCCCTCCAAGATACATGTATTTCCCATCAGTGCGATCCAAGGTATAACTATGTAAAAAATTTAAGCTATTAAAATATTTTCTTAAATTAATAACTTGTCATGATAGTGTTTTTTAAAGTGAAACAAAGTTGAAGATAAAAAATGATATGTAAGTAAATTCAGAGGAATGACATGGCCTTGTAATGTGAAAGAGGTTTCATTGGTAACAACTTCAACATAAATGTTAAATAGCTAAAAATATACTGTTAAAAAATGGTAAAGGTTACATATGATTTTAATTCCATTCTATAACTATTATAATATTAGACATGTTGAATTGCAGGTCTGTTGGTAAAGGGCACGTGTGACTTTTCTTTTGTTAAAATCCCTCATGTAAAAGACAGTGAAGTACAATTTTGATGTTGCTATGGCCACTGATTTTGACATAATTTGCATCAAAATCTTGAGCATTTTTTTCCTCAAATTCTCTTTTTGAGCACCTTAATTCATCCCTCACACCTGCTTAGCAGCTTCTATTTGCATTTTGATAACTGCTTGGTCATTTCACATTTCTGTAACTCAGAAGTTTATTGTTAGCAAAAAAAAAAAAACATGTTTTCCTTAATGTCATGGTGTTATGGTTCCTGATTGACAACAAAAGTTTCTTGTAAACAGCTAACCTACACCAAGACACCTAACAATCCAATTTGGCCAAGAGGTGAACTGTTTAGTAACTGTTGAGTTCTAGTTTATCAAGGACTTTCTTTACTGAGTACACTCAAGGGTTGCTCTAATGTGCCAGCTTATCAAGCAAAGTCTCTATGAATTCAAGAAGATGGTAGAGAAATTATGAGAAACATAGCCTTGGTTACACCAATTGCTTACATACTCATTGGACAATCATGTCAGCCAATAAAAAATAAAAGATTTTGTAACACTCAAAATTTCAATATTGAAATTGATTTAACTATTGTTTTTGTCACATCAACATTTGGTGTCTTTGGTACCCCAGCAATATCTTGTTCCTTAATTTTCCAATGGATGAGAATTATGATGATCTACATTACCTTGATGAGTTCAGAGTTCAACCAAAACAAAGATTAAGCCACTCCATGGGTACATGTTGAGGCGTGGCAAGGGGGGTCTAGGGATGCACTTGACCCCCACCACCTCTGTGAGATAATTCTCTGGTTAAGTCTTCAGCTTAGAAAGCTTGTAACATTGGTTTGCTGATCTGAAGAATCTCCTGGGATAAATCTCATTTCGTACTTGATGCTCTCCATTTCCTGGTCTTTCTCACTGTGTGAATGTAAGCCTACTGATACACAAAATCAAACAGCCCCTTAGACATATCCAAGCTTTACTCCTTCATTTGTATGTCTCAAGGGCTTGACTTAAATAGGCTAAGTAATTCTGCCCCAACCCTCCCCCTCCTCTCAAAGCCAACTTGGACCTCTTTGTTTTGTTTCTCTTGACTTTATATTGACATCTTTTCTTAAGGAGGATGGCTTTATTTTGTTAAGGAAGTCTTAATGAATCATTCCACATTCCAGTGGTGGTTTTTATTGTTTTTTTTTTTTTATTGCTGTATTTTTACTTAAAGAATGTATTAATGTGCTGCAGGGGATGGCAACCGATCAAGTGCAGTCAGAGCCGAGTGCTTCCCTTGAAGCAATACCAGTAAGTTGTCAGTGAGAGATGAAAACATTTTATCAGTCTGTTAATTAATGTTATGTTCTTCATATTAACATTAAGAAGTATAATAGGATCAAGATTTAAAACTGTAATTGCATTTGAAGATCTGTCCCACAGACCAATCTGCAGCCAACTGGCATCAGTCCAGATTTTTCTCAAACATAATTAAGCAAAGCTTTATTGTAAGGTTGGGGTGTAAGCTTGTACAGTAGGGCTGCAAGAGCATTTGTTTATAGTGACTACAAAAAGGTTAAGTTCTGTTAATTTTGATCAGCACCCTTGATTTCCCAACTAATGGTTCACAATTATTTTGACTAAACGTTTAAGTGATGAATGCACAATAGTAACATAGTGACGTGACATATTTTTTCCCAGGCTAAAAGGCCCAGACAAGAGAATGGTGACAATGAAAAAGACAGGTGACTTTTTTCTGTATGGTAAATAAGGCTGTTAGTGGGCTAAGTTGTTCTAATCAAATATTTATTATATGTTTGTAACAACATAGATATGTTTCTCAAGAGAATTCTTTGGTTGATTCAGGCTCTGTGACATCAGTTGTGAGAAAGAATTAGTAGTCAGGTTTAGAGTATTGAAAACTCAGGGAAGTATCCTCCTCTCATGTTTTATTATCTCTTCCTTAGTGATGAGTCCAGCAATAATGGATCACCCTCGCAACAGCCTGTCAATGGTTCATCAAGAGACGGAAAGGCAGTTAATGCCAATCAAAATGCTGACAAGAATGAGTCGTCTTGGGATGTCAATGAAGCCACAATTACTGTAACTACTGCTGATCTTGATGTTGGAGCTCCTAATGTTGTTGCACCAGTTTCAACGGCAACACTCAGCTACCCCTCATCTGATGGTGCTTCCACCATGACAAATTTAGATGGATGCAACTTTGGGAATCAGGCCATTGCATCTGGTGTAACTGACAGCTCTGGCCAGTATCAACAGCTCTCTGGGCAGTACGCCGCAAATACTGCTGCTTACTATGGCCAGCGGCCTTATCCTCACATTGTCCCAGCACCCCAGCAGGGTATTCAGCAGTATAAGACAACAGGGGGTGTAATACAAGGAACGGGAATAACGCAAGTTGCTGGGTATGTGTATCCACAGGCAGCACCTCAAGGTGGCTACCCCATGGTACAGACTGTAAGATACCCTGCTGTGAATGCAACAGGAAAGACTTCTGTTGATTCTCGCAATACCTCTCAAGGGAAAGCCCCTGGGGGCAACATCCCAGATATATCAACTCTTCGTCAACCAGCAGGAACTTATGGTAATCCTTATGGAACTGTTACATACCCTGCAATCATTCAACCTGGTCAGGCTGTGTATACTAATCAATATCAAGCACCTTATGGGGCAGCTTATGTAGCTTCAACCGGAACCCCAACTTCTAGTACCACAGCATATACTGTCCAACAGTCTGACCAAGGTTCTTTTCAATATGGTTACACTACAAGTAATCAGCAAACTTATCCATACAACTACTTGAACGCTCCTCCCCCAGCTTATGCTCCGTCACAATACATTACACCAATGAATAGTACACCGCCGCCTAATGCTGTCGCTGGTCAAAGCAGCGGTTATCAACTTACCCAGCTTGTTGCTGGACAGGCTTCTCAAGGTGTCACAACCAATGGAGAAAGGACGCACACTACAAGTACAGGTACTTTGACTGTTGTAATAGTTATTTAGTTATCAATTTTCTTTTTTGTTCTGATTTTGCAATTCATTATTTCTTTTCTTAACTCTAGGTGATTTAAACCATTAGTCATTTTCATCACCCAGTGCAACACCCAAGCTTTGCTTAAGAGATAATAAACTTCTGTTAGTTCAAACCAATTCCTTTCCTCATAAGGATTTTGCCTTATCACCTTTTATAGTATGAACCCTTGATGGCTTGTGTCTAGTGCTAGTTTGGCCTCTTTGTACTATATACGTGCACATGTGTTTTATTTAGCCTCTCTCCTGTGTGAAAGGAAGGAAATGATGTTATGTATTGCATCCCTGAGGTTGTTTGGAATTGCCATTCTAATGGGAAGGGAACCTTTAACAATTTTTACGTGAGAGTCAGTGAGCATCACAGGAAGAAATCAGTTGGAAATTTAGAAGACTCAGGTGGAGGACTTTGAGGCAGGCTGTCAAACTTATTTCCCTCTTGACAAATTTAGACTAAATTTTGCAACACGTGCAAACTGTTTGACAGCTTGTTTGAAACAATTTTGTAGTTGTTACATATAAACCTATCTCCCAGCTAATACTGATGAACTAACTTGTGAATAGCAGTTCTTTGTACTTTAAGTGTAAGAGTTACTGAAAGCTGTAAGCTGAAGTGGGGCTTGGAAGAACAATCTGATTCCCTTCAACTTAAGGGAATCAGAGATATTATCATAAACGGGTACAGAAGGAGAAGGCAAACTCAAATTGCAGTTGACCAAGTTAAAAACTTTGTACTGTGATTTGACATGGTTCTTGATGGACACTCTTGTCCTTCCTTGCAAACGTAAGACGTGCTTTATCCCTCACAACAATAACAAAAATTCCTATTTAATCCATGCAATCAAATGCACTGTTTCTAGCACTGCTACTCAGGCAGTGCTTTACTCTATATCTTTTCAAAAAACCCTTCTGCTACCGTTCTTGACTGTGTCAACAAAATTGTTTGGGTTAATTATTTTGAAAGAAAACAGGATTGTGACTCCTTATACCAGGGTTTAGTTTTAATGCAGTGGGTTATTTCTTTGTTATCTTAAACAACTGCAAATTCTATAGGAGAACACTTACCATTTTTAGATTAGATCATTAATTACTTAATTTTTGCAAGTTGTTTTTTAAGTAAAGTTGGATGTAATATCATTAGGTATTTGCTTTTGGAAAAAACAACAGCATCTGCAAGATGGACATCTGCAAAAATATGTTTGGTCTTTCTTTTAGTATGATGTTGTGGTATCTTGTTTTCAATAGGTTAGAAAAACATTTTCCAGTTTTAGATTCTCTATAATTTTTTTTATGAAGTGTTTTGTTGTTGAGTTTTGTTTTTTTAAACAAATATCATTTTTCCTTTAAATTAGCCTCCATTAGAAATGAACTCCATAAATGCAATCTACAGAAAATGTCTTTTATTCTTCTTGTGAATATGTCAGTTTTTGTTTTGACAAGTTTTCATAAAATTTTAGACATCTGATGGTTTGTGACTACTCTACTCCTGTGCTACTCTTGAATGTTTTGCGGGATTGTCCAATATTGTGAAGGAGGTCAATTTTTGTGTATTTTATGGTTAATAGGTTTTGTCTTCTTTGTAAATTGTCCACTTCTTATTACTTGTAATTCCCTTTGAAATTTAAGTTTGGTCTCTAAGACCTTTAAGCGTAATCAACTTGCAGTAATATTTTTGGTTTATTGCAAGAAAAGACAACATCTTAATGGGTTTGGAGAGTTGTTTCTTTTTTTTCCTTTCTGTCTTGACACGTGTTTTTTAATGAGAGGGTTTGTTTAAACAGAAATCCATTTAATGGTACAAATGTTTACTTAAAATTCTAATGAATCAAATTAAGTCTCCTGGAGTGGCAGAGAAGCCATTAGTAGCACATATGTTGCATCTGATATGAATATATTTTATGTACATCTGCTTACTGAGACTGAAATGACTATGTGCTTGTTTCTTCTATAACTTTGAAGGTAACCCCATATTTGGATTCTATCTGTAACAGGATCTTGATTGGTAGAAAATTTTTTCCTTTTATTTTTCATTGTGCCAAAGAAGACAGAAACAGGAAAGAGTTTATTTGTTTTAAGTATACAGCTGTTGGCAACATTAAGTGAATGGGACGAGGCTGATCAAAATCACAATGGAATAACAACTTTACTTAAACTACACATGTACACAGATGTATCTCCATCTCAATTTTGGTGCTTGTTTTTGTTTAAATCGGGTAGGAAGCACGCAGAGTAAAGGAAATGAATTTTATCTTTATTTGAATTATGTGGAAGGATAAGCACTTAGAATTTGAATGTATTAATTTGTTGAAAGCTGTGCTCGGCTATTAAGTTTGCTAAAAGCTTTACCATACATCAGAGTCTATGTACACCCACACATTTTAAAACAAATCATGCAAAGTTCTTTCAAGCTTTCAAGCATTTTTGCTCTTTACTCAATGTACTTAATCCTTCACATTTATGTGTGTGACATAGTTTAAAAAATATTGACTAAAGATGTTCCTGCAAGTTAGGTAAAATTAAGCTGACTGAACTAAAAGGCATTGTTAAGTAATATTTTGCAGCAGTTATTTTCATTAGGCTCTATTTTTATAAAAGATTAAACAGAAAAAAAATAATTTTTTTTGTCATTTTTTCAATGAAAGAAATAGATAATGCAGAGTGAAGAATTTCCCACCGTCTTTGAAAGGAGTGACATGTGAAATTTCTATGAAAAGGGAACCAGGAAGGCTTGTTTTGTTGATTAAATAAGTAAAATTTTGGAAGTGTTTGTACCATTATATCTTTATGTGAATATATCAGAATATGTGAGAGTTAAAAAAAAAACACGACCAAAAATAACAACCCAATGCAAAAGTAAAACCAAATGCATGTTAAGTTTTGAATTTTGCCCTCGTAACCATCCCACTTGCTGTTAAATTAAGGGTGTAGTCATTGGCAGCTCAAAACATTCACAAGATGGTGGATATGTAATGTTCATGGAACACAAGAAGGTGCAAATACTATCATGGCATGAAGATCTCAAAATATTTATGATGCTCTTCCTTTTTGCAAGCCATCAGAACATAGTGTATGCTAAAAGATAAAGGCTCAAGACAGAGGATTTAATACGCCAGCCACACTAGTGAACAGTGAAACCTGTAGAAGGGTTGATCTGTGAAACTTTCATTCAGTGTCTGCCCCCTAGGGGCTGTTTGCCTAGTAAAGGTTTCATCAATTGCAGAGGGTTGGATACAAGCTCATTTTAGCTTCATGTTTGAATAAGGGGAGGAAGAGGAAGGAAGCTTGGGGACTTTGGCAATTGTTTTACGTAACCCTTTAACTCCCAAGACTCCTTATTGTCTGCCATATAATTCTTGTGATATTAGTTCAGAGAATTTGATACTGGATCAACTAATAATCCCCTAATTGATATCCTTTATTCTCATTGCTTCTCTGCTTGATATTGTTTTGATATTGAAAAGAGAAATTCTGTCTTGGTCACTCAATGGAGAAAAAGGGTTAAATGGCCACCAGGATGAGTTGGAGGAGTCCTGTGGTTAGGCACCTGATGCATGTTTCACTGATATTCAATGCTTTGTTTGGTCTGACACCAACATGGGACTTGGCTCAAAGGGGAACAACAATATTAGCATTGAGATTGTGTCAGATTATTTTGTAGTAATCACAAACTGCTTTCATCTGCAGGAAATGCAACCATTCAGTATTCACCAAATCTTCCATCCTCACCCAGTCCTCCTCGCTCACCAGGAACTGGATCTGGAGCAGACACTCCTCTTATTAATAGTGTGGGTATGGTGTCGGCAAGCATAGGGATGCCTGGTGGACAGGATGGAGTACAGGTCCTTGTGGATTCAGGGGCTGGCTCCCCTGGATTGTTAGTCCAGGGAGCAAACAGAGGGCGTGGTCGAGGAGGAAGAGGTGGAAGAGGCAGAGGAGGTGGCAGGGGAAGGAGATCAACATCAGGTCCTCCCCCAGAGATTGACCATAACATTGAGGTATGCTCATGTTATTGGTCTTGTTGGCAATTGCCATAAGCCAGTTTTTGGTCCTGAAGGTGCCTAGGTGGTCACTACTTGCTTGGGTGATCTCTCAAAAGTGTTTGTTCATAATTATTTATTTCTAACAATTAAATTTTTGTCATGGTTAGATGTCTGTGACAATGATGCTAATCTTTTAAACCCTGTGTCCCTTCAAGTGAAAGTCTGAGAAGCTGGACAGATCTGATCACACAATCATTGACTCATTGTTCCATTTGATTGACTAGTTTTTATCTTTACTTTATAGCGGATCTTTATCTGGGATCTTGATGAAACAATTATTATTTTCCATTCACTCTTAACGGGAGCCTTTGCATCAAAGTTTGGCAAGGTAAGTTAGATGGAGGAGTGAAGACTGAAAGCAGTTAATACTGTCGAGAACTCTGTGAGAGTAAGTGTTAAAAAATATTGTTGTTTGTGTCATTTATATTCTGAGTTGCAACATGTCCTAACATGTATCATTTAATTTTATTCTTTTAGGATGCTCCTAATTCAGTGTCATTAGGCCTTCGAATGGAAGAAATGATTTTCAACTTGGCTGATACACACTTATTTTTTAATGACTTAGAGGTAAGAAGCCATAAAATCAGCTGAAATCAGGGAATTATCATGTAATCTTCAATCAATGCTAATGTAAATTGACCTCAATATTTTTTACTGGGAAAATCACTAGTTTTTTTACAAATGCGGAAATCCATATTGTAGCCAACTGACAACCATGTGTTGTAGGATTGTGATCAAGTACATATTGACGATGTTGCAGCTGATGACAATGGACTAGATTTAAGGTGAGTCTCTTTTGTGTTGATGCCTTGGCATTGTAGATTGTATTTAGTATTCTAATGACATTCACTCCAGAACATCTTTGCCTGTGTGCAGTACCTACAATTTTGAGGGAGATGGATTTCATGCTGCAGCCACGTCAGCCAATCTTTGTCTGGCAACTGGTGTTCGAGGTGGGGTAGACTGGATGAGGAAGCTGGCATACAGGTACCGACGTATCAAGGAGATTTACAACAGCTACAGGAATAACGTGGGAGGTAGGGGATGGTTTGTTTTTAAGTATACCACAAAGTTCTTTATTGTGGAATGGACTTGACCCTTTTGTTCTCAAGATCTTATTAGTAATTATCCCTTCTGTCTGCCACAACTGTTGCAATGTTAGTTCTGAGAATTTGGTATTGAAGTAATGGATAATCTCCTAAGTGATGTTTTTTCTTTATCCTCATAACTTATTTAAAAGATATTGTGTTGATGTTTTATGGAGAAATTCTGTTTTGGTCACTCATGGGAGTGAAAGGGTTAAAGGAACTTACAGTAGTTGAGGTGATTTGCAACCCAGCAGCAGGTGGTTGGAACCAGCTTTGTCCACAATAGACAAACGTGGAAAAGCAGAGAAGTGTTCTCATTTCTTGGGCCAGTTTGTCTGAAATCCCCTATGGAATGATTACATGACATTTGGTTTCAATTAGTCCAAACTAAACTATCATCCTAAAAGGGTAATTTGGTATTATAGCAGCTCTGATGAAGGGCTCATGCTTGTAACATCAGCTGTGAAACTCTTATCAGTGGCCAATTTGTTACATTGGTAATACTAAATGACCTTGTTAAACTCTCCGACTGACTTGCACCACAGTTTCTCTAGAAACTTATCCCTTTTACCATCAAAAAAACTTCACTATTATTTGTAATGTTCAAATTTATTGGATATCAAACAAAGTTTAAACATAAGGACAGAATTCAGACACTCTGAATGGTTCCAAAACTGAAAGAGGACACTGTTTAATCTTGGACTTCTTTGGAATATTTTAAAAACTAGCCCAGTGGCAATTCCGATTTTGACTTCAAATTTATTTTTGTGTTGTGTCATTGAAGGTCTTCTTGGTCCAGCGAAAAGAGAAACATGGCTTCAGCTGCGCATGGAGTTGGAGGCGACAACAGATTCATGGCTGACACTTGCTCTGAAAGCATTAACACTCATCCATTCCAGGTAATCACAAGGTATTCTTAACGTGCCTGATCATGTCATTTAAAGCATTATGATCAATGAGTTGTGGAGTAAAATGTTTGAATGAGTTGTTCAAAAGTGCCTGAGGCTGTATTTTTATACTTTGCCATGTTGAGGCTTGCTTTGTCTTTGTATCTAGATTACAAAATGCCTATCTGTGTACTCTTTCCTAAACAGGTCAAATTGTTTAAATGTCATGGTTACTACCACACAACTTGTTCCTGCTCTTGCCAAGTGTCTCCTCTATGGACTGGGTGGTATTTTTCCTCTTGAAAATATTTATAGCGCGACTAAAGTTGGTAAGTGGATTTTATTTGAAAGAGACTGACAATCAGTTTGTCAAATGTAAAATAACATAATTGACTATTTTAACTTTATTGGTCAATAAAAAGGTTAACCCGAAACTGATTTTTTGGTAGAAAAGTATTTTTTCGGTTTGTGTATTTGGTTAGAATAATCTCATGAGAGTAATGTTCTTCTAAAACTTGTCACAAAACCGTAACCATGGGGTCGATTACCCTTGGATTACAAATATTAATGAAAATGTAACTTCTCGCAACAATTTCAACACATTTTTAAGGAAACAGCTGATGAGAATTGATATAACTATTATCTCTTTGAAGCGCCAAATTAACTTAACTACTTCGTAAGGAAAATTTTAGCACCTTGAAGGGAGAGTTGCAATCAGATCTTTTATTTGACAGGAAAAGAAACCTGCTTTGAAAGAATCTCAAATCGATTTGGAAAGAAGTGTACATATGTAGTTGTAGGAGATGGGAGAGATGAAGAAATGGCCAGCAAACAGGTAATCACGTGTAGTGTAATGTCATGAACGCCGTCTTAAAATTGATTGTCCGAAGTAATGTAAGTTTGTTTTGCTTTCGATTTTTTTTTGTTATGATCGCTCTAGAAAAATTTTCGCAACCCTCTCAGTGAATCAGATACCCAATAGAGAGGCCAATCCGGACTAAGGCACTGACGTTTCCCCGCGCGTGAAGCAGTTTGCGTGTTTTAACGTCGAGTTCCTTATGGCTCCATGTGTTGAATTGGCTTGTTTGAACAACATTCAATCGGACTGTATTTAACTCTTGGAACCTTGCTGTGGTATTTCATTCCTTATCCAGTTTGCAAATATCAGTTGTATCATACTCGCCCGAAGTACTGAAACTTAAGTTTTACTTATTGCGCTCGCAAATGCTTGACTTTGTAGCTATCATGATATAAATCATAGCTGTCTATCGTTGAAGCTTCTCATGCCGATAATTAGTTGTGTGGAATTTATCTTTCCATTCTGCCTTCTTTGCGAAAATTTCTTCCACAAATTATTCAAGGTGTTCCAACGACACTCTGAAATTACGCTGAAAGATATTCAGAAAATTTCTCAATACGTCCTGTATAGCTTAGCATGAAGTTGTATTCTTGTATTGCAGATGGGATTCCCTTTCTGGCGAATCGGTACTCACACAGACTTAATCAACCTTCATCACGCGCTAGACCTGGGACATCTCTAGTCGATGGACTGACTCTCTGCTGCTTTGTTCTGGCACTCATTGGAGTTTCTTTATTTCTTTGTAAACAAATGAAGAGAAATTGAATACATACATGAGTCATGTAACGTTAAAATATGTATCATTTGGAATGGTGGCAAAGGGAAGGGTGATCTTTCCTATTTTAAACGCTCATTTTATGCTGCAAGCACATACCATGTTTGAATTTTTTCATAGTTTGGATTCGTGTTCCCTCGTAAAGAATTTCACCGCCCAGTCACTCTCTAAAAGATCTATCTTGTAAGACGGTTTCTTGCCCTCGTGATCACTTTCTTGCATAGCATTACAAAGAGAGATCAACGTCAGTATCTGATCAACTGCGCACCCACCCCTTCCCTAACCCAATAACAGTCCACTGATAGCAAGTTAAGGGAAGGGTAGGTGGGCAGTTGCTAAGATACTTCCATTGATCCACAACGAGTATCGCATGAGAGTAATTCTCACTGACTATCGACTTCCTATGCATACATAAGTGTTTTATCCTTGGACTTCTATACATGGAAGCTACATTGTACAGTATAATAGTGGTTATCGCTTTTCATTTATATGGTCCCAAACTTTCTTGTACATTCCTTTAAATAGTATGGACTGCTACAAGAAATAATTTCGAAGCTTCTATAATTAAAATACTTCGTTGGGAATTATTCCTAGGAGCTACATTTCTCCACCGGAAGCGTAGTGAAAGTGGCAGATATTGTTATTTTACTCACTCTCCTTGCGTCTGTTGCCATTTAGGATTTTCGGAAGTGTTTGTATAACCAAAAAATATAATTAACTAGAAATCTGTACAGCTTTTTTTTAAACGCAAATAATAGCAAAGTACCTTGCGGTTTGTTATGTTTAGTTATTTGGTAATGTAGTTTGAAAAGCACAAGCGAGATTTTTTGGTATCGTGATCCAGAAACTGATTTGTTTAGCTTTTCTTTTTGCACGCGTGAATAGTCAATGTTAGAATTTTATTGCAATTTTGAAAGAAAATAATGTCAAAATTTGTTCAACAGAATTGTCAAATTATCATTACATATTATGAATTTTATATATAAATACATAATTTATGTATATTGTCAACAAATCGAAATGAAGATTATTATACTTTAAAGTATGTAACATTTGGGAACATCGTTAAGATTAAATTTATTCCTTTCATGGAATAAGTTCAACTATCCAGAAGTTAGTCTAATTTCAATGCGTGTCTTTGCGGACGTGACTACTCCAATCAAGTAACGTCTCTCTTGATAACCAGCATTGCGGGGAAAGGGATCTTGTACGTCAGCTAAGTGGCTTACTCATTTACACCTTATCCCTTTTTCTCTAGCTTTGAAACACCCAGGATGTTGCTACATATCATTGTGTTCAACCCCACCCCCTTCCCAACAACCCTCTTAGTGTTTTAATTGGGTTATAATAGTAATAGGACGGAGTGGAGTCCAATTGAGTTCGTAATCACGCGAGTGATTAACAGAATCCTATCTGTCAATCACGAGCATGATTATAGTCATTTCCTCAATTGTGATTGGTGCATTAGCTGCTGTATTTTTGGCTAATCATTCTGAACAGCTGTCACCAGACAGAGGAATTAGACAGTTGGCTGTAATCGAGCACTTGAAGCAGACAATCATACTAAGTCCACTCTGCCAAATCCACCAATCAGAATGAATCACAATAACCTCTTACCCTGAAAAAAACCTGAGGATGGAAGGAAGCGCCCTGAGGACGCGTGAAACCGAGAACAGTCCGCCGCGTTCCTGGGTCATGTTTGAATAGGACCCAAAAATCAAATGCAATTTACTTAGATGGTACACTGTGGCCAAGGTCTTTGAAATTAACTGAATTGGAAAACTTGCTTTTGGAATTGTTGTCTATTGACTTGCTTCGCACTATTACAATCATAGGTTTCCAGGATTTCTATTAATAAAACACGAAGATTTCCTACTCGTTGTCTCTGCCTTATTGAAAGTGAGATGAAGAAGAACAAAATTAAACGAAACGAAAAGCAGAAATAGGAAGCATTGTACTGGTGACGATATCGATCCCGCGGGAATACTCGCAAACGCGAGGACAAATAAACACAGGGCTTTTGGCAGGAATATCCGGGACATTACCTTTAGACAATAACAGCGCAGTCCTGAAAATGGCCGATCAGCGAAGAAAACTATCATGGTGAAAACAAGGACAAATTCGCCTATTATCCGCACTTTGCGGTCTGGAAATGGGAGAGGGAAAAACATAGGAAATATAGAAGAGAAGGTCAGTTCTGACGGCGTTATTATCGCTTTTGTTGGTCAAAAAGATATGTAGACCGCGATTAGTTTGCAGTCAGGTGCGTTGCACATTCACAGACCCTGACACCAGGAAACTATTCAGTTGACCTTGACTCTTATCTTCAAAAGGTTCCATCTAGCGATGAAAGTGGACTGGATTCAACACCTTTTCCATCTAAGAGACGTCGTTTACGAAGCAGAGGGGCCTATAATGATACTCACGAGTATCCCAATCTACCGGCCTGCACCGTTCCTTTGACGCGTTCGACTCGTCGAAATGAAAGGTAAGCCCAAATGTGTTAAACTTCTGTCTGTCTTGGAATCTTTCTCCAGTACTTCAAGTAACTAAGCTCCAGGGAGGTTGATGGCAATGTTATCTTTATGAAAGCGGAAATTTTCAATGATGTTATCTTTCCATTTAGCCTCTTAAATGGACCTACTGTTCATGTGGAAACCAGGAATTCGCAATCGCGTAAGCGAGGTAGGCATGTGAGAGATTTTTATATTTTAAGTTTCCGGTTCTCAAGTTGCCTTTCTGTATTCAAAAACGTTTTATTTGATTTGAGGCAATTCAGTTTCAATCTTTTGCACCACAGGAAAGAGAGGAAGGCCTACGAAATCTATGCCACAGAATGATAGGAAGAAAACCAAAGGAACTATCGTGTATAAGACACGGCGAAGCGATCGTAAACGGCGAAAGGTGTACGAGACCTTGAATGTTAGTATGCTAACAGATCACCGTTACTTGACTGAATTTGGGAATTCGAAATCCCCCAAGAAAGAAATTGAAAGGAGCAGATTCCTGCACGACGAAGATAGCGAATCTCAAACCGAGGGCGACGAGGTAAAATATTAATATTGCTTTGTTTTGTTTGAAATTGGCGCCATTTCCACCGCTTGGCGCCAATCACAGATATCTCTACTTTTCACTTTCTGGGTAGTCTCCTGCCAATATTTGCTACGAAAGGACCTTTTTCTTCGCTAAAATTACTGTAACCTAGTCACATCCTTTTTGCAGAGGGCAAAATTCTTCAAATTATTTACTAGTTACAATTGTTGGGTAAAGAGCTGGGGAGAACTCTGTTTACCCACAATTCCAATCTTTATCTTCTCTCAGCAGGTTTAGTGAAATAGGTTGTCAGAAAATGTAGCATACCCTATTGCAGGTCTCTATGTGCTCAAATTCTGTGTAAAAATATTTACCTCTCAGTTCAATGCTTTGTCAAATAAAAAAAAGTGTAAGAAATCAGTACAATTTTGCTGATTTTTTGCTTGGTGTTTTTCCTTGTTAATTAAATTTTTTGAATTTTCGACCCTTTTCTTTGGAGGACGTTTAATGTATGTGGGATTTATGAAAAGATTGTTTTGAAGTTCATGAGACAGCTTGCTTTTGATTTTTGTTATTGCAATTGTTTTTGCAGTGATAAAAGTATTTTTGTGTATGATCCTGTCAGTGACAAAGTAGGAATTTGATTATAAAACTAAGAGAGAGCTGTTTCTTCACTTCATTACCACTATATTGGTGTCTGTGTAAAGAAAACCAGGGTGGCTTTTCCATACAAAGCTTTGTGAATGTAGATGAAACATGTCTCTGAATGAATTATGCATTTTAAAAAATGCTAAGATTTAAAACTTGGCAGACCTCTTTATGTCAGACTTCCATCTTACATCAGATTCTTGATATCACTGATTTAATTGTTTTAAGAGCGTGCCTCTTAATGTGAAGTGCCTCAAAATGTTCAATGGATCATGTTTGTATTTTCACTTTATCAAACATACTATCTATAGTTTAGTGTCTTAATTTGAGTATGGTTTTGTACTCTTTCTTCAATCTAGGATGTTGTTGGAACAACCAGCATGTATGACCTTATAAAGAGAAAACATGATCAGACTCCAACACCAGAAAAAAGATCAAGTAGAAATAGAAGACATGATGATCAGCAAGAGGAAAGTGACAATGATGAAGATGAAGAAGATGATGATGATGATGACGAAGATGAGGATGATGATGGTGATGGAGAAGATGAGGAAGGGGAGGAGGAGAAGGGTATTAAAGGTTATGAACTGAGAAAGAGACGAATGATTCCAAACCGATACATTGCACCTCCTTTGAAGTCCAAGGAAAGAGGTAATTGTCTTTTCTTGAAACAATGTGTGTGGATGATGCTGTATTGTGGTCATTTGACAAAAAGTTACATGTATACTATATGTTGTTCTGCAGTTAGTAATGGATGAAGTCATTCATGGTGTTCAATGGCACCTATATGTCATCTAACAAAACTTCACCCTGATGTTTTGTTATATACAAGCCTTTGCTTTGTGATTGTTGATTGAATGTGTTATTGGACATCTTTACATATCTACAAAGTACTCAGTCTTTTAACTGCTTCTGTTTTCAGGCAAGCGAAGATTTCATATGAATGTAGAGCCAAGAAAGAGAGGTAAAAAACCATCACAGTATGCATCTCCAGTCAGAAGAGTCCGCAGACCCAAAAGAAAAGCTCATCATGTGAGCTCCTCTACTTCATCTTCTGGTAAGTTGGATCTCCTAACTCTTCTGTCTCTAGATAAGTGACTCAGTCCTCTTTTGGCATAAGGGATATATTTGTTGACTTTTAAAGTGGGTATATCTGTAACTATAACTTCTAACAGACTGAATTGAAGCTAACTCCAAAAAGTAACTCATCCCTTCCTATCTAGGTGCTTTCTGAAATTTATTTGTATCCTAAGAAATGTGATCTGCGAACCAGTTGAGTTCTTGTACCTTGCTTTGATACATACTTTTTTATTTACAGTTTTGATTACTTTTGATTTTCTGTATATTAGATATATTATAGCCTGGGAGAAGACTTGAGAACTTTCAATTGATCAGGTGAAGGGGCATGATTCTCTATTCCTGTCTCATTCCATGAATGTATATCCCAAAGCATTTTCTGTGTTTTTTTTCTAGATGACTCAGACAATGAAAAAGATGAAAGAAAGTTTGAACGCAGGAAAGCTAAGAGCATGGCAAAAGCCAGGGGTCGCTGTCTTCCAATGAACTTTACCATGGAAGATACAGCTTCTGGAATTTTCAAAGAAAGAGCAAGAATTGGATCTAGTTTAGCAGATGTGGATCCTATGAACATTGACCAAAAGGTTTGTATTTAAATGAGTATTTGGAGATTTTGGGGTTCCTTATTGATGAGAATGTTTTTTATTTATTTCCTTTTATTTGTGACATAGGTCATGTTTGATGCAGTTGGTGGTCTTAGCAAGCAGATAAGGGCTCTGAAAGAAATGGTTTTGTTTCCTTTGGTGTACCCTGAAGTTTTTGAGAAGTTTAAGATTGCTCCTCCAAGAGGTGTCTTATTTCATGGTCCACCAGGTTTGAATGAGTTCATTTTCTATTTAATAGGTTTGTGAGTTTCTATCTGATTCAGTTTTAGATTAAAGTGAATCTCTAAGACTGGTAACCTTGATCTATTTCAGGGACTGGAAAGACACTTGTTGCACGAGCCCTTGCTAACGAGTGTAGTCAAGGTGACAAAAAAGTTGCATTTTTTATGAGGAAGGGTGCAGACTGTCTTAGTAAATGGGTTGGTGAATCTGAAAGACAGCTGAGACTGTTGTTTGACCAGGTAATATATTGCCTTGTTAGAATTTCCAAGTTGGTTATTTTTTCCCTCATCAACCCACCTTCAATTTTTTTTCTGGTTGCACTGTTTTACCTTAGTTATGTTTCACACCCATTAACTATATTTATACTGGTTTTCATACAGGCTTTTAGTATGAGACCAGCCATCATATTTTTTGATGAGATTGATGGTTTGGCACCTGTACGCTCAAGTCGTCAAGACCAGATTCATAGCTCTATTGTATCAACTTTGTTAGCCCTGATGGATGGATTAGACAGTAGAGGTGAAATTGTGGTCATTGGTGCAACCAACAGGATTGATGCTATTGATCCTGCACTGAGGCGTCCTGGCCGTTTTGACAGGGAATTTCAGTTTGCTCTTCCTGATAGGAATGTAAGCTATTTTTTAGTACTTTGAAAACAATTTACTGTTTAAAAGTTATGGGAAAAATTTTTGTTGAACTACAATTTCCTCGGTGATGTTTGAAGACTTTTCAATTGCTTCTTCTTATTTAAAATAAGTTTGTGATGTTTCTCTCATAGGCACGAAGAAGTATCTTGACCATTCATACTCGTGACTGGGAACCTAAACTGTTGTCATCTTTTGTAAGTGAGGTAGCAGATCGCTGTGTTGGATACTGTGGTGCTGATATCAAAGCTCTTTGTACGGAGGCTGCACTTTTTGCCTTGAGAAGACGGTATCCACAGATTTACAGCAGCACAAGAAAACTGCTAGTAGATGTCAACTCCATCGAAGTAACTGCTAAGGATTTCCAAAAAGCAATGACAGCCATCATCCCTGCCTCTCAGCGATCTGTGGTTTCTCCTGCCAGAGCCCTCTCCCCCCTCATGAAGCCACTTCTCAAAAAGACTTTGTCTCAAACATTGGAGATCCTTGAGAAAATATTTCCCCCTGCTCATATTAAGACAGGTACAGCACACATGTGCTTACTTGAAAATCATGTTATTGGCACTGTCAGGTATCTTCCCAACACAGGACAAATAAATGAGGTTCTTTATTACAATAACATGGAAAGAAGTCAAAAAATGGTTATGAGTGGAAATATATTAGGGGTCAGGGCAAAGTTGGACAATTTTATCTTGAGTCAGGGGAAAGAGAGTAGAAACTCTCTATAGCACCCTTCAAAAATGCTTTGAAAGGAATAAACATGGCATTCAGTTTAGGTAGCATGAGTGTTGACTTTTCCCTTAGATGTTCTTGAGCTGTGAGTTTGAGTTGAAGATAGTTTTGTTTGTTTGTTTTCTTATGAATTCTTTGATCCAGTGACTGAAAGTAGTCCCAGTAGCCTGATGGGTAACCCCAGTTGTAGCAACAGCAGCAGCCGTCATGATCAGCGAGGCAGAACGGTTGCTGTTTTAAGTGACGAGGAAGCAAGCTCAGATGAGGACTTGGGACCTCCAATCTTCGAGTCTCTTCCTGGTTCATCAAGAAGGGAGCGCTATTTGCGAAGAGTACAGCAAAATTCCAACAGTTTTGAGTCAATGGAAGTCTCCCATTCTTCTTTCTTCAGCAGGACAGATGGCCAAAATAAGGGAATGTCAACTTATCGACCCAGACTCCTAATATGTGGGAATGAAGGCATGGGCCAGTCAACACATATTGCCCCTGCACTACTTCATGCAATGGAGCACATGACTGTGCACTGTTTGGATTTACCAGCATTATATGGAGTTGCTTCCAAGACACCTGAAGAAGCATGTTCTCAGGTTTGGCCCTCAATTTATTTGTAGAAATAAGCTTAGAAGATGCAGTAACTTTCAGTAGAAAAATTGAATTTGAGTTTGACTTTAGTCAGTGTTAGGACTGACCTGGTTTACAGATTTTGCATAGCTTGATTTGAATACAATTATTGCTCATTCTCCTTGAAAAGGTACTTGTCTTTAACAAGGTACTTCAGTTCCAAGAATTTTCAGGTTTCCCACCCAGCTGAATTAAGTAATTTCTTCTTGTTTCAGCTGTTTTGTGAGGCACGTCGTACATCACCATGTATAGTGTATTCACCCCATTTTGATGCTTTGTGGAATGCCACAGGAGACAGTCTGCATGCTACATTACTATCACTGCTTCAGGATCTCCCTCCAGGTGCTCCTCTGTTGTTTTTGGTTACTGCAGATGACTGTTGGAGTAACCTTCCCTCCATAATGAAGGAACTGTTTTCAACAGAAACAGGACAGGTACTTAATGCATTAATTAATGGTGTGGCCTTTGCAGTTCTGTAACATTTCAGACACAATAGTTCTTGAAAACAGGCCATAGATAGGAGTGGTTGATATTTCTTTTGAGTATATACTAAAACAGAGGATAGCATTGAAGGCATGTACTGATTGGCTTTTCAAACTACAAATCTCCTTTACTGTTCACTTACGAGCAATACATGTGGGATTGCATCTGAAATACTGTAATCTTTGCAGGAATAAGTGAGTTTGCATCATCTTTTTATGCTGTATCATCTTGCTGTTTTAAATTATACTAAAACAACTACCGGTTCTCACCTCAGTGTTGGTGGCAAGCAATGGACATTTGCCTTGCTGCTTTGAGGTTGATACAGATATTGAATGATGATTATGTCATCTTTTACAGTGACTGCTCTGATTAATTTTCAAGGTATTCCAAGTTGCTGATCTGTCCTCAGATGAGAGGAGAGCTTTCTTTCACAGTCTGTTCCTTGAAGATGCTATTCTGCAACCCAAACCCAAGAGATCAAGTAGGAATAATTCTATACTACTGGTGCAACAGAGCTGTATAAAGCAATATGGCTTTATGTTTTGCAACCCTATGGATATTCTTGATTACACAAACTTTGCCTGATTGGCTATTACTATTTTGGCCTTGCTCACATTAACAGACAGGCCTAGTTGTTTTGAAAATAATTTTCAAGCGATGAAGATTAATAAGAACAGTTTAATTTGGTTAATTCCTCTTAACCTTTATTGACCTTTCTATATGTACTTCTATATGTATTTCATCATTTTTGCATGTTAACATTTTTTACAAGGCCCGTGAAGAAAAAGAGTCACAGATTAATGTGGTGGAAAAATGTCATTAATGTGATTGCTATAAGCATAATACTTTGTTGGACTTCTTATCCAGCAGGAAAAGATAAAATAGTGGAAGTGTTACCATTTGCTCCTACCCCACCCCCACCGCAGTTGTCAGAAGCTGAGCTACTGAAGGCTCGTCAAGATGAGGAGAATACCATGAGGGAACTGCGCATCTTCCTCAGAGATGTTACCTCAAAGCTTTTACAAGATCGAAGATTCAAAGAGTTTACCAAACCAGTGGATTTGATGGAGGTAAGAGAATCATTGTAGATTCTTCAAATTGAATCCCTGGTCTTGTGGAAGAGGTGGTCTACTTACTGAGCCAGTGTTGTATGATAGAAAATGCAGCAACTGGCAAACAGTGATGGTTCTTAACTCTTTCACTCACAAGATCTCAGTAGTAAATCTCCTTTGTGTCTTCAGTACAATTCTTATCATGGTAGTTTGGCAAATTTGGTATTGGATCAACTAGGTAGTAGTTCCATAATTGATACAATGTATGTTTCTTTATTCTTTTCATTTACCTGCTGGATAATTTATGGATATTGTAAACAAAAAATTGTCTTGGTCACTCATAGGAGTGATAGGATTAAGAGGCTTTCTGTAGCCATGTGCTCATAATGTTGGCCAGAAGTCAGTGTTAAACAGTTGGAGGGCTTTGGCAAAATATCCCCTCTATTTCCTCTAGTTATTAATAGTTCACTTTCCTCACAAATATTCATTGACATGGATCAGCTGTGTTAAAAAAAAAAATTCCTTTTTCATTTTAATGTAGCTTTGATCTCTTTTCAGGTTCCTGATTATCTTGAGGTGATTGATGAACCAATGGATCTTGCAACAATACTACAGAAAATCAACTGTCATCAGTATAGTACTTGTGCACAGTACTTGGCAGATATTGATTTGATCACAAGTAATGCTCTTAAGTACAACCCTGACCGTGATCCAATGGACAAGCTTATCAGACATAGGGCTTGTGAACTCAGTGATGTGGCACACTCAGAAATCAAATCGCAACTGGAGCCAGAGTTTGAGAAGGTGATGAAGTTGTAAAAAAAATAACTTAAAAGTGGCTATAGGAGGTTTACTTTAACACATAGTCCTAAATTAATTATTGCTGCTGATGGAAAGTGCTAATTTTTCTATTCATTTGTTTTTTTCAGACTTGTGAAGAAATCATAGCAGCAAGGGAAAGAAGGGGTAAGAATTGAGTTGAGATCATATTAATTGGTTTTTTTTTATATAGTAGTTAGTAACACTAATGTTTTGTCTCTTAGTTATAAGTAGTTGTAAGCTGGACATGATAGCAATGGTTATCTCTAGCATATAATTACTAGCCTGTGGCTCGTGTTTGCTGAAAAGTGATCACCTATTTTGTCAAGATTTTAGCCGAGATCTGCATCTTGTACCATGCACTCACAATGTCTCTATACACACAATTGCTCTTGAATGTACTTTGTATTTCAGAGATAAAGATAAGTTTCATACCAGATAGAGCTTGTTTAAGTTTGCCGACAATTACCTTGAAGAACCGCTCTCCTTGGTTAAGTACAGCCATGCAATGATAAGGAATATATCAGTATTATCCAGGGTGCTTAATTGTGCACATATACTTTTTTTTCTTCAAAAAAGGAAGGGATTTATTTAAGTTGCAAGGAGTTTGGTGTAAAGAAAATTTTTGTCTCTGATGAGAGTTTGTTACTGACACTTTATGATCACAGTACGTTGTAGGAAGATCATTGGCAAGGAAGAGCGAGACAGGCAATGTGTCAGGAGAAAAGCCTCTGATGGTTGTATTTATTTTTCCCCAGGTGACAAATCAACTGCTGCTGCTCCTGCATTTGTGTTCACTGTTCCACTGAAACAACAAACAGCAACTGAGGTGACAGCGTCAACACCGCTTCAAGATCAAGTAGAGAAAGCGGCATTGGGTGTCTCTGATATAACCTTTGTATCTGAATCCCAGTCACAAAGTAATGGCACAAGGCAGAAGAAAAAGCCAAGAAGAAAGAAAGCACCAATCTATTGGGGGAAAAAGCCAAGTAGAAGGAAACTAGATGTAAAGCAAAAATTAGACTCAGAGATTGATCAGGTTACTCAGGAGTTTCTGGTTGAAGTGAATGGGGAACAAGCAGAGGTCAGTGGTGAAGCTTTTCCTGATGACTCTGGAGATAGATCAACCAATGAGGAAACTGAAAAAGATCCTGGGGTGATCTCTGATAAAGAAGGTGATGTAGCAAACCATCAAGAAGATGATGATGAGGAGGAGGAGGAAGAGGAAGATGATGTTGAATTGATGGAGAATGGGGTTGCACCCATTGATGGAGATGTGGTTTTGTTACATCCAGAGAATCTCACTGCGGAAATTAAAAGTGGTAAGGTGAACTCAGGGTCTGTTCTTCAAAACAATTTGGTAGTGCCCAGAAGACCTATTGGAAATCATGATTTATCAGGAACATTGTCCAGTTTGCAAAATGGGGTCACCTCAGATGTTTGCTCAGAAGATATTGCATCGGAAAGTGAATGTGACAAGGAACCTCAAGGTGAGAATGCACTAACCCTTTCACTCCCAAGATCTCAAAAGAAATTCTCACCACTGTCTGCCATGCAATTCTTTTGATGTTCCTTTGGAGAATTTGGTATTGGATCAACACATATTCCCCTAATGGAAATTTTGGTCTATTTCATTACTTGTCTCCTGATGTTGTATCAATATTGTGAGAAATCTCTGTTGGTCACTCATGGGAGTTCAAGGGTTAAGGCTATGTATGACTAGAATAGTGTGTACATCAAAGGGAAAAAATGCAGTTATATATTAAGTCAGGTACTACCCCTGTAAAGCAAAATCTTGCAAACAACGATTCTGACAGGGTTATGAGAGAATATGCACTAAAGCCAAATATGGGAGCTATCTTGGTTTCACAAACAAGTGGAATTATCTGTAGACTGCTTTGATGGGATGCAAATGCACCATAATTTTGCCCCTCCCCTCTGTTGACAGCAGATTTATACCTCTGGTTAAAGAGAGGCATTGTGATTGAAAGGTTTCTTGTCCAAGAACATCAGATCTTGTCTCTCCTACCTGTGCATTACACTTAAATGTTCAAGTAGTGGATGTGATTTGTGTAGCATTAGTGGAGGTTAAGGTTATTCTGGTTTTCCCAACCACAAGATACCTAACTTAACCCATATTGGCCCTATTGTGGAGTACATTTGTACCATTTGGTATGGAAAGTGAAAAAACTCTGGTACTTTAGAGCTTTCAGGCCCCTTAGGATTCCCAAATAGTTTGAATTTTAAGTGTTTTTCCTTTTTTGATTATATGTGAAGACTCTTCCAATAATCCTCAAGAAAACAAACAGAACAAATCTGCAGGCTGCACTTCCTGGGGTAGTACTGCACTCAATGAAGACGTCATAGAGAAACTAGAAACTCTCCTGAATTTGCTAGTTGATGCAACTAAGGGGGCATCTATCGAAATGCTAGAGAGATATCACAGTTCTCTTCAGTGCTGTATCCACAAGCAGAGACACAATCATGATAAAGGAGAGCTTCTGAAGGTGTGTTAACTTGAATGTAAGGGGTTGGAATGATTTCAGCTGGTTTACTATAAAGAAACTGCTGACTGACATCAAATGGTAAATTTGGATTTTCAGTTGTTGTAGGGTTTTGTGGGAAGAAGTGGCAATGCTATCCAACATGGCAGTCTCCCTTTTTTTTTTGATGATGATTTGAAAAGGGAAAGACTCCTTACTCAAAAGTATTACGTCATGCAACTTCCGAACTTTTAACAGTGTTCAACCAAAGCATTGGTAGCTGGAAAGTGGTCAAGCTTTGAGGATTCAATGGCTACTCTAGTTATCAAGGAGAAATATTTTGGCAAAAAAAATTTGGGGGGTTAGTGGCACTTTAATCATAATTTTTGGTGTTCTTTGATAAGAACAGTATCCAAAAACACATTTTACCGTGCCATCCACTTCCATCACACCAAAGTCCCCAGAACTTTGATCAAGGAATGGTAATCTGACATTTCCCCAAAATGCCCAAGGCTTCATGATAGGAACTTTCTCAACACACCTCTTTGCAAACCAGACAGTGGGTGTTCTTTTTTTTATGATTTATCTTATTAATTCCTGTGAAGCCTACCCAAAGGAGTTCCAGGCTTTGCCCAAGAGTGAGTAGGCTGCCATTGACTGTTATTCTTTAAATTTTTTTTTCAGGATTTGGAACTGATGATTAAAGGCTATGGACGATCTTCAAGAACTGTTTGCTCATTTCAAAAGTGATCCTCAACGATTAGCTTGTAACATAGTCTCATTACTTTCAAAAGTAGAACCCCACTAACTTAAACTGTTCAGAAAAAGGAATACAGTGCAAGACCAAAGTGTTCAAGTTAGTAAATTGTAAGCAACTAAAAACCCTCCTCCAGAAATGTGGCTCTAAGATTACTTTAACAGACAGTTCCAGTTAGTGAGGTTCTACTCTAGTTAATATTTGGATCATTAATTTATTAACAATTAATTTATTTTGAATTGCTCTTTTCTGTGAAAATAATAATAACCCTAACCCTAACCCTAAGCAATTACTGGTTTCAGGAATAGCTTTTTATTGCAGTCATATGTTAACTGTTAAAACAAACTATCAATTAATTCGCTGATCACCATTTTCTGAGGAGGAGTGGAGAGGGAGGGGAAGTTCAAATTAGGGTAATATATATTTTTGAAAACAAAGAACTTATTTTAAATGGTACAAAAGTGTAACATTCTTGTATTACCATTCACTGCATTCGTAAATAGTTGCACTGAGTTAAAATGAGGTCATGTCATCCTTTAATAAATAAACTATCAATGATGGAAAAGCTTAAAAAATAATAATAAATGAAGATTTCCCAGGACAGAGATTCTGTATTTTCCATTACTTATGGTCATTTGTTCATTGTTTTCTTTGCTGATCACTAAAGTTAACCCTGCTTTTTGTACTTTTTTCAGATCAAGACCACCAATAGTTAAATCTCCCTTCCTAACCTTTAAAAATGAAAAAAATTTGTCTACATTCCCAAATATGCTTTGGCAGCACTCATGGTTATGAATACTAAGGTTGTATATACAATATATGGATTAAAATTTATGTTTCATTTATTATGTTGCATTACATAAGCATGTGTATCTGACCAGGACCACGAGAAAGTTAAGAATGTATAAGGGCAGTTTCAAAGTCATGTATTTGACCCAATTATTTTGGCTTGGCCTCTCAAGTGAATGTAGAAGTCACAGTGTATAAAATTTTGAAAAAATCTGTTAAATTGGAGGAACAATGAGACTGAGTTCCTTAAATGTTTCAGGAGGAAGGAGGCAAGAATTGCTTGTAAACAGGAATGGAAAATTTTAAACTTAATTCAAACCTAAGAGGTAGCTCATTTATATACAATATATCCAGAAGATATCCATCACTCAAATTAAGAGGAGGGGAAGGGACTCAAATATATTTGAATTTCCAGGATGGAGAGATCAAAAAACTAGTTCAAGGATGATATTGTTTGAAGAATTCAAGAATATTTAAAAAAAGGTGTCATGATTCCTGCTTCTCTGTTAATGGTGTGGACTGCCCCTCTAAGGAAATATTGTTTGAAGAATTCAAGAATGTTCAAAAAATATGTCATGATTCCTTCTCCGTGAATGGTGTGGGCTGTCCTTCCCCAATAAATTTAGTATGGTTAGCTTTTGCTACAAGTTTTCCATCTTTGTTTAACAGTTCTGCACCCGTGAAGACCAATGTACGACCCATCTTGATGACTTCTGCATTTATAGTAACGTCTTCTCCAACTGGAACTGGCCTTAAGTAGCTGCCATGGAGAAAAGTTTCCATTGTGAAATATTACAACATGTGAAAAAGGGGTCAAAATATAGACGAAGCTAAGATGTAGTACCTTATGCTCATATCAACACTGACACCAGGTTTGTGGGGAGGCAATGTAAATGTCACCACTGTAGTTAACATGTCAACCAAAGTCGCTGTCATTCCACCATGGAGGTTGCCCATTGGATTCTGATGACTTTCTTCAACTTTCATTTTGAAAGAAGCTTTACCTTCCGACATTGACAAGAGCTCAAGCTATTAAAGAGATAACTACAGCTTACAAACGTAATGTGTAGATTGTTAAAGTGCTTGCATCAAGGTAAAGAAAGTAAAGAGACTGAGGAAATGAATCAAACTGTCTCACCCTTAGTTCCAAACAGACACACAAACACACACACCCATACAAATGCAAACCTGTTTGAAACATCCCAAAATTTTGCAAAAGTAAATGAGACAGTAAGATACACTGAAGGTTAATAGAGCATAGAACTTGCGAAGAATATTGCCCACAGCTTTGTTTTCGAATAGTATGGGGTAATACGGAAATTCTTTCCAAATTTTAAAACTATAAATCATCTTATACCTTGTCTCCAACCTTGTCGAAGCCTCTAGATGACTTATAACTCGTCAAAATTTGACGAATTATACTTCGGACCGCATTCGTTGCCGACATCTTGAAATCTGTTGGAGTAGTAAGATATGTAAGCGTAAACAAGTTGTCCCAATAATTCTTCATTGACATAGTATACCCTCAGAAGCTCTTGCGATCAATACCTCTATCCCAGTCCACATTACGCGATCTCGGCCTTCTTCGTGTAACTCTTGAACTGGAAGGTTTGGTGATTTGAACAAAGAGCAGTATTGAAGCTTGAAGATTCATCTATCAGCCTTGGAAGAAGTAAGCTGCAATCTCCGTTATTTCTATATGTGTGTTAAGTGTCACAGAAGCGGAATTATTGGGCGAATTTGGCGTAAATAGGATTGATCTTACGTACACGCGTGTAGTACATGGAAGGCTGCACTAGATAAGAGTTATTTATCTTTATATAGGTTCTTTTTGACCAACGAAGTAAACAGTATATATTTGCGTAACAGTGAAATGAGTTCTACCTATGAATATTCGTTACAGTATAAAACGATCTTTGAATTATGTGTATGTTACACGATTCAAGTTTCTGTTCCTTGCAAATCGATTGCTACTCTATTTAGACGCATCTTTAGTCAGTAGGCATTATCAAAACTCTTTTAGAACTGCAGATACTGCATTAATTCATTACATACCCTAAACATCAAAGGGATGTTTATGTCATGACAAAAAAAATTGGTATTTACCATGATTATGTTTCAACTGGCCACAACATCATAAGGCGTGCTTTGATCACTTACTTTGTCAAGATTTTAGCCGAGATTTGCATCTTGTACTATGCACTCACAATGTCTCTATACACACAATTGCTCTTGAATGTACTTCGTATTTCAGAGATAAAGATAAGTTTCATACCAGCTAGGGCTTGTTTAAGTTTGCTGACAATTACCTTTTCTTGAAGAACCACTCTCCTTGGTTAAGTACAGCCATGCAATGATAAGGAATATATCAGTATTATCCAGGGTGCTTAATTGTGCACATATACTTTTTCTTTAAAAAAGGAAGGGATTTATTTAAGTTGCAAGGAGTTTGGTGTAAATAAAATTTTTGTCTTTGATGAGAGTTTGTTACTGACATTTTATGGGCACAGTATGTTGTAGGAAGATCATTGTCAAGGAAGAGCAAGACAGGCAATGTGTCAGGAGAAAAGCCTCTGATGGTTGTGTTTATTTTTCCCTAGGTGACAAATCAACTGCTGCTGCTCCTGCATTTGTGTTCACTGTTCCACTGAAACAACAAACAGCAACTGAGGTGACAGCTTCAACACCGCTTCAAGATCAAGTAGAGAAAGCAGCATTGGGTGTCTCTGATATAACCTTTGTATCTGAATCCCAGTCACAAAGTAATGGCACAAGGCAGAAGAAAAAGCCAAGAAGAAAGAAAGCACCAATCTATTGGGGAAAAAGCCAAGTAGAAGGAAACTAGATGTAAAGCAAAAATTAGACTCAGAGATTGATCAGGTTACTCAGGAGTTTCTGGTTGAAGTGAATGGGGAACAAGCAGAGGTCAGTGGTGAAGCTTTTCCTGATGACTCTGGAGATAGATCAACCAATGAGGAAACTGAAAAAGATCCTGGGGTGATCTCTGATAAAGAAGGTGATGTAGCAAACCATCAAGAAGATGATGATGAGGAGGAGGAGGAAGAGGAAGAGGAAGATGATGTTGAATTGATGGAGAATGGGGTTGCACCCATTGATGGAGATGTGGTTTTGTTACATCCAGAGAATCTCATAGCAGAAATTAAAAGTGGTAACGTGAACTCGGGGTCTGTTCTTCAAAACAATTTGGTAGTGCCTAGAAGACCTATTGGAAATCATGATTTATCAGGAACATTATCCAGTCTGCAAAATGGGGTCACCTCAGATGTTTGCTCAGAAGATATTGCATCGGAAAGTGAATGTGACAAGGAACCTCAAGGTGAGAATGCCTTAACCCTTTCACTCCCAAGATCTCAAAAGAAATTCTCACCACTGTCTGCCATGCAATTCTTTTGATGTTCCTTTGGAGAATTTGGTATTGGATCAACACATATTCCCCTAATGGAAATTTTGGTCTATTTCATTACTTGTCTCCTGATGTTGTATCAATATTGTGAGAAATCTCTGTTGGTCACTCATGGGAGTTCAAGGGTTAAGGCTATGTATGACTAGAATAGTGTGTACATCAAAGGGAAAAAATGCAGTTATATATTAAGTCAGGTACTACCCCTGTAAAGCAAAATCTTGCAAACAACGATTCTGACAGGGTTATGAGAGAATATGCACTAAAGCCAAATATGGGAGCTATCTTGGTTTCACAAACAAGTGGAATTATCTGTAGACTGCTTTGATGGGATGCAAATGCACCATAATTTTGCCCCTCCCCTCTGTTGACATCAGATTTATACCTCTGGTTAAAGAGAGGCATTGTGATTGAAAGGTTTCTTGTCCAAGAACATCAGATCTTGTCTCTCCTACCTGTGCATTACACTTAAATGTTCAAGTAGTGGATGTGATTTGTGTAGCATTAGTGGAGGTTAAGGTTATTCTGGTTTTCCCAACCACAAGATACCTAACTTAATCCATATTGGCCCCATTGTGGAGTACATTTGTACCATTTGGTATGGAAAGTGGAAAACTCTGGTACTTTAGAGCTTTCAGGCCCCTTAGGATTCCCAAATAGTTTGAATTTTAAGTGTTTTTCCTTTTTTAATTATATGTGAAGACTCTTCCAATAATCCTCAAGAAAACAAACAGAACAAATCTGCAGGCTGCACTTCCTGGGGTAGTACTGCACTCAATGAAGACGTCATAGAGAAACTAGAAACTCTCCTGAATTTGCTAGTTGATGCAACTAAGGGGGCATCTATCGAAATGCTAGAGAGATATCACAGTTCTCTTCAGTGCTGTATCCACAAGCAGAGACACAATCGTGATAAAGGAGAGCTTCTGAAGGTGTGTTAACTTGAATTTAAGGGGTTGAAATGATTTCAGCTGGTTTACTGTAAAGAAACTGCTGACTGACATCAAATGGTAAATTTGGATTTTCAGTTGTTGTAGGGTTTTGTGGGAAGAAGTGGCAATGCTATCCAACATGGCAGTGTCCCTTTTTTTTTTGATGATTTGAAAAGGGAAAGACTCCTTACTCAAAAGTATTACGTCATGCAACTTCCGAGCTTTTAACAGTGTTCAACCAAAGCATTGGTAGCTGGAAAGTGGTCAAGCTTTGAGGATTCAATGGCTACTCTAGTCATCAAGGAGAAATATTGTGGCAAAAAAAATTTGGGGGGTTAGTGGCACTTAAATCATAATTTTTGGTGTTCTTTTATAGGAATAGTATTCAAAAACACATTTTACCTTGCCATCCACTTCCATCACACCAAAGTCCCCAGAACTTTGATCAAGGAATGGTAATCTGACATTTCCCCAAAATGCCCAAGGCTTCATGATAGGAACTTTCTCAACACACCTCTTTGCAAACCAGACAGTGGTTGTTCTTTTTTTTTATGATTTATCTTATTAATTCCTGTGAAGCCTACCCAAAGGAGTTCTAGGGGTAGACTTTGCCCAAGAGTGAGTAGGCTGCCATTGACTGTTATTCTTTAAATTTGTTTTCAGGATTTGGAACTGATGATTAAAGGCTATGGACGATCTTCAAGAGCTGTTTGCTCATTTCAAAAGTGATCCTCAACGGTTAACTTGTAACATAGTCTCATTACTTTCAAAAGTAGAACCCCACTTACTTAAACTGTTCAGAAAAAGGAATATAGTGTAAGACCAAAGTGTTCAAGTTAGTAAATTGTAAGCAACTAAAAACCCTCCTCCAGAAATGTGGCTCTAAGATCACTTTAACAGACAGTTCCAGTTAGTGAGGTTCTACTCTAGTCAATATTTGGATCATTAATTTATTAACAATTAATTTTTTTTGAATTGCTTTTTTCTGTGAAAATAATAATAACTTTTGAGATTAACTTTAGTGTCTGTATGGATGGACAATTTTTTGCCAAGCATTATTACATCTATTTCTGCTTACACCTGACAACCTAGAACATAGATTGTTGGCTAAAGTTAAAGACTAAGTTCTCTACATCTTTTTTTTTTCTTCTCAGAAATAGCTTTTTATTTCAGTCATATGTTAACCATTAAAACAAACTATCAATTATTTCGCTGATCACCATTTTCTGAGGAGGAGTGGAGAGGGAGGGGAAGTTCAAATTAGGGTAATATATATTTTTGAAAACAAAGAACTTATTTTAAATGGTACAAAAGTGTAACATTCTTGTATTACCATTCACTTCATTCGTAAACAGTTGCACTGAGTTAAAATGAGGTCATGTCATCCTTTAATAAATAAACTATCAATGATGGAAAAGCTTGAAAAATAATAATAAATGAAGATTTCCCAGGACAGAGATTCTGTATTTTCCATTACTTATGGTCATTTGTTCATTGTTTTCTTTGCTGATCACTAAAGTTAACCCTGCTTTTTGTACTTTTTTCAGATCAAGACCACCAATAGTTAAATATCCCTTCCTAACCTTTAAAAATGAAACAAATTTGTCTACATTCCCAAATATGCTTTGGCAGCACTCATGGTTATGAATACTAAGGTTGTATATACAACATATGGATTAAAATTTATGTTTCATTTATTATGTTACATTACATAGGCATGTGTATCTGACCAGGAACACAAGAAAGTTAAGAATCTATGAGGGCAGTTTCAAAGTCATGTATTTGACCCAATTACTTTGGCTTGGCCTCTCAAGTGAATGTAGAAGTCTTAGGGTATAAAATTTTGAAAAAATCTGTTGAATTGGAGAAACAATGAGACCGACTTTTCTTAAATGTTTCAGGAGGAAGGAGGCAAGAATTGCTTGCAAACAGGAATGGAAAATTGTACACTTAATTCAAACCTAGGAGGTAGCCTATTTATACACAATATATCCAGAAGATATTCATCACTCAAATTAAAAGGAGGGAAGGGGACTCAAATATATTTGAATTTCCAGGATGGAGAGACCAAAAAACTAGTTCTAGGATGATATTGTTTGAAGAATTCAAGAATATTTAAAAAAAAGGTGTCATGATTCCTGCTTCTCTGTTAATGGTGTGGGCTGTCCCTCTAAGGAAATATTGTTTGAAGAATTCAAGAATGTCCAAAAACTATGTCATGATTCCTTCTTCTCCGTGAATGGTGTGGGCTGTCCTTCCCCAATAAATTTAGTATGACTAGCTTTTGCTACAAGTTTGCCATCTTTGTTTAACAGTTCCGCACCAGTGAAGACCAATGTACGACCCATCTTGATAACTTCTGCATTTATAGTAACGTCTTCTCCAACTGGAACTGGCCTTAGGTAGCTGCCATGAAGAAAAAAGTTTCCATAGTGAAATATTACAACATGTGCAAAAGGGGTTAAAATATAAATTAAGATGATATAGTACCTTATGCTCATATCAACACTGACACCAAGTTTGTGTGGGGGCGATGTAAATGTCACCAGTGTAGTTAACATGTCAACCAAAGTCGCTGTCATTCCACCATGGAGGTTGCCCATTGGATTCTGGTGACTTTCTTCAACTTTCATCTTGAAAGAAGCTTTACCTTCTGACATTGACAAGAGCTCAATCTATCAAAGAGATAACTACAGCTTACTAACGTAATGTGTAGATTGTTAAAGTGCTTGCATCAAGGTAAAGAAAGAAAAGAGACTGAGGAAATGAGTCAAACTGTCTCACCCTTAGTTCCAAACAGACAAACAAACACGCACACCCATATATATACAAACCTGTTTGAAAAATCCCAAAATTTTGCAAAAGTAAATGAGACAGTAAGATACATTGAAGGTTAATAGAGCATAGAACTTGCGAAGAATATTGCCCACAGCTTTGTTTTCGAATAGTATGGGGTAATACGGAAATTCTGTCCAAATTTTAAAACGATAAATCATCTTATACCTTGTCTCCAACCTTGTCGAAGCCTTTAGATGACTTATAACTCGTCAAAATTTGACGAATTACACTTCGGGCCGCATTCGTTGCCGACATCTTGAAAATCTGTTGGAGTAGTACGATATGTAAGCGTAAACAAGTTGTCCCCCAGAAGCTCTTGCGATCAATACCTCTATCCCAGTCCACATTACACGATCTCGGCCTTCTTCGTGTAACTCTTTAATTGAAAGGTTCGGTGATTTGAACAAAGAGCAGTATTTAAGCTTTAAGATCCATCTATCAGCCTTGGAAGAAGTAAGCTGCAATCTCCGTTATTTCTATATGTATGTTAAGTGTCACAGAAGCGGAATTATAGCGCGAATTTGGCGTAAATAGGATTGATCTTACGTACACGCGTGTAGTACATGGAAGGCTACACTAGATAAGAGTTATTTATCTTTATATAGGTTCTTTTTGACCAACGAAGTAAACAGTATATATCTGCGTAATAATGAAATGAGTTATACCTCTATGAATATTCGTTACAGTATAAAACGATCTTTGAATTATGTGTATGTTAGACGATTCAAGTTTCTGTTCCTCGCAAATCGATTGCCACTTACTCTATTTAGACGCATTTTTAGTCTTTAGGCATTATTAAAACTCTTTTAGAGCTGCAGATACTGCATACCCAAAACATCAAAGGTATGTTTATGTCATGGCAAAAAAAAATTGGTATTTACCCTGATGATGTTTCAACTGGCCACAACATCATAAAGCGTGCTTAGATACGACCAGTGGGCTTCACTTTCTTTGTATTATAAATTAGACATCTTCAAGCTTTTTTACAAAGACATTATTGCTACTTTCCCCAACTAACTGTCTGAAAACATCCTTAAATGTCGCTCAAATGGTTACTCTCTGAGGGGATGTGACCTTTTAACATTACCCAGGTTCCAGTTTTGCTTCTACTGCTCACCTTATACAGTCATACCAATTTTGTTTTTACTAAGAAGTGATAATATACATCATTTTCTATTCTCAAATTCAAGTCTTGTTTACATAGCTTGTAATTTTCCTTTTTTTTGTTCATGCGACTGCACAAGCTTACAAGTAGCTTGAAATATGATTGTATAGAAGTGAAGGTCATCATCATCATCATCATCATCATCATCACTTCATATTGAGAATACACTGTATTTATATGGTTGAGCCCCCTTTCAAGTTTTGACTGCCATTTTGGACTTTTAAAATGTTATTAATGCATTGTATTTCCTTGTTTACAGTCATGATCACAGACGTCCAGCTAGCAGCGTTTGCGAACATCCTAGGTGTCTCCCTATTTCTTCTTGTTGTCCTTTATCACTTTGTTGCAGTCAACAATCCCAAGAGGAAGGAAGAATGAGCAACTTGCTTGAAAGTAACGTAAGTTAGGGCATCTTTTGATAAAAGCTATCATCAGTTCTGGCCATGGCAACACAGATGAAGCAATCAATTCGAAACTGTACCTAGTTTCACAATTGCCTGCTGAGGTTCAATATCTCAGTAGGACTTATTTAATGTTTGTCAGTCAGAACAAATTAAATGTTTATAATACAAGTTCCTTATATAATCTATGGGAATCTTTTCCATCCTTAAACATGCTTGTTTTCTCTTTTATTATCCTTTTGAGTTTGATGTTTTTAACCCAAGTAAACTTTCATGTTCAAGGTTTTCTACTTTGTTTTGATTATTTTGATATGTATCAAAAGCAACTCAAACTGTTGCCATCTAGCTCATTAAGTTCTGTCTTCAACCCTACGTTCCCAAGTGGCTTTGATTTTCAATTGGAACAGTTGCAAATTAATTTCAGATTCATTTTGTAGATTCTTGAAAATAAAAAGCAGTATTTATTAACATTTATAGAGGAGGCAAGGAAGCCAGTAAGGGTTATGTAATGGACTATGTTACATATCTAGTGTAACAGAGTATATTAAAAATGATTAAGGAGTGTACAAAGTTTTAAATATATCTAAATTCTTGTTCTTGTCATCACTGATATCTTGCTGTGAGAATTTGTGGGGTATAATTTGCTACTGAGCCTTAAATATTTCCTATGTCCTCTAATATATGTTTATTACACCTGAAAGGAATGGTAACATATGGAGATAAACTAAATCATTGTTTTTTTTTTCCACAGGTAAAGAAAAAATTAAAAGTTCATATTCTTCAGTGATTCAAGAAAATGAGAGGAAATGCCTAGAGATGAAAAACAATTAGAAAGGATTTTGCTGTTATTGTGGATTCTAACTTACAAATACGTCTTCTATGTAATGCTGTAGTAAGCGCAATAAAAACCTATGTTTGAGAATTGATGAATCTTCAGAGTTTATGAAATAATGTACGTTGGTACCAGGGAGGGAGAATTGGCAATTCAAGGCAAGGTTCAGTAGAATGCCAACTTGCAGTTAAAAGTTTCTTTCTCCAAGCAGAAAATTATTTCTCAGTTGAGGGAAAAACCATTACCATACACCAGCCAATATTAATTGCAGCAATTCCCAACAACTGCAAAAATTTCTAGCCATCCTTTCCTCCTGAATCATCAGAATTTGTGATATTGGAAGAGTACCATGGTGTTCTCTATTTCAAGAATGAGGCAGCGAAAATTCTCTGGGGTTTTGGACAGTTCTATCTTGTCTTTTCCAAAATGGTTATATTTCTGGTAAGTACTAAAACAAGGAACGACCTAAAACCACCTAAAACCACCTAAAACCACCTACAACCATCTACAACCACCTCAAAAATTTCAACAACCACCTCAAAAACATCTACAACCACTCGCAAACTATCTAAAACCATCTAAAACAAGGCATAAATCTCTAAAATAAGGCGAAACGACATGTCACGTACACGAAATACGAGAATCGAACGAAACCTCTACCTCCCCCTGAAATCTTACTCTCCCTGGTCCCATGTATAATCAACCATCTCACGAAATGAAATGCGATAGCATGCTAATTATTTTATATTCCCTCAGCAAAAGACTTAAAGAACTTTACAAAATGAACTAACAAGTTACAAAAAATAATAAATAGGGAATAATACATGGGCGCGCGTAGATATGGAATTAATCATCGAGTGTTTAACTCGATAGCTCACGAGTGAGCGCAGTGAACGAGTGAGTTGTCGAGTTGAACACGAGAAGAGAAATTCCATATCTACAAGCAACCATGTATTATTTTGTTTATCATATAAATACAATAGCCCTTTTCTGGGAAGAAAATCCGACCTCATTAATGAATGCAAATAAATGAATCGACAATCCTCGAATAACAATCGTAGAGTGCGTTGGCGCTGACTCTTAAGATGGAAAATGCTTTGAATCATGATTACAAAAACTTCAATATATACGCGTGCCTATGTATGATTCCCAATTATTTTTTGTAGCATGTTAGACATTTATGCCTTGTTTTAGATGGTTTTAGATAGTTTGCGAGTGGTTGTAGATGTTTTTGAGGTGGTTGTAGGTGGTTGTTGAAATTTTTGAGGTGGTTGTAGGTGGTTGTAGGTGGTTTTAGGTGGTTTTAGGTCGTTCCTTTTTTTAGTACTTACGTATATTTCTTCCTCCTAACCCTGCTAAGGAAAATTTGCTTAAACGTCAAGAGTTTATTTTGTTGGTGATCATGTCTTTTATTCTTGTGTACTTGACATGTGATTCAGGGGTGATAATGTAAGGAAAACTATTTGTTGGAGGAGGAGCTTGGGAACGAGAATGACCATGTGCAAGGAAATCCTGACATGCGCATAGTTGATGGCGCATTTCATGAAAATTTGAAAAAAACGTATAATTTCCCTGGTGCGATTAGGAAAGCTATTTCCTAGAATATCCGGGCATAAGACACTTCTTCTGAAAGTTTAAGATCGAAGTTTGGTGCTTCTGGTGCTGCTTGAAGATGACAGATGCGAACGCTTTGTTGGCTCTCAATTTGAAAAACACTTTATCGTTTGAAACGAACGTTCGGAAACAAGGTAAGGATGGCTTCGGTTAAACTTGGTAGATTTACGAAAGATATAATTCTGCACACATCAAAGCCGTTGCCTGTCGCAAAATACTTGAGACAGGAACTTTCTCACATATAGAATGAATCTATAAGAATGCTTTTGTTTTATAGTACAATGATATATATCGTGAGCAGCACAAATCCAGCGAGTACAAGTTGAAGGACTGTATTACTTTAAACTGAAGTTTCATGGCTAGAATGTTCTTCTTACGGCGGGCCGACTTTCTTTTTCGGAAGGAAATGTAAATTTGGCTAAATTATACTTTAACAAGCTGTTTTGTCCTTTTAATGTACTGCGATGTGATGGTCCAAGTTCTAATCGATTTTTATCAAGAATTTGACGTATTTTTTTATTCCTTAGAGTGGTCGTAAATATTCCCATACAAACTCTTATAATTCTGCCATGATTGTTATTGCACAAGATGATCATCTCACAGCTGGAGCTTGGGCCGCCTGTGCTCTCACTAGAACAGTTACAATAATATTCAGCTAAGACTGACTAAGGAGAGACTTCCTTGACCAAAATATTTTGAAAAATTAACTTCTTTAAACTCTCTTTTAACATGATTTGTTAGTCAGGGCTGTAATTAAGTTTTGAAGCAGCAGTTACCTTGGAGGTATCACCCACAGCAGTGTAATATGTAGTCGGCTAAGTGAAACAAGACAGCAATTCACTATCATGTACTTCCAAAGATCTGTGCTGTGATTGGTGTTAGGGATTGCAGCTCGTATCAACGGCCTTTCCAGTAATGCTGCTTTAGTTTATCATATTTTTGTTGGAGTTATTTTACCTTTCACACATTTCTTTAGATTACATGCTTTCTTTCAACTATTTTAGCTGAGAAGTATCTCGAGACAGTGGAAGGTAGCAGTGGTTACAATGTTCTACTATTGGGCATTGTGAATAATAATAATGAGGGTGAATTGATCAGAGTGGCTGCTGCCATTGCGTTCAAGAACAGTGTGAAGCGAAACTGGAGAATTGTAAGTCAATTGGAAGTACAGCATGAGAACTTGAAACTATTTTTTTTTAATGTTCTGTGTATTTCAAAAACTGAAGGATTCTCTTTCATTAAACTGCTATTTGAGTAACATAATACAGCCTGTAAAAAGATTAGGGACTGATGTACATGACTAAACAATTAATGCACTTATTGGTGTTAGAATGAATAAGAAATTCAAATACTGTGTGATACTTATAGTTTCTGAAATGAACTGTCATAGGTTTCAAGTGGTAACAAAACACTTTGTAGTTGCCATTTTGGGCATAAAGTGTGAATATTGATTTTTGTTTTGTTAGATTCCTGATGAACCAAACAAGATTAACGATGCTGACAGGGAAACAAGTATGATGCATTGTAGCAGTTCTGATATTACTGTGTTAATTGATTGAACCACTTCTATAATGCATGGGTTGATTTAGTTTTACTTGAATTGATTTAGCTTGCAAAGCAGTGTAGACCTGCTGAATAGGTCACTGTGGCTGTCTGCAATTAGCTATTACTTCTGAAAATTCTCACAAAGACAAGTTATTTCTCCATCCTGAAAGTTACAGAGTACTCATTGGATACAAGGTTGATATGAATAACTTTACCCTTTGCTTTTAGCACCCCTTAAATCATAGAGGCACCCTTCCCAAACTCATTTATGTATATTTAAATGCAGTTAAACGCAATGTAATGGAGTTAACAACAAAGAACATCAGTGTTCTCTAGTAGTCAGCAGTTTTTTTCATACGTGCATGCCTTGGAGTTCCATGTGTTCTTTGTTTGAGGCGTTCTTGTATCTACTTTGAGCATAAACTTACAGCATTGTGAGGAGTGGCAGCTCATTGTTCAGGCAGTTTTCCTCACCCCTTCCCTCCCTCTTTCCAATGTTTATTCAGTGTGACGGGTGCCTGTTTTCCTTTCCTGTGTGGGGGGCTCGTGGCTGCATTGCCAGGATTTGCCAGCCATGGGAGAAGTCTCCATTTAGGAGCTGGTTGCCAATAGTGGAAGCTCCTGGATGTTTCAGGCACCCAACCTCCACTTAGCAATGCAGTTGTTAACAAAGTTATTTATATGGAAACAGCATAAGATATTGATGATCTGTTTTACTGTGGTTTTCTAGTCAAGAGAGAAATTGTTGATTTGATGCTTAGAAGTCCTGAAAAGCTCCAGAAGCAGGTAGGGACTGGTTTGAAAGCATCATACTTGTCATTGGGAATCTTAAGCCCTGGAGGAATTGAAGACTTTTTTCAACTGGATGGTATGTTTATGAACTGAAATTTGGATTGGAAACTCCCAACATTGTGAGCCCCTCTCTTAACCTCAGAAAGGGTGGAGTGGATGAAAATATGCTACTATTGATAAAACTTAGAAATCAGGGATCAAAATGAATAAATTTTTATATAGTGCAAGTTGTATACTCATGTAGAAAATAAATTATTGGAGAGGTAGAGTTTTGTATTGTAAATCTAAGGGGTGATGTTTTCATCACTTTGGGGTAACCAGATATTTTTCTTTGTTTTATTCTAATGACAAAAGAATGGTATCTTTCTTTGATTTTGCACAATAAGCTTAGTGTTTGTGTTTTCTCTCTTTATTCTCAGCTCAGTGATGCAGTCAGTGTGATCGGCAGAGAGGATTTCCCACAAAAGTGGACAAATCTGTTACCAGTGAGTAATGACAGGGAGGAAATTCCTTGTTAAGGGAGTGCTTTTGAAGAACAGAATCACTTTCATTGATACATTCTGTATTCAAAACTGAGTCACACAGCTGTTGCAGTGTCACAAACCCTATATGTATATTGTGAAGTAACTTATGTTGGAACTTTTTCTCCAGGAATTAATGCTAGACCATCACATATCACCAACTCCCCTTCCCTCCTCTCCTTAGCATTTTTTTAAGTTGAGAGTCCTGTTCATGCACACAGTACACTGACCCTAATGTAAGCTTTAAACTGGAGCTTTTGCCAACAGACTTTGACTATTAGTGGTATAATGCTACAACAGAAAACTGTGCACATAATGTAATGTCAACTTAAAGACTGGAACTGAACAGTAATAATAAAAGTTTTGTATGTCACATATAGATAATTTCTTTGGTTATTTTATGGATGGTATGAACTTCTGAATTTGATTAATTTGCAGGAGCTTGTGGCCAAATTCAAACAAGGCGATTTTCACCAAATCAATGGAGTTCTACAGACTGCTCATTCACTATTTAAAAGGTTTGATTCCTGTCCTTGTAGTTCGTTAAAAAACCTCTTGAATTATCATGATCATGGACCTGCTTAAGTCTAGGGTAATTGAACTTTGTATATGACACTTTTTTGGCAAAATGGCTTGACACCAAGTCAGCTCAGAAAGAAGAGACAATTTCATGGAAGAGACTAACAGAGTATGAATGGTATTTTATGAAAATGTTTTCTCACCTAGATTACATACTACAAAAAACTAAGTTGGAAACATGTTATTTCCTGCAATATGACTCCTGGACATAGATTGCTAATTTATTCTCTAATTTTTAAAATTGTGACTAGATATCGTCATGAATTCAAGTCCCAAGAACTATGGACTGAGATCAAGTTTGTGTTAGAAAGGTTTGCAGAGCCATTGACAAATCTCTTTGAGGTTAGTAGTGTTGTCTTGGTTCATTTTTGTGGCACCCATCATTATGGCAGTTGTTTCAACTCAAATGAACAAACTGAATGTGAGGAACAAGCCATGAGTCCTGTCTCAATAATTTGCCATCTTTTCCTGCTTTGGTTATAACAATTAATTTGCACCATTGAATTTAGCTGAATTTGTTGTTCCTTTCATATATGTGATTGGTTGACTTTCTTTAAGTATCCATGGCAGTAGCAATGGTACTGTAAGACAAATATGATTGGGCAAAGACAAGTGCCACTTATATTTTCCACATGAACAAAAATGAAGAGGGCTGGTAAAAGTAGTAAATATATACAAACCTTTCAATCAAATTTCATTTTCACATTTGTACATGTAAGATTAAGGTGTATTCTTGTTACTGCTCTCTCTAGGCAATCTGTAAGTTTGTTGTGTGAATCTTTCATATAATTCAGTATCTGGCGTAACAACTGAGATCATGTGCAATACATGAAGAGATACTTTCTTTAGATGAATTCTCTTTATCTCTCTCTTCTTAAGGCATTTAACATACATATGAGCACTTTATGTTCTAGGCCATAATGGAAGAAGCAAACAGATGTGGAGGTGACCCAGCTAAACTAAAGGACATTCTCAGCTCTATCTTGCTTATTTGCAAAGTTTTCTACAGCTTAAATTTCCAGGTGATCAATAATGTGTTCAAACTGACTCACCTCTGTTGAAGTTTGATGTTAAGAACTTGAAAATGTTCTGTAAACCTTGAAATTTTTAAAAATGGGAAGTATGCTTGTGAGCATTCAAGCTTTTAAAATGCAAAAAAAATGAGAGTCACTGTCACAGTTAAATTTTCTGGTTGCTTTCACTTTGAAATGTGTGATGTTCTATGGAAAGTTATATTCTGATTACAAACTATTGTTTAGTGCTAGGGGTAATAACAGAGAACATAGGACTTAAAAAATCCCAAAATATAACTTATCAAGAAGCATCAAAAACTTTTGTATTTGTTTGTTTTTTTTAAGATTGTTTTTTGTTTCCAAATTATTTTGAAAAATATCCTTTGATATTTGCATTTGATTAAGGCATCTTCACTAGCTCTTGTAATGGATGTGTACTTTAAATCCTTAATTCTTCCTATACAATGATGAAAGTGCAAATTTATTTACCTGTACCTTCAAAGCTCACTCTAGAAGTATTTTCAACTGATTGTGGAAATAAATGTTGCAGGACTTGCCTGAACACTTTGAGGAAAACATGGAAAAGTGGATGAAAAACTTTCTCATTCTTCTAACAACAGACAGCAAACAGCTGCAAGTTGAGGTTAATGTCAATTTTTTTTGTTATAAGACAACAGTGCAGTGGAAGGTTTCTCCTGGGATACCTCCACTCAAGGGATACTAACTGTTGAAATATGAAAACACCAAAAAAGAAAAAACAAATTGCACTGGCATGACCTTTCTATCTGTAGCCCTTCATTGAGAGGAAAAGGTTCTTTGGTCACTTTCATTTACCTAATAACATGTGAAAAGATGAAGGAGTTTTGCATGTGCAGCATGCATTTTTTATTCACTTCCTTTTTAGAACTCCAACCTTTTGAACCTCTCACTTTGCATTGCCTGTTGCAAGAATGAAAACAGCTGAAAATAATAGAATAGCATAGCAACTTAGAGAATCTATAAACAAACTTGGATTGCCAATGTTAATTAGAGTTATAGTGAACTGGAATTCTGTAAGCAAAATAGCAGCTTGTCCTTTCAGGTTTATTTCAAATTGTTTAAATTTCAAGTGTTATTTATATTGCTTGGAAGTCATTTCACTCTGTAATTCTGCCTCTGAAAGGCTTTTGCTCCCCAATTTGAAGTGTTGAGGTCATAGGAAAATTACAAAAACAGACAGAATCAACTGACTATCGGTTCAAATTATTATGACTTATCAAATGTAGTGGGGATTCTTTTGTTTGACTTTGTAGGAAACGGAAGAAGCTGGTCCATTAGATCTAATTAAGTCACAAATCTGTGACAATGTAGCCTTGTATGCTCAAAAATATGATGAAGATTTTGAGGTAGAGGAATTCACTTATTGATGATAAATTTTTAGTAGTTATTGTAAGCATTGCTAAGATTGCTTGGTGTGTCTTGTTAAAAACTTTTTTTCCTAGTGAATAAATCTGATATTATCTCGACAGCTATACCTACAAGGAGACAGATATGCAGACAGATTGATTGGCATAATGCTTTCTCCTAAACCTTCTGAAAAAATAATTAGATCCTGTACTAGTAAAATCCCTTGTTGCAGCAATTTCTTTAAATAAAAAGCATACTTAAGAATTCTGAATTCAAATATTACAAATCATATATTTTAAAGTAGCAAGCCTATAAATTTATAGTTATATTTCCTTCTTCAACTTTCATTTATTTTTTTGCAGAACTACTTGCCAAAGTTTGTGGAAGCTATTTGGAACCTGCTTGTGAACACAGAGAAAATAGCAAAACATGATATTGTGAGTGTGATTGTTATCAGTGAAACTTCAGCAGGCTCTGCTTGGAGACTGAGTTAATCCTTTACATCCTAACATCAGTATACATTTCTCTATACTGTTCTCTAAACATTTCCTATGGTACTGACAAAAAGAATTTGATGAACAATCCAGAGCTTTAGTTGGTGATCATTTCCTTTATTCTCATGACCTCAATGTTTGTTTTAGGGGTGATACTGAAAGGAGAAAATAGTTACTAATCACTCTTAGGGGTTAAAGGGTTCAGTTAATTGACATTTGTCAAATCCACCAAAAAAAAAAGTGCATATTTGATAAGTGTGAGTTTTACTTACACCACGCGGATAAACAAAGAAAAGAGTGTACAAGTGGTATACTGTGCTAGTTGACTTTATTTTCTCAAACTTGAAGGGTTTGAGGTGTGACAGGATTTAGAGAGGTGAGCTAGGATGCCAAAGTAACTTTTTAATGGAAGGACATTTGACAACTGGGTACTTTTTGGTTTACAGGTTATTAGCAATGCTATTGGATTCTTGGCATCAGCAGCAGAGAGAAATCAGTATAAATATCTCTTTGAAAAACAAGAAACCTTGGAAAGTATATGTGCAAATGTTGTTTTACCAAATGTGGAATTTAGAGGTAAATTTTTACTGTATTCGGTATTATTTAATATTATTCATCATTGTTTTTGCCTCATTATGTTCAACTTGATGGTTTGGTGGTGTAGAAATTTTAAAGAGTGGTGATATTTCTGTTTCAGTTTCTTTCTGGTGGAATGTTCAGTATTGCAATATTATTTACTGGTCTTTTAATTTTCATCAGAGGAAGATGAAGAAGTGTTTGAAGACAATCCTGAGGAGTACATCAGAAGAGATATTGAGGGCTCAGGTTTCAAATGAATTTCATATTTTATTCAATAATAGTAATCATAACTTAATATGCCCCTCAGTATTTGTTCAATGAACTTACTGAAAAAAAAAAAAAGAGGAAAAGAAACTGATCTATTTGTCTACACTTTTAGCAGATCTTAGTGAGCAGGGGACACCATGAATAAGTGAACTAGTACTGAAGTGGATAAGACATGAATCATTATAAAATAATTCTAATAGTAAGCGCGCTCTGATTGGCCATAAAACCATTTTACATGAGCGTATGTAAACACGGTTTTCGTTCCTCCTTCATTAGTTATTTTATAAAAGAAATGTAAAATGGTTTCTGTGTTTACATAGCCTGGTGTAAACACGCGGGAGGTTGGGAGAACACTCAATAAGCTGGAAACCACTCCACTTTGCGTCGTGGTTTCTTACGCTTATCTCGTGTTGTCCCAACCTCCCGCGTGTTTACATCAGGCTATGTAAACACAGAAACCATTTTACATTCCTTCATTGAAAAATCCCAATGCCTGAGGAACAAACCAGGTTGACTAGGAAAGTTAAGAAATGATTTGAAACTTAGAGCTTCAGATTTCAAATCCAGAGAACCAAAACAGTAGCGGTAACTGCAAATATTCTTTCAACAATAAAGTTATTGATTCTTTTTAGATGTGGACACCAGACGTCGTGCAGCCTCCGATCTTGTGCGTGGATTGTGCAAATTCCATGAGCAGCGTGTTATAGAAATATTTTCTGGCCATGTTGTGTCTATGTTACAGGTAACCAAAATTATGCTTTGATTCCTGAAAACTACAGAAGAACTAGAGACTGAAAGGAAAATGAGCAAAGTTTGTCTTTCTCATTCCTGCTCTCATCATTCTAGTTTTTTTGTTTTCTTATATTTGTCAATCTTATCAACTCAATATAGTGAATACACAGTACACGTCACAAAATTACTATCAAATATGCATACCATGAGGGTTACAAATCATTGATGCCTTTAAATGTTTCTTGGTTCATACTTTTGCTGTGAATGTCACTCGTTTGAAGCTCTTGCAAGTTACTGATCAGTCTTAATAAGACGTATATGGTTAAGGCTCGTGTGATGATTAACTTTCTCCTTGGTATATGGCAGCTTTATCAAGCAGAGAGTGGCAACAACTGGAAAGCCAAAGATGCTGCAATCTTCCTTGTTACATCACTTGCAAGCAAGAAACAGACTGCTAAGGTAATAATTATGTATACCAGCAGGGTTTTCATCAGGCGTTTTATATTGAAGTATGCTGTATTCTTTGGGTAAATTTTGCTGGATTTTTATTTGGTTTGGGTACAATTTATACCATTACAAGTTTTAATTTAAAGTTTGTTGCTTGCCTCTTATAATTTGCTGAAAGTATCGTTAAGAAGTTCTAGTTGTGTAGTTTTGCCTTCACTGTTTAACTCTTTCTTCCTTTCAGCATGGGACAACACAAGCAAGTGAACTTGTTAATTTGCAGAGCTTTTTCACTGAACATATTTTGCCTGAGCTACAGATTAAAAATGGTAAGTGAACCATTATGATTGTTTCTCTAGATCACCAAATCAAGTTCGTTTTGTTTAACCTGCAGTAAATAGAAAAAAACTTGCCTTCTTTTTGCTAAAATTAGACTGAGGCTGCCAACAGAAGTTAGTATTGTGGAGCTTTGTGAGCTTAACTTCCATTGCTTGCATTTACACCTGAGTATGCATGGCAAAAACCTTTTTTTATGTAATGTCAACTGTTGCTAACAGATTAAATTTAAATCTGTTTTATATACAATTGAGTTACAGGTACGATATTCCTGAAAATTATTTTCATTTTGTCCTGACTTTTTATTGTCTTTTTCTCTCTTTTTCAGTTGATGATCATCCAGTGCTGAAGGCTGACTCCATCAAATATATTATTATCTTCAGAAATATGGTAAGTCGTTTAAAGATAAGCTACAGAATGTCTTTCTCACTTCTTTCTGGAGGAAAGTCTTATAGTTTATACTAGGGTTTTTGTACCAGGAATAATAAAAACTATGGTATGAGTAATTTTAAATATGTCAATAAACTGTGATGCACTGCCAAACTCTTACAACCAACATTAGCACAAATGTATCCCAGTGAGTAATGGGAAATCAAACAGGTCCTACTGTTCAATACTGTATCTAATGAAAGAACTTTACATCTGCAATTCTGTCTGCATTTATTCTTTCAGCTTTCCCTTGAACTAATTGTGGGATGCCTGCCATTCCTTGTGAAGCACCTAAAGGCTAAGAGCCATGTTGTACATAGTTATGCTGCACACTGCCTGGAGAAGATCTTTACACTCAAGAATCCTCAAGGAAAAGCTTTGTATGTTTCATTGTTTTTGATGTACTTGTATGGGGGTATGCCACCATCTGTGTCATATGAAGTCCTTCTAAATCTTCATCTGAAACCTTGTATTTATGGGAAATTTCTCCAATTGAACATTCTTTATGTTGAAAGGGCTCCCATTCTCATGTGTAGCACTGTATAGGAAAACTGTTTGTTTTACAAATATGTAGGAGACATTTGGTAATGTAATCTTATTTCTTTTTTTTTTCCTCCCAATGATGCAATTTTTATCTAATGAAATCAAGAGTTAATGAACACATTGAGAATTGGATCCAAAATTGTTCTTTCAATTTTTTTTAATGTTCTTTGAGTTAAATTCTGACCCTAAGATTTTGTTACCAATATAGAATTGCTTTTTGTTACCTTATTTAGCTGCTGTCATCTTAAGTGTCTTCAGAGCTACAGAAAATATTGAGCATGTTGGTGATATATTTTTTTTCCTGTGTAGAATTGGTAAGGTTGATGTGCAGCCACACTTAGAGGAGATGTTATCAAATCTCTTTCATTTGTTGAAAGTCCAAGGCTCACAGGAGAATGAATATGTTATGAAAGGTACTCTATTTCTTTTGTAGAACATTAGTAAATCTGCCACATAAACTTCGGCATAGTTCTTCAAATCAATTATTTGTGGTTGGACTTCTCTGTCCTGTCTTCAAATGGATTATGACAGCTCTGGTTCTGTTCAAATGGATACTTTCCTGTGAGAAGGGTGACCCTTCTCTCAGGTTTCTTTTTCCTGAGCTTATTACTCACAAACTGCAATTGGCAGGACAAATGACAGCACAACTTGCCTTTCTGCACTCATAATGAGAGCCGCATTACTTGTGGTTTGCACCAGCAAGGACCTACTTTGTTAAGTTCAGTTTCAGATGGAAAACACCTTAGTTTCTCTTTCCCATCACAGGATTAGCTGTTGAAGAAAACAATCAGAATCCTACTAGCACTTACTAATAAATCAAACTGCCCGAGATTGTTGCTTTAGAGAAGATTATCAATCTGTTTTTTACATGCAGCAATCCCTAATTGGCTAGGGAGACACATAGTTTCCTATTATGGGACTAAAATGTGCAGCCAAAATGTGCTGGTTCAAAGGACAACTTAAGATGGATACCCAAATAGATAGCATCTGTAAAACTGCATTTTTTCACTTATGTAACATCAGAAGGATAAGAAAATTTCTTAACTTTGAATATACAAAGATTCTAGAGAATGCTTTTGTAACTAGTCGTTTGGACTCTGCCTAACAACCAACTACATAAACTACAGAGAATCCAAAATGCGGCCGTTCAGCTAATCTGTAATTTATGTCATTTCGAACACATCACCCCATCACTGTACAGGCTTCATTGGCTACCCATTAACTATAGAATCCAGTTTAAAATTCTTCTTTTTATATATAAAGCCCTCAACTGTATCACTCCTCGTTATATATCTGAACTTGTAGAACTGAAACCAGCCTCAAGGTACAATCTTAGAAACTCTGATGATATGCTTGTACTGAGCAATCCTTCTTTTAAGAGTTGTATCACATTAGTTGACCGCTCATTCATATATGCAGGGCCTAAACTGTGGAACAAGCTACCGAGAGACATATGTTATGCCAATACTGTACATATTTTTAAGGGTCTTCTCAAAACTCACCTGTTTAGGGAAGCCTATCTGCTTTAAATACCATTGGTCTAACAATATTATGATAGTTAAGATTTTAATGATTATAAAGATTGTAATGATTATGTATACCATAGTTTTAATAATATCACATTTGTAGAGATTTTAATGATTATAAAAATTGTTATGATTGTAAATACTATACTTTCAATAATCAGGATTGTAAAGATTGTCATGATTGTGATGATTGTAAAGACTGCTGTAAGATTATTATACTGTAATACACGTGTGAGCATCTGCATATGTAACATGCACAATATAAGTAAATAAATTATTATTATTATTATTATTATTATTATTATTAAAATTGTATAGAAATAGTTATATATTTTTTTTTTGGTTGTTATTTTGCAGCAATTATGAGGTCATTTTCCCTACTCCAGGAAGCCATCTTACCTTATTGTGTTGTGTTAATTGCTGATTTGGCATCTAAACTGGCTCTGGTTAGCAAGGTGAGGACTTTAATACCAAGAATGATCAGGATTTAATTTCTCTTTTATTGTGAGCATTAACCCTTGAACTCCCATGAGTGACCAAGAGAAATTTCTTACAATATTGATACAACATCAGGGAGACAAGTAATGAAAATAGACCAAAATTTCCATAAGGGGATTATATGTTGATCCAATACCAAATTCTCCAAAGGAACTTCAAAAGAATTGCATGGCAGACAGTAGCGAGAATTTCTCATGAGATCCTGGGAGTGAAAGGGTTAGGATTATTATGCTGATAGGAAAAGGTTATGAAACTTGATAGCCATCTTAATCTTGTGATGTGTGATACATGATTAAAACGTTTTTCTAGATTTAGAGAAGTCAAACATAGCACCTTTATCTAGGCTACCTTAAATGATTACAGAGAATAAAAACTTCATTTATATTTTTTTTATTGTTGAAAATTTTTTCTGTGGTTATTTAAGGATGGATTTGATTTTCTCTCCTTTTTACAGAATCCTAGCAAACCACAATTTAATCACTATCTTTTTGAAGCCATTTGCTGTGCTATCAGGTGTGTTAAAACAGCTTTGGTTTTGTCATGTTTTTTTTTATCACTAGAGGAGCAAAGTCACAGGGATAGTTGTGCACTGAAAAGGGAGAATAAATGATGGTACCAATCCGATATGTCAATGCAACTGACATGTTTGGGAAGTTCCTTGTCAATAATGATAGTTGATAAATTACATAAATCAATCCTATAATGAACTGACTGTGTAAGGAGTACAGCAGATTAAAAGTGCTTAATTTCAAAGAAATTATACATGTGTGTTATTGTGTGTTTAATTGACATTTGAGGCAAAACAACAGTACACTGAACTATAGTATGCTTCAAGTTTTGAATAGCAATAATAAGATATGGCATGTATATTACTGAATTTAAATTCATTATTTAAAAGGTCATACTGATTAGTTCCTTATACTTTTATATTAGAGTTATATGCAAAGCAGATCCTTCAGCAGTGGCAGGATTTGAGAAGATGTTGTTTCCTGTGATTCAAGAAATTCTCACAAATGATGTCACAGGTACTAAGTGAATCTAACAGATGTAACAGTTAAATTAAATTGTAGCCAAATGGGGGGAAAAAAAACAAAGAGTTCTTCAGCTCTGGAATTTATGTGAAGCATTTTTATTTTTTAAGTTTTGTATACATTCAAACTCTGTTCATCCTTGTGTGGTGAAGGTCACTTCCTTTGGACTTTACTTTGGATTTCCCAGCAGATTTGGTTTAAGTAAATGCGGGGTAATGTTTGGCAAGAATTGATGTCTGTGTTTATAAGAAATGCCTTCATAAATACAGGGTTTGCATGAATCATGAAAAACTTATAAGGCATGGAACTAAATGAATACATTTCCTAGGCCTGGAAATATATGAAAAGTAGGCATTGGTGATGAACCTTTTTTTAGAACAACAAGGCTAAAAAAGCCTTAAATGAATTTTGGATCACTTTGAGGCACTTGATTGGGGATCATGAAAAAATATTCTGTACATGGGAACAGCTTTGAGTTAAATCGTCTTTTACTAGTATATGTGCCCATGAAATATCCTCAAATGAGCAATTATCAATTAGCCTATTTAGGTGTATGAGGCTGCATTTTAATCCAGATTGGCTGTCATGATGCATTTCATTTTTGTATTGCCGTTTTGTTTTTCACAGAGTTTCTCCCATATGTGTTCCAAGTGTTGTCATTGTTGCTGGAAATTCGACATGAAATTCCAGAGCCTTACATGGAGCTCTTTCCTCTTCTTCTCTCTACAGTTCTCTGGGAAAGAAATGGTACAAGATCGAAATAGATTTTTAGAAATATTATAGATGATTAACTTTCCCTTACTCATGATAAGTGTTTTTGCCTCTTAAAACATCTGACAATAGTTTAGAAGGGCAAGTGCTATTAAGGGTAGTGACAAAGGAGGGTAGCAATTTCCTCAGTACAAAGGAGGTCACCATAGCAACAAAGCCACAGCCCACTTCCAGCCACCTTTCAACACAACACTGACAAACCAAGTGTGAGGATTTATAGACATACTCAGGAAACAAGTTGAATAAAGCACTTGGCAGTACCCCTGCAAACCTTCTTGGGGCTCCCCACATCCCATGGGCGACCTTAGCTTTAAGCTGTCCTTAATGACTGTTATTCTTCATTAGACGATATTCTTAATTGTTACCATACATTTAATAAACCACAAGACCCCGAAGCTTTTTTATAACAAGTCATTTTAGTTATTAGCAAAACTATCCATTTAGCAAGTTTTTCTTGAAACTTTTTTTTAATTCATATACACTGGATGCATTGTTAGATTAAAGGATAGCAGAAAGTCTTATACTGACACAAAATCAAAGTGATGTCAGTTTTGTCAATTAGATTGTGATCAATTTGTCTCATACTGATCCACCTGCTTATTCAGGAAACATACCACCACTGGTGCGTTTGCTTCAAGCCTATATCGAAAAGGGAAGCAAAACTATTGTGGAAACAAAGAAGGAGGTAATGCAGAAACTACTCATTTTTGGCAACAATAACATAAAAAGTTAAACAGAGTACTCTAACTTTACAGATAGATCAAACTTGTTATCACTCAAGTGATAAGCAGTAAATCTAATTCCTTAACAGTTAGCAACCTTGAAAACCATGGAGGGCCAACCACTCATGTCATATCTGGGTTATTGCATGGGGCTGAGTAAATTTAAACATTAATATCATTCATGTTTTCAGAAGTTGTAGAAATTGCCCTTGGGCTTTGCACAACTTTGGCAATTTCTGCAACTTCTATAAACACAAGTGATTTTAGTCCTTAAATTTATGACACAACAAGTGATTACTTGTTTATGATATAGAGTAGGTACAAAATGCATACTGTTATGCACTTTCATAGGAAGCCATTTAAGTGTTTTGTCAGTGTCAATAATCTGTAAAATGCGTGAATTGGCTGAATGAAATTTTATTTGTTTGTAGCAATGCCAAAGTAATAAAACCAGCCCCACTAAAAACACATTTGCTATCAATTAAATTATAATACATTTAGGAAAAATTAAGGAAAATGTCTGCTGTCTCAGCCAATCGGCATTTATTGATTTTGCCCTCCATGTTATAAGGGGAGAAACAGTTGATTCTATTAACTCAAAGTTAACCCTGTATAGATGTGCTTGACCGTGTGTGAATGATTCTTTAGGTTTGGCTCTTTCCTTCCTTTTGATGTTTAAGGTCTTGCTGGGAGAATGTTTAGCAAACAGCCAAGGATTTTGAGTTATTGTAGTGTGCATTTTTTTAAAAAAAGAGAAAAGACAGGATTGTAATGCAATGATAATTTTGTTTTTGTATTGTTGTAACAGATGGGCATGCTAGGTGTTTTTCAAAAGCTTATTGCCTCAAAGAGCAATGATCATGAAGGATTTTATCTGATAGGAAGCATGGTGGAACATTTTGAACCGTAAGTTTGTATGATTCTCTTTGAAATGTTTTCACTAGTGATTTGTAAAGCGAATGACTTGGTAAAGTTTTGTTGATTAATGAATGTGTTTTTTGTTATACAGGTCTTCCTTGGCGCCACACATAAAGTCTGTTTTTCTCATCCTCTTTCAAAGGTTACAGAGTTCAAAAACAACCAAATTTGTCAAAGGTATTACCTGTCAAGAACACTTGTTTTCTTAGAATTTAGCTTTAAATTGTGAATTTAAATTGGAATCTTAGATGCCTCTTCAAGGTCTTTTTCCCTCTAATTTGTCCTTGTTGAAATAAAATTTCTTATTAAATTTTTAAATTATTCCCTGTTGTAGGTTTGCTGGTATTTTTCTGTCTTTATGCTTCTAAAAGTGGTGGAGAAGCACTGATGAATACCATAGACTCCATTCAGGAAGGGTAAGGAGGACAAATTGTAATTATTTACTGGTTTACAAAGGAACCAAACCTGTACTGCAAGATGTAGACAGTACTTTGACAGAAGGAGGAGAGTGTAATCTGTCGTGTACCTGCTGTACCAATTCACAACTTTTTGAGCTAAAGATCAGATCTCTAGTTACCTCTTTGTGCTACTACTGTATGGTATGGGCAGGTCACCTTTAAATCACTTGCAAGAGTTTAAAGAGGGGAGGAAAAAATTCCCTATATTGTAATTGGCCAGTTACCCTCGTGTGCAAGTGCTAAGTACTTGCAAGTTTTACTGAACAGTCTTTCAACAAGGTTTTGTCCAAGCAGTGGCTCACAGAGCTTCTCACTTTTGAGTGCTAATTCAACTTGCACTGTATTGTTTGTTTTTGTACTATGAGTGTGTAAAGTTGAAAGTTGATTTTTGTATCAGTTGTATTATCAAATGCTATTAAAGCTTAATTGTTTCTTTTGCAGACTTTTTGGGAACTTTGTTGAGAGAGTACTAATTCCTGATGTGCGCAAGGTAAGTCCTTAGTCGTCTTGACCATAACACTCCCAGGATCTAAATAACAATTCTCTTTAGTGGTTGTCAAACATGTCTAATCATTTTAGCTCTTAGAATTTGGTGTGACATAGAACAATCTCCCTAAGTGATATCTGTCTCTCTTGTAATCACCTTAAAGTTTATTCTTGAGAAATCACTGATATTGTTGAGGTCTTGTTAGGAATTGAAAAGGATAACCCTCCCAAGTTCTAAAAGTTCGTTTTGCTTACAGATTTTTGTATCCTTCTTTGAATAAGTTATACATTCAAACAATATCCCAAAGTGGGTAATTTTCCATTTCACCATTGGCATACTTGACTGCTTATTAAGAAGTGCATGGGGAATTTGCATACAGGGTACTCATTACTTCTATTAAAAGAAATAAAATGATAAATAAAATCCTCAAGAGTTAGAATACCCAAATGAGGACAAATTTCCAGAATTTTTGTTTTCTTTTAAACAATTCTCTTTCTTCTAATTTCTTGATGAAATTAGTATATGTCTAATATGAAGATTGTGTGCTGACCCTTGTAGGTATCAGGGAGTACAGAAAAGCGGATCTGTGCTATTGGAATAACCAAGCTTCTTACAGATTGTCCTAAATTTCTAGAAACTCACAGTCATGTTTGGTGAGGCCTCTTTGTTTTCCTAACTTGGATTAGGGTTTTTAATCCCAAGAAAATATCCTCATCATCCTTTTTGGTTTGAACTCCTTGCTAGGGCTGTTAACACAAATTAACAATGGCCAAACTTTGCCTGTTGCTTTGAGGTTTTTTTTTTTTTTTTTGGCCCTTCAGCCATCAATGTGAGATACAGTTTAGTAGACAATACATTAACTTGAAATTTTAGTATCAGCTTTGTCTGCTCTTCAGTTACATATGTATACCTCCAAATTAAAATACAATTTGCTCAACCCCTCTGGAAATTAGCATTTCTCTTCAGACTTGCTGAAATAATAGGGGGGAAAAACCCTGTCCTCTGAAGAACTTCTAATGAATCCTTATGTTGAGTGCAGAATCTGCACTGGAGACATTTTCATAGTACACATACTCAAAGTAATTTTGTTATTTATTGCAATCACTTTTCTTTTTATAGGACCCCTTTGTTACAAGTTTTGATTGAATTCTTTGAATTACCTGAAGATGATTCGATCCCTGATGATGAGCACTTTATAGAAATTGAAGACACACCAGGTATTTTTATTGCTAATGAAAATAACTTTGAACATCCCAGGGCATTGACTTACTGTAATTTGAGAAACCTGGATTTTCACAGAATTGCAGATTCTCATTTTCAAGGGCTCAGAGAGGTCACCAAACATTGTGAAATTCTGAAATATAAATTTTCCTTTGGTAATATTCAAGCCCAATTAATGGCTTATGTTGTATGCACATGCTCTTTTTTGTCAGTTTTAACAGCCAACCAAAAAAATAATTCCCCTGCCAGTTATTCTAGGGTAGTTGTGGATTAGACTTACAATCCCTTATGGTGAACTAAGTTTCAGAAGAAAGCAAATCAAATATCAAATGTTGTTTGATTTTTCACAGGTTATCAGACAGCTTACTCCCAGCTGGCATTTGCAGGAAAGAAGGAAAGAGATCCATTTTCTGGTATGATTCCTGATGCCAAAGTTTTCCTTGCACAGTCACTACAGAAACTGTCATCTACACACCCTGGAAAGGTATGGTAGACATAATGCAAACATGGTTACAATCATAACATGATTAAAAAACCCCTCTTGATAGGAATGCTACTCATGCTGCATGATGAAGGTGTGGAACTCAGGACCTTGATTCTTGAACTGGTAGAACACTCAGTTCAACATGTGGTTATGAATGTACTTATTTACTTATTTTTTCAAATTTTGTCAATTCTTATAGATAAACACCAAGATCACATCTGAACTTCATTCAGATGCTCAAGGATTCTTGCAGAAATACCTTCAAGAAGCTGGTGTCAGCCTGGGATGAACAAGATCTCCTGTTAGTCTACCTTTAATTTAAAGCCAAAAAGGAAAATGCTACAGTTTAGCAAAGGTGTAATTTAGATTATGATCATAGGATGGCAAGAAACTGACTGAGAACTTCATATGTAACTGTATACAGTTGATTATTGAGCTTATTAGGTGAAATTCAAATGGTTGGTGTAAAGCTGAAGATCTGGGAAATATTATGTAAACCAATATTTTCAAGCTTATAGGGGGCAAAGGGGTAATTGGGCCTGAAAAGGAGCAAGTACAAATAACCCAAACAACTTTTGCCTAAAATCACAATAATTAAAAAATCTCTAAAAAACCATAGAACTATCAAATGATGTCAAGAAAGACCTAAAATCCTCTGAGTATAGCTTCTTAGTCATCTAATTAACTGTAATATATATAGAGACAAATTAGTAAAAAAACCACACACTGACTGTCCAAGAAAGAAAAATTGGTTTATATGATATCAATCTGTTAAAAGTTCTGTTTTTCTTATAGATTGTTTAGATATGGACATGTTAAGAAGTGACTAAATTTTGGGACAGAAAGATTGAAGTTACTTTGTACTACAGGCAGGCAGGCTTGTTATACCAGAAACCATGATCGGTTTAGTTACAGATAACCCCATGGTGACTGGTTTTTCAATCATTCCTGGGTTCCATTTCAGTTCAGACGGATTAAATGTGAATACACAGCTGATGTGCCATATGTGTAGCTAAGTCTCTGTCTTATGATGGAAGTTAGAAGCACATATATTTGTATGATTTGCTGTTATCATTAAACATGTAATGTACAGCTAACATAGATATTTGAGATAATAAAAAGCAGTTACAACATTGTTAGTTTTATCAAAATTCACAATATGTAATCTGTATGCTATTTTGCATGCAGTGACATTCATGTCAACTGAGAATTATCAGTACCTGGCTGGAGGATATACTTTTACAACTCAGACATTATCATTAGACTATAGGGAATAACCACTTAAGCTGATTCACAAACCAGTTTTTTGATTTAATGAAACCTGGTTTTTCTTTCTCTCAGAGATATCACAAACTTTTTAAGCCTTGTTGGATCTACAATTCATCTTTCTCAGGTGCACACATAATACTAACAGTGCACTATGTCTGTTTCTTGGTATTGTGGGTGAAATAGTGGGTAGCTATTGCATCATGATGTGGATGTTGTCCAGTGATCCATGCATCATTTGCAAAACCAGACAGACACACTAAAATTTTGCAAAACAGCCTTGATACCTATGAAAAAACTAGCTTGTTACCCAGGGGCAAACTATCACACAGAGCACTAATAAATGGGAACAGGATCTTCCCTTTTTCCTCTCTATTTCTAATATTTCTTACTTCCCATATAATTTCGTGTCAGAGATGCATCAGTATAGATAGGGGGCAGGGCCCAGTTGTTCAAAGGCTGATTAGCCCTAACCCAGGGTTAAAATTTAATTCGCATTTCTTTAATTCTTTGTTCAAAAGTCTTTTATAGAAATTTTTAACTATTCTTTTTAGAACATCCAATGATCAAATTGCAAGCAAAAAGATTTGAACTGAATTTTCTCTTAAGGCTTTCAGACCTGGAATCAGATTTCACATTGACCCTGGGTTACCTTTACCCAGCTTTGAAAAACCCAAACCAGGACTCTAGATTGAGGAGTCTGCACATGAGCCTTGTTTGGAGTCATTGTGTTGTTTCTTATAAAGATGATTTGTCCAAGGGCATCAATTGACTCCAAAAACTATCAGTGGGGGACATGTAAAAAGAACTATTGATACTCCCATTAACTTTGTCTGGTTCCTTCTGATCAATGCCTACTACTGTTGTAAGAGGCCATCAAAATTTAGCTGTAGAATTCTGTAATCTCTGATTTGTGACGTACACTCGACTATTTTCCACCTTTAGTGTGCATGTTTCGCAATAACAGCCAGGTTCTCCTGTATCTAATTGCAGACTAAGATGAATTAATATGTGAAATTCTCTTGAAGCAAGGATTGTGATGCACAAACACAGCAGTACCTTGTGGACTCAAAATCTGCCCAGAACTTCCAAGCAAATCTTGACTGAATGCCATAAAACTAAGATGAGTAGTCGCAATGACCAAAAAAAGGGATTGGGTTAGAGGGAAAAATACCCTTATATTCTTAAAGAATAATATAACCACATAACAAAATAAGAACACGATGAATCTTTTAAATCCATTAAGTTCATATGCTATTTTCCCATAAAATTTCTTTTGAATTACTTAAGATAATTTGAAATTCTACCAAGATCTGGTTGCTAAGTTTGTTTATTCTCACCACCTTTCCTAGATAGGGTATTGAAAGTTTAGGAATAAGTTACATATCATGTCTACAAGTTTGTAGAGGTTGACAGACTATTGACAAAGTAAACTTTATGAGTTAATGATCCTAGAAAAACTATTCCTATTATTTTTTTTTAACAGCTTTTTATCCTCTAAATTGTGAAGGAACAGAATCAATAATTTAGTTCAAAACATCAACACATTATTTTACATATTTAACACCTAAGATAAGCACCAACTCATTGGTTCAGTCACAGTAACATTCAACTGTACAGTATTTGTTCAACATATTAGAGATCACACTTGTATTGTCTAAAAAATGTATGTCCTTTAGGTTGTCTGATTAAGACCCGGGATCAAGCCACTACTTCTTCAGTGAAAGCTTCTTAATGGAAAGCAACAAATAAGAAGTTCAACACTTCTCTGGATATGAAAGAAAACGCAGTTACCAGATGTGAAATAGCAGATACTATTCATCTCGTCGTTATTTAAAACTGTCTTTTGGTTGGCTTCATTGTCTTAAGATAGCTCGCATTACACACATAGCAAAATCGATAACAACAACATTAATAAGCGTTTTGTGATTCCACTCGGTAGAGGTTACTAGAGTCACCACAATCCCATTGCTATGAGCGAAGATCTCAAAATTGATCATCATCGTATTCTGACAAAGATCACAGAGGAAGAAGCCATGCAAGGAAATCTTCCCTCCCTCAGCGTCTTCCTCAACATGTTTCAATAAGAAAAACTAGAAGGAAACACCGTAATTTCATTCCTTTAAAATAATACACTCGTTTGAAACGTACTTTATGTTTAATCTGGTTCACAATCCATCTGCGATCGAAGTGAAGAATTCCAAACATCCGTGATAGAAAGATCTTCCTTCGAATGCGTTTTCTGATCACCTACCAACTACAACGAAGATGGTCAACAAAATAACGAACGTCATTACTGGGTCTCGGGACGAAGATATCCTTTTTACTTGGACCAGTGAAGACAAAAAGATCGCTACGAAGACTGCCTGAAAACCAAACACTTTGATTTTGTACGTACAGCAGGCAATGAATGAGGTTAAACACAACAGGGTAGATTTATCATCTAGGTAGCACTTGCGCTTGTGATCACTTTGTGACATGCCGCTAGTCAAATGAACGAAATCTGTGAATAGTTGCTGCTACGTACTACATTCCGTGAGGAAAAGACAGTTTCCAATTCCACTGTAGCATATAAGAATCACCGCAGCGATGAAAACGACCGTACAAATTGTACAAGGGCGTCTTTCGAGGAAGAAACTTGCCAAGTACAGGGTCATGAACACCGAGTGATTGTGCAACAAAAACAAGTTCGCCGGGCGTGGAATGAGTAAAAGAGGCAACAGCCACTGTAAACAATACATGGTTCAATATCAGCATCCACAATGTCACTTTAGAAACTCTCCTCTAAGTTCATCGTACTCCAGATATCAATTGAAAGTGAAACGTGTAGGCAAGCATCAAGTCTCCACTTAGTACCCAGGTGACAACCGAGGGACGCTAGAGCCTCACCAAAATGACGTCATTTCTAAAAGTGTTAGTCCACAATGCGTGCAAACTCTTGTGTTCGGGCCTTTCTGATGGTTGTTTGAGGAAATTTGGGACAAGTAGAGATATATTTTTTCGAATCGATTTTCATTTCATTGATTCAATATTATTTTCTTTCATTTAAATAAGATTTTGCGTCGCCTCTTTTAAGATTCCTTTTCAAACCATCATGCCTTAGTGAAAAACTGTTCTGCTGCCATCGAAGCTTGAGTAAAAATCGTCAAGAAACGCATTGCAATGAAAACCAACGTTTCCTATGCACAGTAATAAACGCTATCAATTGTAGCTCTTATCATATTTTCATAAAATACTAATGGTGGTACCCTGGGATTCTTGTTTGGCAAAAAAAGATCTCTAGCAGTACTTAACTATTTCAATTACAGCGAATTACGAATCAGCTTTTCCCAACACTTGTTTGGTGCTCCGGCCACTCCCCTACGTGCTTTACAATATAAAAGAGGACAGTTGAGTTTTCTTCATTTCCTAAGTAATAGGTCTCAACATGCTGGACGTGACACCATCCCGTGGTACAGGCGCCAATTTTATTCTTTAGTGTTTTTAGGCGAGCAGATGAAAGCGCCAAGGGCAGAACACCAGAAAGTGGAGTTATTTTTTCCTCGCTCCTTCTCTTACGCAGGTCTCGCCCCTTACGCTTTCTTCCCACTCATCTCGTGCTTAACTTTGTTCGCATAAAAACAAAAAATAGCGCCTGTTCAACAGGCTAACACACCACAATTCGCCGCCATAGACAAGGCAACTGAGTGAATGGATTTTTCTTAAACTGGCCATTGGTTAGGGCGGCAAATCGCTCTTTCCAAGGTTGACTGAGAACATCAAACAACCTTTCAAATAAGAAAGATGGTAAATTTGAGTCCCAAAAAGTGATAAAGAATAATGTAAATTTTTCTTGTCTGTTTACACAAATTACGTTTTCAACATTGCTTATCGTAGCTGTATGCAGAATGCGTGTCAGGGAGCCTCTTTGACTTAGTGATAGAGGTTTGAAGCCTGGAATCAGAAGGTCTGACGTTTGATTCCTCATGGAAACTAATAGTTTTTTTCTTTTTGATATGCTCGAGATCAGATGAATAAATGTCTTCCTCCACAACATCTCATATATATTTCACTTTTTTAATTTTTTACCGCAATTTCAAAATGGGGCCTTAAAAATTTCTTTACTTAGATATAATGCTTTTAATGATACCAGTCTTTTCAACTTAGCTTTTTTTGACTTTCAGAGTAATTTCCGGGTCACAAAGAAGTTCCTAAAAAACTCACTTGCTATGAATTTGTTTTTCTTCTTGTTACATCTCAACCGTCACTTACAATGTCTTTCATTTAGCTTGATTGTTGATTAGCTGCCTGAGCGTGCAGCAGAAACTCGCACCAAATCTATGACGTACAGCTGATTATTGGCCCTTGTTGTTAATCCATATTCATTAGAAATTGCAGAATTTTCAGCAAACCACGCCGTCCGTCGAAGAGTGAAGACGTACCGTCCGCTGTGTTTAACATTTAACATTGCGCTCTGGAAAGAAGAAGACGCTAGATTTATAAAGAAGAGCAACGAAAGCACTCTTATGTCACCACAACAGCGGGTGAGCGTTGCCTTTGAAAATTATTATCTTAAGCTCTTTGAGAGATCTAAACGAGTCGTATTATCTCAAGTCAACGACGTAGCACGAGTCAGTTGGTCTGCCTGAGTAGCTCTTAACCTCGAAATTAAACTGAATTAGTGTGTTGGCTTCCAGGAAACCAAAACCTATGATTGCAAAATATATCTGGTGAAACGCTCAGATAAAAATGTTTTGCGTGCTAAATCTGTTAAGGACATCATTTCGTATTTGAATACAACCACGTGGAGGTGTGACTTGTGACTCTGGCTACTTCTCTTTACTTGACTGTAGATTACATTTTAAAAAGTCTGGTTGCATTGCCCTT